TTTCAAATTTCTAGGCCTTGAATTTGGTTGAAATTAGACATCAATTCAGAGTGTATTTTTAGCGGCTATACGTGAGATTTCGAACTTGGTTCTTACGTAAACTGTCGACATTTTGGGGTCGGAATTCAAACAATTTTTTTTTACTTCTGTATGGATATTTTCAGAGACTTTGGCACCCGTAGTTCATATCACTTCTAGAAAGCATCAATTTTTTACTCCCGACATTTGCTGAGGAACTGACAAATATTTTTTTATTTTTTTAAAAATCTGACCGACTCTCTTCATTTCACATACTCTCTCGTCAAAAAAGAGGTCGTTGAATATCGCCGCTTATTCCGCAAAGCAAAAGCTAAAATTTTTAGAAAGTAATTTTTGGCATATAAACGAATGACATACTTCACCGTATTTTAAATTTTTTTTTCGAATTCAATTTTTTACTTTATATTTTTTTCTTCTTTTTTACACTACGTTTTTAAAATTTTCCCAATCTTATGGTACAAAAAAAAACTACTTTTTTTGTCAGAACCAAGATTACAATCACTACTTTTTCTCTTTTTTTCGACGGGGCAAAGAAGCAATCGAGTTCAGTTTTTTTTAGTCTGGCAACCTTGTAATAACTGCAGCGGGTAGTGGTGTGTTGTAAAAAATAAAAACGTAAAAACGACGGTACGGTAGAGAATTTTTTGTTGCTTTTTTATTTTGGTTGTCATAGGGGTACTTCTTGTTTTAAGAAAACGATCATTTGGTGGGATAAAAAAATTGTTGTTTGTTGTACAAAAAACAGCTCTTCACTATTGGTACAGCGATCTATGGGGTATGATTTTAGAGGTGTTTAGATCTTGCTTTTCGAAGACGACCGAGATTTTCGAGTTCAAATTTGGTGAAAGATCGAAATTTTTTTGCGGGTTTAGAAAGGTGTGGCCTAATTTCTACAGGAGACCTCAACTTTTTAACCAAAAAGAATAATTTTCTATGGGAAGATTGAAAAGCATGGCCAAAAAGGGTTTCTCTGACCACCCTTTCATTTTCTATACATTCAAAGATCGTTGAGTATTCTCGATTGCCTTTGCAAAGCGTGAGCTATCATATTTTCCTAGATTGTTGTATAGCCAAAATGTGAAGAAAAATAGAAGAGTTGCAATTCAAGCATCTTCCCTTAGCAAATGCGTTGGCAAATGCGATCTTTAAACTTTTGGCCGTTGAATATCTCGGCTACTCAACAAAGTCCTGAACAAAATTTCAAAAAAAAATTTATTCATGACATTGGCAATGTGAGTGGGAAAAGTTTGAGGTAAAGCAAATCAGTCTGTCGGGAAAATAATGAGCACTCTGTTGCATTGAAAATCGCATCACCGACGAGAAAATGAACTGTGTGATAAAATTGCATTTCGCTTCAGCGACGTTGCGTTCATTATTTTCCCGACAGACTGGTAATAAACAAACTCTAGTTACAACATATTTATATTTATATATATATATATATATTGCTTTGTTTAAAATGCCACTACACCTTTTCACTTCAACAACGCGGTCGGCGCAGCGACATTGGGCTAACTATTTTTCCGACGAACTTCTTTTTTAAAAGAAATTGCCTGCTTAAATCATGTCTTGACCAGTGATATATAACCTGCTTTTTTGTCTCTTAGAATCCTCTACATATAGCCTTTCCGCCTCCAGACACTCACTACTACAAGTCACCTTATCCCCACTTCCACCCCCCTTCTTAATGTGACCCGAGCCGAGTTCAGTTTAGTGCCTAATTGTCGGAGCCGTATTTCATCGCGTCCGCAAACATTGTGGTGGATTTATTGCCCTCGACCGTAATCCCATTTGTCTTCGCAAGTGTGTTTTATGGACCTAAAGGGTGTTGTTGAAGAGGCGGCGATCAAAGAGGAGGGGATCTGCGGACAGGAACTTATGCAAGTTTACGTTTATGGGGAGGGGAGGGGGAATTGGTTGTTAATTTGTTATTTTAAGCCCGAAAATCGACATTTCTTGGGAAAATGAAAATTGATTTTTGCTTTTCTAAGAAAAGTTTAGTAAATTTTTGACATAATGAAGAGCTTTATTCGTATTTTACAATTTTTTTATCATTGCTGTAACTATGTATTAGCACAGAAATTTTTCTTAGAATTGCTTTCAGCGGCTTTTCCAATTTACCCTCTATGTGTCGCAATTTGTCTTAGGCGATCGTCGCAAAAAGTTTTACAACCAATCAACGGTAATTCTGTGGGAATCCGCTACTTTGTCGCAGAAATAGCTTTGCGGAGCCAGCTTTTTTTGCGGTCTTTTTTGTCGAGGATCTACTGAGTAATTAGCAAATAAAATACTTAAAATTTTAGCTGTGCTTTGCAGACGCGGATGAGAAATTCAAAAATCTTTAGATCTAGGAGATTTTGGAGAATGATCAGTAATGAAGAGATACGGTCAGAGAAAAATATATTTTTTTGTCACTATCTTTTCAGTCTCTTCATTTACAGTACTTTCTCGTTAACAAGGATTGCTGAATATCTCGGTTGCACCTGCAAAGCTCAAGACAAAATTTTCAGGGATTGTTACGTGGCCTACGTAGATAATAGAGATCAAATTTGAGCAATGTTTCAGCAATGGTTGAGTCCACTTTTCCAAGATTTTTCTTGATCGAAAAATCTTGATTTTAGACGTTGTTCCTGGCCTTAAATTTTTGCATTTTGATAATATCTTGTCCTCAAAAGATTCTATCAGTCTGTCGGGAAAATAATGAGCAATCCGTCGCAACGAAAATCGCATCGCCGCCGAGAAAATTAATTGTGTCGCGGCAAAATCAAATTTCCTTTCATTTCAGCGGCACGATCGATGCAGCGACATTGTGCTCATTATTTTCCCGACAGACTGATATATCTTTAAAATATCTTATAAATTTCACTTTACTTTTTCCACTCCCCATCTTCCACCACCCAAAACAGCACTATCATATCCCAATGCCCTTCGGCTATTTACCAATCACACCTTGTGGCGCAACCCTCGCCGCAAAGCGCGGCGCCCACGAAACAAATTGCTTTTGCCGGCCACGATTATGTCCTCGAGTCATCTTAAATTGGCTTGGCATTTCCGCCCGGTTGCGCCACATCATGACAGAATTTTATCTCGTCTCCTATCGGTCACTTCAAAAGGGCGCACTGTTACTTATTACTTTGTTGACGGGAGGTTGGGCGGTTGAGTAAAGGTGATAGTGATAAGGCTACTTTTTTCGGGGATGTTTTGACGAGTTTTTGTGATTTTTTTAGGTTTTTTTTGTAAATTGAATATTAAAATGTTGATGGAAATTGATGACAAATCAAGGTTGAGGCCTTGAAAGTTTTTTTGAGACATCTATATAGCAAATTTTAAGGGGGGTTATGAAATTTTTTTTGTAATTTTCTCGATATTTTTTAAAATTTTTGCAGTTTTTCAAGTATAAATTTTTGGCGAAAAATAATGTCAGAATTTTTTAACAATTTTTACCAACTTTTGACCAGTTTTTACATGAATTTTTTGATTTTTTTAAGCGGAAAAAATCCCATTTTGCACAGTGCATTTTGGATCTTTTGTACTATCGCTTTTTCAGTGCGACTGTCGTTTTTCGATAAATTATCAGTATTTTTTTGTATACCTTCAAAAAACTACGTGAACAAAAAATATCTTTTTTTTCCAAAAAATCTCAAAAATTTAAACTTTTGCCCTATTCAGTACTTTTCAAACTTCTGCCCTCTAAATCTCCCCCTACCATATCCCTTGTCCCAATTTGCCCAATAAAACCCCCATTCTCACCAATCCGCTCATCCCTTTCGGCACGCGTCAAAAGCGATTGCAAAATGTGTTGTTTTTATTCGCGGGGATCGATGATGCAAACGATCCCAGCCCGACATAAAACAATGTCTGGCCGGGATTATGATGTAGGTGTTTGCAGATGGGACCACAAGGATAGTTCGGGTATTTCCGATGTTTGATTTATAGATGTGTGTGTATTAAACTTTACAATGTCCACCAGATGGAGGTGGGGCGACATTCGGGAGATTTTTACAATAATTCATAATTTTGGAGAAGTTGGGAAAATTTTGGGACGGCCTTTTGGACAGTCCTAGAAAGTTTTTAACCAAAAAAAATCGACTAAAAATTTGGATCTTTTCGACCAAAAATTGAGATTTTTATAGCCATTTTTTGACACATGTTCTGGCCCTTAAAACAACGTATGAGTGGTTTGTCGGAAATACGGCAATACGGTAGGCCAGATGGCCCTTTTGATTGGCCAAAAAGTGTGGCCAAAGTTGTTGTGGAGGGGAGTGATTTATTACGAGTTTATTGATAAGTGCTCTAAACATACGATGATGATACGGTATGGGTGATGGGCGATGATGAAAATGGATAGATTTTTGGGGGATTTTGAATAAAAAAGGCAGTGAGTTTTTGTTGTGAAAAGGTCCTATTATGTTTATTGTTTGTAAGGGAACTACATTTGGGATACGACGCTTAGGTCTTGATGAAACCTGGGATAAAATAAGATTAAATTTTTTAAGAAGCATAAGAGATTCTTGGGTTGTTGTCAACCTAAAGACAGACATTTTTTCGTCAAAGTGCCACAGATTTACCATCTTTTACGATTTTTAGGTTCAAAAGTATGTACATAGTATTATTTCCACATGGCTTCTTACATGGCTCCTGTACGCAATTTTTGCTAATTATTGACGAGAAATAAAAGATTTTTTTTTCTGACCGTCTCTCCTCATTTTAATATCCTAGCACGAGTTGAAGACCACTAGCTATATTTTTTGATCATTAAATAAGTAAATCTTGGCGTAGACAGATAACGAGAAAAAAATAGATAAATATCTGACAATGTGAGGCTTGTTATGTGAGCTGTTCCTTTACAAAGTTTCTTCAGAATATACTTTTTTGATTTTTTTTATTTTTCCGCGTTCTTCCCTTCTTCCTCGATCATCTCAAAAAAACCATCTCCAAGGCAATCATCAACCCATTTCAGCATGTCCAACTTGCCATTCACCGCTCTAAACGGGTACCAGCCAACTCCGACCTTGTTGCCATTCAACCCTCTTTCGCCGCTATCAATCCCTCTAGCTCAAATTTTCCAAAATGACAATAACTCGCCCACACAGCCGTTCTTTCACCACCGACCGGTGCTACCGAATCCATTTGATTTCTGGATGAAGCTCACCGAAATGCGACGACAAAACTCGGCGTTTTTGAGTTGTGGTAAGTTTTGGCGCTGTTTTTCGGAGGGGGTTTTCTGATTTTGGGCCGTCAAAATCAGAATCGATCCCACTGTCACTTTATCACCTGAAGGTGACAGTGGGAAAAGATGGCAAAGTAATCTTTGAGGCAAAAAATAACTCTAAATACGTCGCAGTTAAATCTTTGAGAAATCCAGTTTACGCTTTGCAAGGCTGCAGGGATCCATATTCAATAGTCTTTCCGCCATGAAACTATAGGAAATGAAGAGAAACAGTATGATAAAAACTTGCTCTTCGGCCGTATCTTTGCAAATTTTGCTCGTGAAATCTATTTTTTTTGCGGACATGCTTTATAGCCATCCAGATTTCACTATTTTTACAAAAAAAATTTAAAACTAGCCTCCATTTTGGCTAATTTTATCTTAGTTTCTCTGTGGCTTCTGCAAATCGCAAGCTCATAATGTCGCATCTTGAAAAAAATGCTTATCAATCTAAATTTTTTTTTATTTCAGTATCTCCCAACACTAGTCCAACAATCAAGGCCGGCTCCAGCCCCGAGAGTCCAGTCAGCTCCAAGCAGAAAAGCGAATCGCCAACGGATTTTCGGCGGATTGAAACTCTGATTCAGTCGCAAGAAGAAGTGAAAAAAGAGAATGATCCCTTGATGGATTCGCCGAGCAGTTCGTCGATGAAAAATAGTGGCCGAGAGTGTCCGAAATGTGGGAAACATTTCACCCGACATTGGCTATTGCAAGGCCATATTAGGACACACAGTAAGCTTTATTCTTTATAAAGTTTTATGTTTTAAAATTGTGTAAACAGTGTGTTGTTTGAGGGCTTCTAAAAATGATATGTTGAGGTTTTGATGACTAAATTTCAGCTGGAGAAAGACCATTCAAATGCGACATTTGCTCGAAAGCCTTCGCCGACAAGTCCAACCTTCGAGCGCATCGGCAAACTCACTGCAGTAAGTTGCTATTTTACGTATAAAATGTTTACAAAAAGTGTATAATAAATAAGCAAAATGACAAAGCGATTTTTCCCCGAATTCTGACTGCATAATGTCGCCAGTTTGCAGAAAACTTCATGCATTTTTATATAAATAGAAAAACGTAACTCTTTTTTCAGTCTGTCGGGAAAATAATGAGCTCAATTTCGCTTCACCGATCGTAAAACGCTGAGGTAAAAAAACAATTTGATTTTTTCGCGACATAATTCATTTCCTTGGCGACGATGCGGTTTTTGATGCGATAGAGTGCTCATTATTTTCCCGACAGACTGATAGGCTCTCAAATTTCCTTTAAATTTTGCCTGTAGTTTCTAAACTAGCCACATTTAATTTTTAGTTAGCAAATTTTTTATCGCTTTTCAAAAGGGGCCGAGAATTTTGACCAAGTCTTTGGAAGCCATGTTAAGACTTGTGGCCCGCTAAGAAATTCCCTTATTTTTAAAATACGCCAGTTCTAATACTTGTTCTAAATGTGCGTAATTATAAATTATTTCATTTCCAGAAGACAAAAAGTTCATCTGCCCCCGCTGCAAGAAGGGTTTTGCCCTCAAGTCCTACCTCTCCAAACACCAAGAGTCGAGTTGTAACAGTCGGCATATGAAGCTACCTCCCATGATGCCCTTTTTTTATCATCCAAAATAACGGCACATGACTGCATGTATATTGTGATTGGCATTTCTGTAATATTAGCGTTAGACATAGTCATATGATTTCATCAAAAATAGTTTCAGTCGATCTAAAAACAAAAAATTACAAGCTCAGAATAGTACGGTGCAACCAATGATAAAACTGTACCTTTATTAGATAGTATTGTTAAGATTAATAGGTTCTAGTTACTGCCATTTTATTGTCATAGTGCCTTTAGTTCTCCAGAGATTTTAGTCGCAGTCCTGTTGTTATATTGTATATATATAATTTCTTCTTGTTGATAATAATGAATATTAAATAATTCAAATCATAGAGTTTGTAATTTGTACCTGGGCTGGCTCAATTTTTGTATTTAGAACTTACAGTTAATGATGGCGACAAATTTAATATTTTTTTTTTCAAAAGACTTGTTGATTGCAGCTTTTTTGAACGCTTCAGTACCAGTTTGTCGGGAGAATAACGTGGATTTGTCGCAGCAAAATGTCTAGCCTCGTTGCGCATCAAATTTCTAGTCTAAGCTAGTCATTGCAAGGCAATGGGCAATTCCAAAACGCGACAAATCCAGATTATTCTTCCGACAGACAGATTTTGGGCGACATGCACAGTGTTAAAACCCCACATTACACTGTGCAATCTTTGGCATTTTGAACCGTGCAATTGACTTTTTTCGGCCATCGCTTGCACCTGGACTTTTTTGCGCCTTGTAATCAAGTATGATAGCTTATTGTCGCTCTGTCGGGAAAATAATAGTGAGCTCAACGTCGCGGTGCTTATCCCGTCGCAAAGTGAAAAGCGATTTTGATTTGACACAATTCATTTTCTCGGCTGCGATGCGATTTTCGATGCGACAGAGTGCTTATTATTTTCACGACAGACTGATACAAACAAAATTTTTATTTTAAAAATAGGGTTTTGAAGAAGCTGTGCGCTTTAATATTGCAAAATTTCTGTCAATTGCTTACATGTGTGTAGCAAACCGAGATGAGTCGTTTGCGATGCTATTTGAATCTTTATTTGTATTCTCCCTGATAGCTGATAACCAAGCAAATCAAGGCATTTCCCTCCATGTTTCAGCATGTAATTTCCTAAGCCCTTCCGAAAACAGCCAAATACAGGGTGCGGCAAAAAAATGGAAACTTTTTTCATTGAGTCCTGACGCGAAAATTTTTAAGTGCAGCAAAATTATTTTCATACCATTAAATTATACGTAGTTTTCTCTCCTAGACCTTACAATTTCATGTCGATATCGGTTTATTCACATTATTTTTTTGAATGTCAAACTAAGGGACCTCGATTTTGGACCTGTTTTTTAAGCTGTTCGAAGTGCTAATTTGCCCGGTATAGAAACGGCGTTGTGCCCAAAGTAATCATACAATGCAAGGAGCTTGTCAACAATTTTAAGCGTCCATTAAGTGAAAGAAAACGCGCCGCCGTCACTTCTGCCAGCCGCGAGGTCATCAACAACGAAATCCGTCGATTTCCAGAAAAAATTGCCCGCGAGACCGGTACCAGCGCCCGACCAGTCGGCCAAATAGCTAAAAATCAACCCAAGGTCTCCACATACAAGGTCTAAAATGCCCAACTCCTCATCGGCAAGATCAAGCCCGTACGCCTAAAAAAATGCCGAAAATTCAGATGTCGGGCCGCAGGTCCGCGATGAGAGCGCTTCCCCCCCGCGGTGCAATGTTTGGCGGGTGCACAACCAACAGAACGCCAGAATCCAATCCGATGAGGCCCTCTGCACGTCGGCTAACGACGAACGCCATCAAAATCCGGGCCGTCATCGCCTAAGGCGGAATTTATGCCAGCGGCAAGAATTCCAAGATTTTCGTGGATCATGAGGGCAAAATTCTAGCGCCGCGTTAACTCGATTTCCTCATGCTTCTGTTGGCTCAGCAGAACCTTGGCAGCTCAAATTTGGCGCTCCAACTAGACTCAGCGCCGGCTCACAGGGCAAAAGCGAGTCAAGACCAGAAACCTAACCGATTTTCCCGACTTCACCCCGTCTGCGAAAAGTGCGCCTGCTCGCCGGGTATGGATCCAATGGGCTATAATTTTTTTTCAATTGGAGGCCAGCGTTTGTACTACACGCCACAAAAGTTTGGAGTCGCAAAGTAAATGCTGCTCCAAGAACGGGACCGATTTCCTCGAACAAAGCTGCGGCCAAAAGCCCAAAATTTTAAGTCACGTTTGGAGCTCTATATCGCCACCAAAAGCAGCCACGGTGAAACGGGTTGAATATGTTATAAATAATGCTCTATGTTATTGATGATGACCTTTACTTTTGCGGAATTTTGATTGCTAGGAAAAATATAGCTATAAAAATAAGTTTCCATTTTTTTGCCGCACCCTGTATTGTTTTCCTTAATCAAAATCGCGGGACTCGCCTACTGCTATTCCCTGGCGCTGTCCTCGCTTCTGATAACAGAAATTAAATTGAAAAATTTTGAAACCCTTCGAAATTTGATTAAAAAACAATAAAATCGCAAAACCTGAACAACATTGTTGGCTGGGAGCTTTATCAAACGGTTCCTTAGTTTGGTTTCAGCAGCAAAACCTTCATAATCGATTGATTTTAATTGGCCTTGCCCTCATATCAGTAAATTAAATTCCTCGCTTGTTTCTTTTGTCGAATTTTGCTTTCTGATCTTTAGTAGTGTGGATACCTCTGAAACTTTCTGAAGAAAAATGTGCTTTTTAGAATTTCGTTTTTAAATTTTTAATTGTTTTTATACGGCTTCAGTTATCAAGCAGTTTTTACCAGTCGCGCATTAAAATCGCGAGACATCTTTCGCAGATGTCATCCACAAAAATTTGAGGGAGCTCGGGCGAAAGTGCGTGTCGCTAGTGCAAAAACGAGGAATCGCCGCGGCGGGTCCGAAAAAAAAGAAAAAAGCGCACAATGCAAGTGTCGGGACTCTATGGCGCGACTAGTATGATATTATCAGTCTGTCGGAAAAATAAAGTTGATTAGTCGCGTCCTGGAATCGCCCATTATCGCTTTGCGACAGCTGCCAAAGCTGGAAATTTGGTGCGCGACTGCACCCTTTTTTCGACGAGGTGAAACATTTCGCTACGACGACCCGCCGTTATTTTCCCGACAGACTGATAATTTACACTTTTATACAGACGAAAGTCACCAGAGATTAATATTGAACTTTTTGTGGCTCCTAATTTAGGGCCCAGAAGGGAAGTGCTCAAAGCGTAACGTCCCGATTTTCTTTTAACTTTGCACACACGTTGAGAATAGGCCAATATCAATTGCTGAAAGTTTTACTTTACGTTATGCAGCGGTAACCGCGATATTCAATAATCTTTTCCGCCGAGAGAGTACAGTGGCGGTCAAAAAAAACGGCCACCACAAGATGATGCGCTCTAACGCAGAAAAGAGTGGTCGTAGGAAGATAAATATGGTATCATTGTAAAGCTTATGGAATACTAAGACGTGTGACTATACGCTTGTGGTACTGTAGTGCTGGCCTAGCAATATGTTCTTTTGGCCTGGTCAAAAAAAATGGCCACCCATAATTATCTTGCTTTAAACGCGGTGTATGTTAGAAATTGCCGCCATATGGAACTGGACTAGGATAGCTATATCAATACACACCAATTCCAGTATTTTTTACTTTGTACATATGCCCTTAGGCATCAGTCAAGGTTGATGACCTTGTTCATGGTTAAGGCCCAGCCAAATTTTTTTTGGGTTTGTGCCGTTGTTTTGATTATCCGAAACAATACTGTAGACGGTATTGATCGTATTCGTGTGTAAGACTGCCCACTTTTGCCAAAATTGTGCCTCTTTTGATAAGAAAATTCAAAAAATGAAATATTTTGACCTAATTTTCTCCAAAAATCCGTTTTGGAGGCTGCTAAACAATGAATGTAGAACCTTAAACAGGTTTTATTTGTACAAGAACATCATGGACATTTGTTTTAACACGGGACCGATTAAAGGAAACGACCGCCCGAAACGACAGATACCGTTTTGTTACAGTTTTCGACTTCATGAAGTAATCATGAATTTTGTCCTGTTCCGAAACCTCTTTGAATAGAAATTATAATATAGTATCGCATTTGTGGCGTAGTTGAGATACCACTGTATCATTTAAAGGTAAATATGACCCCCTAAAGTGAAAATTAGAGTTGCAGACCTTGACAAAGTGTATGACTATTTCCTGAAGTCGAAAACTGTAACAAAACGGTATCTGTCGTTTCGGGCGGTCGTTTCCTTTAATCGGTCCCGTGTTAAAACAAATGTCCATGATGTTCTTGTACAAATAAAACCTGTTTAAGGTTCTACATTCATTGTTTAGCAGCCTCCAAAACGGATTTTTGGAGAAAATTAGGTCAAAATATTTCATTTTTTGAATTTTCTTATCAAAAGAGGCGCAATTTTGGCAAAAGTGGGCAGTCTTACACACGAATACGATCAATACCGTCTACAGCATTGTTTCGGATAATCAAAACAACGGCACAAACCCAAAAAAAATTTGGCTGGGCCTTAACCATGAACAAGGTCATCAACCTTGACTGATGCCTGAGGGCATATGTACAAAGTAAAAAATACTGGAATTGGTGTGTATTGATATAGCTATCCTAGTCCAGTTCCATATGGCGGCAATTTCTAACATACACCGCGTTTAAAGCAAGATAATTATGGTGGCCATTTTTTTTGACCAGGCCAAAAGAACATATTGCCCCAGTACGTGCTAGGCCAGCACTACAGTACCACAAGCGTATAGTCACACGTCTTAGTATTCCATAAGCTTTACAATGATACCATATTTATCTTCCTACGACCACTCTTTTCTGCGTTAGAGCGCATCATCTTGTGGTGGCCGTTTTTTTTGACCGCCACTGTAGGTGGAATGTGGAGAGGAGTCAGAGAGAAAGATGCTTCTTTGACCATAAATTTTTCTATTAGGTTGGACGGAAAGTCCGTACGAATTTTTACCCATCTTTCAATTTAATTTTTTTCGCGCCAAGACCGAGTGCCCACTGTAAATACCTAGCATATACAAGAGTACAGTGTCCAGATTTATGTGCTACGTGCCAATCGTTAGCTCCGCCAAAACGAGCTTAATTATAAGAGGTTTCCGCTTTGCGGATATTTCGGGTAGGGTCCAGAACGCAAGCTCTAGTTATCTGAGCGCTTTTGATGAAGCTCTGAAACTTTGTAGGCAATGTCCAGTGGTCTTTCTGACTACGTTAAACACAATTAAAAATCATAAAAAAGTGTGTCGGATAAAATAATAGCAACACTTTCAACCAAATCTTCAGCAAGGTCCCCTGATGAAAAATTTTTCTTATTTTTCCGCGTTTGGCTTATGGTCTGTCCCTGTAATAGGGTTCAGTAAGGCACATGGAGAGCCCTCTACGTGCAACATGAGTAAGCCGGATCATAGACGCCTCGGGTTATCCGTAAAGAGGCAAAATTGCCAAAAATTATAGCTGTAGAGCAATGCGTGTAATTTTGTGACAGTTAACAATGGTAGCCCATTGTTCCACAAAGCAGTAGAGCAACACAGAGGCTCTATTTTGCCCCCTAGAAAGTGAGGAGTAGAAAGCTGCTATGAGCTCTTTTTTCAATTGTACGGGTTGGTTCAACAGTTCACCAACGACTTTTTGAAAAAAAAAATTAATTTAGTTCTGTTATGTCACGCGGTAAAACAACTGGCTAATAAGGGTAGCTGGGTGTAAGGGACTGTCCTTAGTTTCTGCATATCATAGTTGGACACATAGGAATGCACCGGCAAAGCGGCGGTTGCAATTATTTTCAAACTTGGGGTGGTCCCGCAAAAGTCAAGTTTTATGGCTATGTTTTGATTTAATCACCGACGACTTTACGCGTATTAAGAGCTTCAGAAAAAGTCTTTTTAGCAGTGCCAAAGCAGTTTCCTGGTAGGCCTTGTTAAACAAACCAGCCAAGGATTTGTAATTATGGACCGAAGATGGGTAAATGTCTAAATTCAGTTCTCAGTTCGTACATGCTTAAGATGGCTGAGGGTAGTATTGCCAGATAGGGATGCCTGTCCCCTACCAACATCATATACATATTTGTGTTTGTCTCTTTCCATCAGCGCAAGAAAAAATAGCAGCAGTTAAAAATCGTACGAACTTTCCGTCCAACCTAATATTTCGGGAGGAAAAAAACTGATTTTCCGTAGAGGGTTTTCACTCTGCGGTAGAAGTCAAATTATTTTCATGTTAAAAGGCACAGAGAAACCTTGTTTTCTTGACAACTTTCGGCTGAAAAATCTGCGTTTTCCCTCAAGCTAAATTTATGTACAAAATCTAAGCATCCCACTTTGAACTCTTCCCCAGTGGCATCACACTTCAAGGAGCTCTCTCGAGACCTATGTACGTTTTTCAGCGACATATTACTGGACGGTTCAGCCCTATATTTTCTCTTAATATTGCTCAGTCCTGAACTCATTCGAACGACGCTTTCCCGGGCCAGACGACGCATTCAACCCGTTGCGTTGCTGAGAGATATCCCACTGAATAAAAAATGTTTGTTTCAGCACCAAACTGGGTCTCCCCCTACCGCTGACAATATGGCGTGGCTGGCAAGTATAGGCGCGATCAGTTTCTTTGCCATTTTCGGAACCTTCTCCTTGATTGTGGGTCTCTTCACTCTCTTCGGATTTCATCCAATTTATAAGCAAGTCTTTGATGAGGTAAGGATATCACCATGACTTAAAAATGACCTTGATTTTCCAGAGAAATGTCCTGAAACAAGAGGACGACGGTCAACTCACTCGGACGACGTTTTGGTGGGCCAAACCGCCGGTCGACACGTATCAGGATTTCTATTTTATGAATATTTTAAACCCAGAGCAGGTCGAATTTTTTGGGGCGAAACCAATTGTAAAACAAATAGGACCATTTGTTGTAAGGTAAGGCTTTTGTTACCGCCCAGTACGCTAATTGCGGCGCTTAGAATTAAAAAAAAATTGCCCATATTTCGGCTATAAACCACGTAACAATTCCTGAAAATTTTAGCTCTCGCTTTGCAGGGACATTCGAGATATTCAACGATTTTTTAAGACGAGAGAGTACGGAAAACATGGAGGGCGGCACGAGAAAAAATACAGGCCAGATCTTTGCCATTTTTGCGGGGAAAAATTATCTTTTTTGTTGCCATTTACGCAAAAATTGGCAAAAAAAAATCATTTTCAATCCAAAAATCTCGGTAGTTTCTAACGCCGCTAGCCAAAAAAATCCGTTTTTTTGCGCAGATAATGTGGACTTGTCTCAGTAAAATACCTCGCCGCAGTCAACCTCCGGCTGCGGCCAGGCGATTATGGGCGATTGCAAGGCGCGATAAATCCACATTATTTTCCCGACAGAATGTTATCTTCGCAACTTTCAGAAACTTGAATATAAAGGACAATTTGACTTTTTCCGCGGACGGGAACCGAGTGAAATATTTTAATTATCGGACGTTCATCTTTGATGAGGCAAGGAGCTGTGAGACCTGTAAATATGACAGCATCGTGTATGTTCCGAATTTGGTGGCGCTGGTGAGTGTCAGAGTCCAAAAACGGCTTTTTGGACAAGAGTTTCTTTCTATAGGATTGCCCTAAAGTCATGGTCTTGCTGATTTTTCATAAGGATGTTTTACATCGCTTTGAAGTCTGCGACATTTTGTTACGGTCTGTATTATGATAAATACTTTGTAGGGAACCCTCGGGGAGTTGGCGGATCCCCGTTACAAAGTGCCAGAGCACATTCAAAGATTGATCGCTTACGTGATGATCTTCATGGGAGAGTATCCTTTTGTGTAAGTTGTTTTAGGGCCACAAGGGAGCTGAGGCGTCCAAGAAGAACATGAATTGACAACTTTGACGCGAATTATGCTACAGGGTGTTTCAAGAAATACAGGGTGGTTCAGCTAAGTTCGCGGATGTAAAATGCTTATAACTTTTTATAGGATTGTTCAATTTTAATGGTCTTTTTTTTAAACAAAATGGTAACTACTAAGGAATAAAATGAGCTATTGCTCATAAAAATTGAACAATCCTATAAAAAGTTATAAGTATTTTACATCCGCAAACTTAGCTGAACCACCCTGTATGACAGAAACTTTTTGCGAAAATCTTTGTGCTCTTTGCAGCTATCCAAGAAGTTTAAATTGATCTTAAAATTCGATGATGGGCGATCTTAGAATATGCAAAAGAATTTCTTCTTGCGTGGGCGGAGAGACCATTTTTCGGCGGAGACATTTGACGTCTATTTTTAAAATTACATCTCGTTACAAAGTTGCAATTAACTTCTTCCGGATCACTCCGCCGAGCCTTCGCCGATGGGTGCTCTCTCCGCCGACGCAAGACGAAATTCTTTTTGCAGCTAAAATTGCGCATAGTCGAATTTTAAAATCAATTAAACTTCTTGGATAGCTGCAAAGGGCACCAAGATATTTGCAAAAAGTTTCTGTCATATTTCTTGAAACACCCTGTACTGTGTATAGCATAGCGCAATTCTTTAAATTTTCATTTTTTTCAGCCGAGTGAAGTTCGGTGAGCTCATATTTGACGGATACGATGACGCACTCTTAGCTGCCGCAAACTCTAAACTCGTGAACAAACTACAAATCTTGAACAACAATATCAGCATTGTGCCCGTCCCTTTCCCCAACATGCATCGAATGGCGTTCTTCAACCGCTACAACAACTCCGCAGACAGTGAATATGAAGTGTACACGGGGAAAGATGACCTGAAGAAAAAAGGAAAAATAATAACGTGGAATGGGGATACCAAATTACCCTCTGCCTGGTGGGAAGATGACGATGCAAGAGCGCTGAGGGGGACAGGTGAGAGTTTTTTTTATATCCCCAAATTTGGGTACAATAAATTGCATATTGCTTGAGTGACAAAGCTCAGATTTTATAAACGTTCCAAGGGATACAGGGTCTTTTAAAAAACGTGAGAAGAGTCCCAAGTGTCAGATTTTCAACTCGCGCTTACAGGGGAAGTACCCCAAGTGCGACGCTCAGACTTTGATGAAACTTGCCATAAATTTGGAATATTTTTTTCTAAAATACATGCGAGAATCCTAGTCCGCGCTTTGCAAAAACAACCGAGATTTTTAGATCAAAAGTTGGCCAAAATTTAAGACTTTTTTCCAAATTTCGGCACAAAAAGTTTCATGCCTATTTCTACCATAAAGGGTAATGTTTACAAAAAATCAATTTTTTCGGCACGAAACTATAAAAGTTATGATCAAAAGGTGTTTTTCTCACTGACCGCTCTCCACGTTTAGTGTATTCTCTCCGCGGCAAAAATTGTTCAATATCTCGGCGGCGCTTGCAAAGCGCGAGCTAAAACTTTCAGGAATTGATACTTAATTAATGACCGACGTGTGTGCAAATTTTGAAGAAAATCTGAGCGTCGCACTTGGGGTACTTACTATGTTAGCAGAAACGACCGAGATTTTCAGGTCGAAAGTTGGTAAAGATGCTAAACTTTTTTGCTACCTTGAGGTGATTACCCCGCAAAAACACATTTTTCCGCATGAAACTGGCAACCACACGGCAAAAAAGTACTTTTCTCTGAGCGCTCTCCGCTTTTCTCGTACTCTCTCGGCGGCAAATATCGTTCTAAATCTCGGGTGTGCCTGCAAAGCTCGAGCCAAAACTTTCAGGAATTGATATGTGTTTTATGCCTGGCATATCTTTGACATGTGGCTTATGCCTGACAGACATTTTTACTAAACCCCCAACTTCAGATAGTGGCCAATTCGCGGAGACGCAACTAAATGAAAACAGCGAAGTGTCATTCTTTCAAAGCTATATGTGCCGGTAAGAAAACCAACTCTTTCCTCATCACTTATTCAACCTCATATTTCCAGCTCCTTTACTCTAAGATACCGTCGTAAAACCTCTGTCCACAACATTCCAACCCTTCGATTTGAATCAAAGGTTGAGGAATTCGATACAACACTTCCCATGAATGCTGGATTTCGATATGCGAACGCGGAAAATATCAAGTACTTTGACAACTGGCCCAACTGTGATAATTATACCCAACCAGAAGGCGAGTTGGACTGCGACAAGCCTGAATTTTGGTGTAACAGCACTTGTGGAGGCGCTACATTCAACGGAACACAATTAATGCCTCCAGGGATGTATCCGGTGAACTGCTATCCAGGTACTCCGACTTTCCACTAGGGGATTCCACTGGGGGAACTGGAACGATTGGGGAAAACGAAAAGTATTGCTTTTCTTCGATGCAAGTATGAAATTAGTCTAATCGAGGGTGCTGATTTCGAAAATGGCATTCATTATTTTTTTGATTGTTACTTTTTTTTCCTTAATTAGTACTGTAAAATAGCAATTTCTTTCAAAAACACGTTTTAAGACTTGGTGCTATTTAGTACATCCTGATACTATGTAGTACGAGGTGAAATAGGAGTACTAATAACCAGGACTAACACCTAAAGGCCAAATTTACACCTCGTATTATATAGTATCAGATAGTACTATTTAGTACTAGAGTAAAAGTTAACATGATTTTCGAAATCAGCACCCTCGAAAACCCCTAAATCGAGTATTTATGAAAAAAATTCAAAAAAATTACTACTTTTACAGTACTACTTAAGTAAGGAAAAAAGTAACAAAAAATATAAAAAAGAATGTCATTTTCGAAATCAGCACCCTCGATTATCTTAATTTCGACACCTGCATCGAAGAAAATCAATACTTTTTGGTCTCCCCAATCGTCCAACTCCAGACGAGGACTTTTTGCTGCGAGAAGTCCACTTTACTTTCCCGACAGACTTAAAAATTTACATAAATTACGTCATCTTTCAGGAAGACCCGAGCCAACTCCATTTCGACTACTTTTTAGTGCCCCTCATTTTGCTACGGCTCCAGAAGCTGTTCGGAACTCTGTAATCGGATACAGCAACCTCAATGAAGAAGCTACGGTCTTCTCCTTTGATTACGAGCCAGTAAGTCGTCTTTTTTCCTCATTTTAACCCTAAAATTTTTTAAAAGCACATTTAGCTTTTAAAAAACCTAGATTACCCTTTTCAGAACTCGGGAACCCCATTGGGGATGAATATCCGGTTCCAGGTTTCGATTCCGTTCGGAAAAATGAACAAATTCCCGACCGTCAGGCAATTCCCCAACAACATTTTCCCCGTTTTCTGGATGGACAACCACAATCATATCAAAAAAAGTGTTCTGGATGAGCTGTACTTCGGCCTGATAACCGTTCCTCACATTGCGGACATTGTTGCGTACTCAGCAATCGGAATTTTCCTTGCGTTTTTGGTTTTGACTCTCTTCAGTTTGTACAGGTACAGGAGGCTGAATTCAAAGCCTTCTGGCGGGAATTTGAATTGAAAATAAACAGTAAATTTCAATTTCAATTTATTTACACTAATCACATGTAAAAAATCATGGAGTGAATCATAATGGTTTCTATTCTCCGGCCAGGGCAAGATCGCTCCATCGGAGGCCATGATTCTTGCCAGCACCGTCGATCCATCTCATCCTGAAGCGCCCAAACGGTCGTGTATAGGGGGATGTCGAATTCTTGCTGATCACTTCCGTTTCTAACGATTTCTTGAATTGCTCCAATTTTCCCTCGTTTTGGATTGATCTGACATTGCCAGTAGGAACTTGAAATCCATTAGGATGAACAGCTACTGTCCCAGGCGAAGCCCTTTGTGCCCGCAACGGCATGGGTGGACAGGAAAAACCGACCGCTCTCCAGGAAGAAAAAATCGGAATCCAATAAACAGTAAAATGATGGTTCTGGAACAGTAAAATGATGGTTTTAAAGAAACTCCCAACATCTTTTGAGGTATTTCTCCTCCAATAATGCACCAATTTCTATAAAATTTATAAGCTGAGACACCCCATTTTTTGGCCACCAAGTATGGCCCGTCTAAGTTCATGAGGCACCCGTACCAACCTTTGACGTTTTCATTCCAAATTTTGGAGCCCGAAATCGGTGAAACTTTTGGGGCGCAAGAGTACGTTCAGCATGGACTTATTTCGTTCAGTTTCTTTGTTCTGTCGTACCATAAGGAGAACGACGAGACCAATGTCTACATATGTAATTCTTGCTTTATTCACTTCGTTTTTGAAAAAATCAAATTAAAAAAACGGTCTCAAGTTGTTGCTATTAGGTTGTTCAAAATGAGATGTCGGATTTTTTAATTTATTCGTATTTTTTTATAGGATAGCTCAATTCAAAAATGGAAAAAGGTATATAGTAGTAAATTTTAAGAGGATTTTTTCTGTATATGTGCTATTCTTATAAAAGTTATCAAACGTTACCATAAGTTACCACGAAAGTACCCTAAACATGTTAGTATATTTTAAACCAATTTTTTTACATATTGTTTTGCGGTTTTATCCATTTTTGAAAATATTTTGATAAAATACGTTATATTCTATCAAAAAACAAAAAAACCCCCCATTTTTGGCAAAGCGTTAAAACGCTATCCCAAAAATTCAAATTTCAGCAAATTTTACAAATCGTGTCATATCTTTTTTTTAATAAGTCCAAAATAAAAAATTCTTTTTGCTTTCGATTAGTAACAACATTTTTAAGGCTTTCGTGAAAAAAAGACATCAAAATCTTGAATTTTATTTTTTGGTCAAAAAATGTCAAAAAAATAAATTTTTTTGATTTTGATGTTTTTTGTCACAAAAATCTTAAAAATGTTGTTACTAATCAAAAGCAAAAAGAATTTTTTATTTTGGACTTATTAAAAAAAAGATATGACACGATTTGTAAAATTTGCTGAAATTTGAATTTTTGGGATAGCGTTTTAACGCTTTGCCAAAAATGGGGGGTTTTTTTGTTTTTTGATAGAATATAACGTATTTTACCAAAATATTTTCAAAAATGGATAAAACCGCAAAACAATATGTAAAAAAATTGGTTTAAAATATACTAACATGTTTAAGGTACTTTCGTGGTAACTTATGGTAACGTTTGATAACTTTTATAAGAATAGCACATATACAGAAAAAATCCTCTTAAAATTTACTACTATATACCTTTTTCCATTTTTGAATTGAGCTATCCTATAAAAAAATACGAATAAATTAAAAAATCCGACATCTCATTTTGAACAACCTAATAATGTGATTTGTTACAATATAGTTTCGATTGCAACAACCTTGATTCTATTAGTAATCAAATGTGGTCTGTACATTCCACCCCCACCAAAACAACATTAGAGGAAAGGTGATGCGCTCAGTGGAATTGAAGAAATGTAGCTCCATTTTCCCGTTTCCAGGTTATTGAAATACAAAAAATACTATAATAACTTTCAAAGCTCAATTTCGCGGCAAAATAACAAGATTTTAGAATTCTGCGTCAGTCTGTCGGGAAAATAATTGATTGAAATCAAACGAAAGGTCAGAAAAGAATTTTTCGTGGGATTTTCCGGCCGAAAAATACTTTTCTCTGAATTATTTATTTTATCTCTTTTGTCAATTTTGACACTTCGTTTGGACGAAACTTAAAAGTGGGCGGGAAACATATTTCTTCTATTTCGGGTTGCCGTGCAGTGGGCGCTCTTTTCGTACCCCGCCGGCAAAAAATGACAAGGCTTTTTGGCCGCCTAACATCCGTCTGTCGGGAAAATAATGAACACTCTGTCGCATCGAAGAACGTATTGCCGCCAAGAAAATTAACTGTGTCGCGAAAAAGCCGAACTCATTTTCACTTCAGCGACGCGATCGGAGCAGCGACACTGTGCCCATGACTCTCCTGGCGTACTGATAATAGAAAGTTTCCGTTTGAAGACCCCACAATTACGAGCCAAAACGGTATTAATAAACACCTCAGACGGCTGAACAATAAGTGGGATGGAAGGAATGACGAAATTATTAAACAAGTTTTCGTGGCATCTGTATTCATCTTCGGAACTACAAGTCTTGGATATTGTAGGAGAAAGTGGAGACGCTAGTTCAGTGAAAACATCCACAGTCATAGAATTGATAAAAACCCGGTGGGCTGCAGGTGAAACGCTGGGGGTTATATTCTGAGGAACTTGTAAAATCACCGAACAGTGTGCGCTTTAAGTCTGGAGACGTGCATGTGTAACCGCTGTCAAACTGTCTATGATTATTGCTCCTGCTTTTGTCATAATTTTCTTCTACGGCAATTTACATTTCCCGACTAAATGTCACGCTCCTTTCTGGCGAGTATTCCCCCTACTCTCGCTGAGGTCTCTCGTCGACTAAACGAAGCCAGAACCAACGAGAATAAGAGCGATATATTGTTCAGGAAATTCTTCGAGCTGTTGTTGACACCGGGCAACGATGACGAACTGGGGAGCACGTTCTACTGCCTCGAACTTGGCCTTTACCTCTTGGCCATTCCACTCAATCTGGCGGTTTGTTGGGCAGTTACGCAAACGAACACGTTCCATCCGAATCTGCGGTTGATTCTGTTCAGCATCATTATGTGTGGAGTTTTGCAGGTAAGGAGAGATTTCTCCGCTTCTCTGCATTAACCATAAATTTTCAGGCTTCAGTCCGATCAATTTGTGTCCTCAACATCCTCACGTATGAGATGCTGGTTCCCACGGTGGTGGTGTTCAAACTGATAGACCTGCGCGCATTTTTTATGAACCAAATGTTGTTGTCATTTTTGAACGTGTTCATCGAGCGGTTCATTGCGCTCAAACTGTCCGCCAGATACGAAAAAGCTCCGCTGTATATTGGGGTTGTGATAACTGCTTGTTGGGTAGGTATATACGCACATATATACGCAGTTGCATCAGTCTGTCGGGAAAATAATGAGCACTTTGTAGCGTGGAAAATCGTTTCGCCGTTAAGAAAATGAATTGTGTCGCGGAAAAATCAAATTTCTGTTCACTTCATCGACGCGATCGGCGCAGCCACAATGGGCTCATTATTTTCCCGACATTCATAACACATTTAAAAAGTCTTTTTCTCTATTGATTTGTAATTTTCTTTCAGTGGATATCAACGTATCTTCTGACTTACGGAACTGGCAAGTTTTCTTCTTGTTAGAATAATCGGAATCAAACAACACACGATGCATAATTATTTTATCTCCGTGATTTTTTAGGACTCAGATCGGTCACAATTCTTTACGTCATCTCTCCTTGTGTGGTGAGTTGTTTCAGTGGTAACAGCTTGCTCGTCGCGCCATAAAGTCCGTTAAATTTTTCTGTGTAAAATTGGTATATATTTCGACCAAAAATTAAAAAAGAAAAGCCAAGAACTTCTACACACACGCGCTTTTCTAGAAATTTATCAAGGCTGAAATGTTGTACTGTTCGCGCCATAAAGTCTAAAGAATTTTTTAACCCCACCTTGTTCCAATGTCATCATCCGAGTTTTGTTGCAGGCTTTACTCCTTTCCAATCGTTGGATAAAACGGCATAACAAGGTGGTCTCCACTGGCAGTGTCTCTCTTTCCAAGCGCTACCAAATGAACGAAAACATCAAAACCCTGAGAATGTGCCGGCCGTGGATTATCTTCTACTTGATTACCAATGTTGTGCACGCGCTTCTCTTGTACGCCGCAATTTGCTCTTTTTTAATGGACGGCAAGAACTCGGTGAAACTTTTGATGCAAGCAATGGACGTTTTATACGCTGTTTATGTCGCCGCGTACGGATTAATCTTGGTAAATGGTCACCAAGGGCTGAGGGCCCATTTCAGGTACGGGTTTGAGTTTTTTGCAGGTTCATGCTGGAAAAAAAGTTTAGATTAAAAATCACCTTGTTTAGGGTCCTACTGGGGAATCGATCAAAGGTCACCGTGGAATCTTTCAATTACCTTGCCACTAATTTAAGAACGAATAATGAAAACTTCGACGGGCATTTCAAGAGGCTAAGACGAGCATGGGCATAATCGCAGTTAACAAAATTGCTCGTCATTTACAATACCTCTTATCACTGCCCCAAAGATGGAATAAGCACAAAAATTATGCGCCCATTTTAATAGAAATTGTCCAACGCCATTATATCAGTGTGTCTGGAAAGTACAGGGTCTTACAAAAAACGTGAAGGAAAGTGGAAGGCTATAACTTCCGGCGGAGGTGGCGCAGAGACTTCGTTCTTGAAATATGTATTTTTAAAAGACATAAGTTTTTGTCTACGAAATAACAAGCTCTCAAAGTGCAAACTGAGGTCGCTACGACCTTCTGAAGTAGAGGCGTCTCTAACCCGAAAACCAGGTTTTCGGTTGAAAATCCCCAGGAAATGTCGGCTTTTTTTGGCGGGTTCCGATATGGGTGATGTTGAAAAATAGGAGGAAAGTGCCAACACTTGCAAATTATCTTAAAGACTACATCAAGAAACCCCCAAAAAATCCGACATTTCCTGGTGATTTTCAACCGAAAAAACCTGGTTTTCGGGGTAGAGATGCCTCTACTTCAGAAGGTCGTAGCGACCTCAGTTTGCACTTTAAGAGCTTATTATTTCGTAGACAAAAACTTATGTCTTTTAAAAATACATATTTCAAATACGAAGTCTCTGCGCCACCTGCCGGAAGTTATAGCCTTCCACTTTCCTTCACGTTTTTTGTAAGACTCTGTATTTTTACCTATAAGTAAATAAAAGTTTTTATAAGTAAATCCGAGTTCCCTGTGTAAAAATTCGCGGAAATACAGCGCGCGCCAAGCGAATTCAAATTTAGCCTGGGCGCAACTCGCCCTCATCATTTCGAAAGGGAGAGGAATATTTTTTCGGGGAAAAGTTCCCTGAGCGTCGTAAACTCGCTTGCGTCGTCCAGAAGGTGGGCTGATCATATATTTGCCGCCAGTTTTCCTTGTTGTATCCTTGTTTTCATATTGACCTAAGATTTTAGTTGGTTTGAACGGGTTTTATCGAATTTTCCGACTATTTTATTGCATCTCCAGGCTGTTTTTGGCCTAATTTGGGCCGGGAAGGGTTCTCGATGTATTGACAAATTAGTTTATGGCCTTTGGAAAAGCTCTAGCATTGGGTTTCTTTGACTTTAAATCGTTTTGATGGATGTTTTTGATAAAATTTTTTGAGGTTCCGGAAAATGCAACATCTGGACGATGTGCCGACAAATGGTCTTCGTTTAGTGGCGGGAGAGCGCCCTCAAAGAGCTGGCTGCTTTATTTATCACGAATATAGTTGATTCATCCTCCTTTGAACGAAATTTTATATTGTTTTAGAGCACAACATAATATTGCTCTTGATATTGGAAAAAAGGAGCTTTATAGTGAAGAAAAAGCCTTTTATTGTCTCGGGCAAGCTGAATGAGGTCCATTGCAATGTTTACAAGGTTGGAATGGCTACCTGTCTCAAAGCGTTTATTTGTTCTTGGGATTTTTGCTTTTCTCGCATTACCCGGACGCTTAGCTCTCATTTTTTTCTCTCCTATTTGTTGCTAATTTCTTTCACGCATGAATGGGTGTTGAAATTGGAAGGGTCCTTCTTTTTGTAAAGGTGCCACATCTTATTACAATGGGCAGGGAGAACGCGAATTTTGATAATGACTTCGGTTGGAGGCCTAAAATAAGGTGGCGAAATTCATTACTCTCCCCTTCCCCCTGGAATTCGCCGGTTTGTCTCTGGAGCCGTCATTACTCAGCCTTCCTTTTGAGGTCGAAATGAACCGCATTTCCTTCACTTCGGCAGACCGTCAACACCTTTTATTCAATGATTGTAAATGGTTTCGTTGCTGTCATTTCCCTCCACTTTTGCCTTTGGAAACCTCCGACTTTCGTTTGTAAAAAGCTTTGTACAAGTGACTCACAATCCACGGGCATGATGGAAGGGCCTGTCTTGTTGTTGTCGGTCTCTTTTATACACTACTTTATAGTTTTCGAAAATCTCGTTTGGTCATTAATTTGCGGGTGGAACGGAAGGGTTGAAAGGGCGCTCTAAATGAATTGAGGGGATAGGCTTGTTGTTTCACGTTATTCTATCGAAATTCTTGGCTGTGTGGGTGCATCGGGACGTAAAATAGTTGGTTTTAGACCTTTTTTGACGAAACATTTTCAAATATATCATTTGTTGTGGGTTTAGCTGAAATCTGGGGGAAATTTATGGCCTTTCAGGCCAAAAATAGGTTTGAAATGTTGTAAAACGGCTAGAGGGGAGGACAAGGAAGACGCCGATATTATTTCTGCCTTCCCTGGTCTCTTTTCACCTTATTTTTGGCCATAATAGTTTGTCTTGACGCCATGGAGAAGATGCTTTCTTGGCTTTTTGGCCTCAAGGCCGTCAATTTAATACGTCCTGGCCATGTGTAATTAAAGATTTTTTGTTACCCATGACTAAGACGGCTGGGCTATCTTTGGCCCAAAGGTGTCGAATACAAAAGCTCTATTCCCGCGATAATACATTCAAAAGCCGTCGTAATCTTTTCCGAGACTATGTTTTTCTCTCTCCGCTTTCACTTTCTGAGACCCCGCCTCGCAGAGAGCACCCCGCAACGTTCCTTTCCAACCGTTTTCGGCAAACCTCGCAAAAGGGGCTTCGGGCGGGGTAAACAACGTTCGAAATGCGGAAGACTCTGGGCAAATTTCCGTGAGTTTTTATGGGTTTCCGGAGCTTGGAGGGGAATGCGACTAGTGATTCACGTTTCAGACGGCTTCTTGGCTGCCTAGGAATGTTTGAACCCTGGTGGGAATTGGTTGTTCTCTGAATCTGGCCGAAAATTATATTTCAAGGAAAGTCCTTCTATGGGGTATGGAGTTACAGGTCGAGACATGTAAAAAAATCGCGAAATTTTTCTAATTCAGAATATGTAAAAATTAGCTGCCTAATTTTGGTTTGCAAGGGCGAAAAACCCCTCAGAACTTTTCTCGCGACACCACAAATGCCCCTTTTTTATATTGAACTGTTAATTAAGGTGTAGTATTAATCAAATTTGATATTGTAAAACTTGTCAAGATGCCAGGCTTTACTTTAGCTCAAAACAGCTTTTGATTTGGTAAAAAATTGATTAATACTACACCTTCGGTTCCAATGTAAAAAAGGGGCATTTGCGTGGTGTTGCGAGAAAAGTTCTGAGGGGGTTTTTCGCCCTTACAAACCAAAATTGGGCAGCTAATTTTTACATATTATGAATCAGAAAAGTTTTGCGATTTTTTGATATATGTCTCGACCTGTAACTCCATACCCCAAGAAGTACTTTCCTTGTTAACCCTTTCCGGACGAGTCGGCACCTCCATGCAGAAATGAAAGAGGGTACCCTACTGAGTAACGGCATAATAGTGGTTCAGCCCATCGAAGCGTTATTTGGGACTTATGACAAAAAATGTCCTAAAAAGTACCCCCAGTTGACATAACCCTTATAAAATTTTGCTAACGACCTGTAAATTAGAAACTACCCCTAAGTTAAAGTCTAGCACTCCTACTACTGTTACATCCAAGAACTGTCCAAATCGGACCACTACGGGATTAGTTATCGACTTTTGGAAATTGAATTTTAAATTTCGACCAATTTTTGGCCCAAAATTGAGTATATCTTCCGCCGGAATCAACCATTTCGGTCCAGGTGTGGTTTTTCTGAATCTACATTGACGCTAGCTTTTTCCTAGAATGTTTCCAGAAAAAACCTATAGAGCACGTTTCTGTAAAAAGCAAAAAAGCTGAAAACGTAAAGGTTTCACCGTATAAAATGTCGCCGCAAGCCGAAAAGGGTCGGGCGCAGCTCGAAAGGCGAAAATAATATTTTTTCTTCGAAAAATATTATTTTAGTGTCGACAAGCTGAATTCAGATGAAATACAGACAGACAGAGCACGCAAACATTAACTCAATGTCATTTTAATATTTTTAATGCGTTTTCAGGCAATTTCATTGGATTTTGCTTTAGTTTCACACTAAAATAGTATTTCTCAAAAAAATATATATTATTTTCGCCTTTCGAGCTGCGCCCGACCCTTTTCGGCTTGCGGCGACATTTTATACGGTGAAACCTTTACGTTTTCAGCTTTTTTGCTTTTTACAGAAACGTGCTCTATAGGTTTTTTCTGGAAACATTCTAGGAAGAAGCTAGCGTCAATGTAGATTCAGAAAAACCACACCTGGACCGAAATGGTTGATTCCGGCGGAAGATATACTCAATTTTGGGCCAAAAATTGGTCGAAATTTAAAATTCAATTTCCAAAAGTCGATAACTAATCCCGTAATGGTCCGATTTGGACAATTCTTGGATGTAACAGTAGTAGGAGTGTCAGACTTTAACTTAGGGGTAGTTTCTAATTTACAGGTCGTTAGCAAAATTTTATAAGGGTTATGTCAACTGGGGGTACTTTTTAGGACATTTTTTGTCATAAGTCCCAAATAACGCTTCGATGGGCTGAACCACTGTTATGCCGTTACTCAGTAGGGTACCCTCTTTCATTTCTGCATGGAGGTGCCGACTCGTCCGGAAAGGGTTAATTTAGATGGAAAATTAATGTTTTTCGCGAGATGTTTCTTTTGGAATGTTTGTTCTTTTGACCTTGAATTTTCGTTTCTTATCCAAATACTCGTTTTTCCGTTAGAGAAATCAACTAACAAGGGAAGTACTTGAAGTGTGACGCTCAGATTTTGATGAAACTTGGCACAAATTTAGAATAATTTTTTCTAAGATATATGCGAGAATCCTAGCTCGCGCTTTGCAGAAACAACCGAGATTTTTAGATCGAAAGTCGGCGAAATTTTAGGACTTTTTGCCGAATTTCGGCACGAAAAGTTTCGTGCCTATTTCAACTGTAAAGGATAATATTTCTACAAAAAATCAAATTTTTCCGCACGAAACTGCCAAAGTTATGGCCAAAAAACGGTTTTCTCTCTGACCGCTCTCCACGTTGAGCGTGCTCTCTCGGCGGCAAAAATCGTTCGATATCTCGGAGAAGCGCAAGCTAAAACTTTCAGGAATTGATATTTAGTCCATACCCGACGTGTGTGCAAATTTTAAAGAAAATCTGAGCGTCACACTTGAAGTACTTCCCCTGTAAAAATAACATCCATGTTCTCGCCTCATCAATGTTTTATTCACCTTTTCCGAAACGAATGATTGGTTTCGGAACGGAGGAGGGAGGTTTTTGGAGATGTTCCCAAAGGCCGTTCGGTCCCCTCGGACTGGCCAGGGATCCTTTTAGTTCTCATTTCGCTCTTCTTTTTTCACCTTGTTTTAGGTGGTGTTTTGAGAAAAATTTTTGCCGAAATGGTTGAAGTATGCGTTGCTTATTTGAAAAGTTTATTGCGTCTGAGTTTTTGGGGCCTCTGATTTGTTTTTACCTTGTTATTTGCCGTTTCAATTGCTCAAATGAAATTCTTTTTTAGTGCAAGATAACTAATCCGTCCTTTTTTCGCTACCTTTTTTTTATGTTTTGACACGAAAACTGAGGATTAATATTTGGGAGAAGGATAGTATGAATGTTTTCACCGGTATTTTTCTCCCATGCGTTGCATTTTACGTGTTTGTTTCGTCTTTTTTTGTTGTTGATAAACAAAATTTGTTTTAGTAAAGTGAAAGATGTCGCAGAAAACACGGAAGTCCACTACAACAACAACTCGTACGTTTAGCACGGGAAGCAGTGTTCTGCCAGAAGAATCTTTTGAAGCTTCGTGAGTTTTTGCCTCTTTCGGTTTTGTTGTTTTAGGTTCAAGGAGAATTTTTGTGCGACGATCGCGAACGAAAGAATTATAATTTTGCTGTTTTCAGCGACAGTTTTGGCTCCAATTCCTCCAGATTGACGCGCACTCGTGTTGAAGAGAAGCAGAAACTCTCCAATTTGAACGACCGTCTAGCTGGTTATATTGAGGTATGTTTTTTGTTCATTTTGTTGGTTTTTAGGAACGTCTTGGGATTGAAATTGGGGCTGAGGATAATAATCTGTCATTGCAGAAAGTCCGTTCGCTGGAACAAGAGAATGCTACACTTCACGCCACCATCCGTGAAGTCGAAGTGACCGAACGCAAAGAGCGCGAGGACGGCAATTCGGAGTGGAAAGCCAAGGTTGATGAGCTGCGATCCTCGCTGGAACATTCCAATCGTGAGCGTGCGAAGTAAGTAATATGTTTTTAGCTGTTTTATCACTTTTAGAAATTTCGAAAATATATTATTCTTTTTCAGAGCGGAAATTCAAGCCAAGAAAGCCCTGAATGAAGCCGATCAGCTCCGTGACAAGTTTACCAAAGCAGAACGTGAATTGAACATCGCCGTTGCCGACCGCGATCGTATCGCCGATCAAGTGAACGATCTGAAGGCCGAAAACAAACGTATCGAAGGACTGAAGAACAAGTACGCTCGAGAGTTAGAGGATGCCAAGCAAGATATTGACCGTGCTACCAACACAATCTCAGCCCTTCAACAGCAAATCGAAGAGGAGTTTTTGTTGAGAACCAGACTCCAGGACACGAACACCTCGCTGAAGGAGGATATTGAGACAATGAAGAGAATGCACGACACGGTAAGGGATCTAATTTGTTGATGATTTTTTATGTTTAGGAGCTGGATGAGGTCTATAAGCGCCGCGAAGTCGAGATGACCACCGTCCAACGTCAATACGAGCACAAAATGAACGACGCCGTGAAGCTGCGCGTCAAGGAATTGAGGGCCGAATTTGATCAACGCCTCCGCGAATCCCGTCAAGAACTGGAAGGCAAATGGCGTCATCGTGTGGAAGAAGCGTTGAGCGCCAGCGACAACAAAGAAGCTCATGTCCTCGAACTCCGCGAAGAGAATGTGCAGCTGAGAAAGTTCAAAAAGGAGTTCGAAGATGAGAATGCGAAGCTCAGAAGACATCAAGAAGAGCTCCAAGCCAGACTGAAAGACCTCGAAGGACAAGTGAGAGTACTTCATGACAAGGTACGCGCCAAGGACGAACAGATCGACAAGCTCCAAGCCGAGATTGATCAGCTGAACAGAGAGTATCAGGACCTGTTGGATGTGAAGGTCCAGTTGGATAATGAGTTGGCAACTTATCACCAACTGCTGCAGACGGAGGAAACTCGGTGAGGAGGGGGATAGGAGTTTGGGGAGGGATTGGGGGAGTTTTTGTGGGTTAGTTGGACTTTTGGGATATTACGGATATTACTTTAGGTACCTGAAGTCTGAGTTTTGGATCTGGATGAATGAAATTTGGTTGAAATTAAGAATATGATTATCTAAAGTGTATAGGAGGCTTTTAGCTTGAGATTCGCAGAAAATATGATTGATTTAGAGTAGAAATAATTGATTTTTTCGATTTTGGAATTGAAAATAGGGATGTGTTGATTTGATCAGGTTTTTTTTAAATATTTTTTGTTAGTTTTTCGAACGGGTTTTGTGTTTTTTAGTGTGTTTGGGGATTTCCCGACAGGTGCGTTCGGAATTTTTGAAAATATTTTTTTGGTTTCCCCACTAATTTCCCCTCTTTTTAGCCTGAAAATCCGCACTGAGGAATCGGATGTGGTCCCGGAAGAGGAAGACGACGAAAATGACTTGCACGTCAGCTTCAATGAATCCAATCTGCAACGTCTCCAACAAATCAACGAGTCCCGCAAGCAGGCGTCGGTGTCGCCGCGTCGCGGAGTCAAGAGACGTCGCCTCGAGGAGGAGAGTTACTTCGAAGGCAGCGGCCGCTTCGATCAGACCGCCGACGTCTACAGAACCCACCAAGAGGCCAAAGGAGATGTGATTGTAAGCGCGGTGGACCCGGAGGGACGGTTCGTGAAGATTGAGAACAAGGGGGATGTGGATGTCCCACTGGGAGGATGGATTATCGCCGCCCAAGACAATGTCCAGGAAGTCAGATTCAAGTTCCATTCGAGACAACACATCAAGGCTGGAACCATCACAACTGTAAGTGAAGGTTGGAAATAGTGAAATAGAGTTTTGGAGGAAAATTTGGGGTGGGTGGGGATGGAAGCGATAAATTTTGGAGGGTATGGTAAGAGGGGACTTTTTTTTCGAATTTGAAATTTTGAGAAAAAAATGTATTACTGAGAGCCGAAAATTATAGTGGGAATTTTTATATGGAGGGCTGAGAAGTTAGGGAAGGCCAGAAACTTTGGGTGTGGTAAGGGGGGATCTTTTAAAAAAATTTTTTTTCTTTGAAAAAATGCTTAGGGCCGAATTTTTTTGGACGTTGACTGAAAATTAGAGAAGATGTTTTTGATTTTGATTTGAAAGTTTTTAGTTGCAATCGAAGCATCAAGTTTGTTGTACTTCGGCTTTTTCAAAAATTAAAAAGTTTTTTTTTTTTGATTTTTTGAGAATTTTAAGCCACTTTTTATTGGATTTTCTTCCTGTTTAGCACATTTTGAGTCCAAATTTTGCTTTTCTGGATATTACTTTAGACCGATTTTTATATATTTTTTTTCAGTTTTTAGGTTGGATTTTTTTATTTTGAATACAGTTTTTGACTAGAATTAAACTTATTTCTGCAGGTTTGGTCTGCGAATGTGCCCGATCGTGAGAACGACCCGGCCGGCAACAACCTGACCTTGAAGAACCAGCAATGGCCCAAGGGCGACGAACGCCGCATCCAGCTGCTGAACACGGAAAACGAAGAACAGGCCGTGTTCGAGAAGTACCGCTCCACCCGCAGCATCAACGAAGGCAACGGCGACGACCGCTGCTCCATTATGTAGAGGAATAGAGATCTGTTTTCGCGGTTTAGATCTTGTTTCAGATGCTTTGAACCTAAATTCCCTTGTTTTTGATGTTATTAATGATGGCCCGGAAGAAACTTTTGCGTAAAAATTATTAAATTTCCTTGCGATTTTTTTTTTTGTTTTTAATATTTGAAGGTTCCGAAATTTCCTCCCCGTCTCACAAAAAAGAGGTCTCATGTTAAATTCTCTGCCCTTTTCTTGTATTAAGTTAATTGAAAACATGTTGTTGTTCTCCGCTCCGTCATGGTTGTCTGTCAGAAGTTATTGTGGCAAAAGTTTTCTTTTAAAATAAAGGGGCTTAAGTGGAGATTCGGCGAGATTTTTTTTTGGTATTGTAGTAGGTAATTATCGATATATTTCTTATCGAAATTTTAATATTTTTTTGGAAGAGTAATCTAGTGGCCAAAAACGTACCATTTTGCATCCGGGAAGTATCAAAAATGTGGCAAAATGCTTCCCTCTCAAAGTGGAAAAACTTTGTTTTGACTCAAAAAAAAGAGCGCGCTTTTGAAATCGGAGTTTTTCACTTGAAGAGGGAAGCATTTTGCCACATTTTTGATACTTCCCGGATGCAAAATGGTACGTTTTTTGCCACTGGATCAGGTCCACCACGGCAATATGAAAGGTGTTTGGAATTGAGACTTAGAGCTGGAAGATTGTGATTTTCAGTTTTTTTTGAGGCTATTGTATCCATGAAGGCATAAAATTTGATCCCATAACAACTGTAATTACATGTTTCCAAGAAATAAAACACCATGGAAATAGACGTTCAACTGAAGAAATGTTTAGCTGTTCAAGTCGAACATTCTTCATTCTTGGCGAATTAGAATCTGAAAGTAAAATGAGGCGATTGTTTTTTGGATCTATCACTTTGATTGCGTATATGGTAAGTGTAATAGAAACAGCCATTTTGGAGATGTTTTATAAGAAAACTAGGTCTACAATAAGATCAACATGACCCAAAATGACTCCCAGTTCTCGCTTTGCCGAAGCGACCGAGATTTTTAAGTCGAATTCGAAAAAGAAACTGAGTTTACTGGCAAAAATACGGCTAAAATTGTTTTTTTTTTCTGCGTGGCCGCGTTTTGCTTACTCTCTTGGCGCCAAAGATTGTTGAATATCTCAGCTGCACCTGCAAAGCGCGAGCTAAAATTTTCAGGAATTGACATAAGGTCTAGGCCAGAAATGTGTGCAAAACTTAAAGAAAATCTGAGCGTCGCACTTGGGGTCCTTTTAATCGCCCATCATCGCTTTGCGACGGCTAGCCGCGGCTAGAGATTTGGAGGCGAGGCATTCTGCACCCTTTGCGGCGACAAATCCACATTATTTTCCAGACAGACTGATTGTTGCTTGTTACTAGTCGCGAAAAAAAGCGAACGCACTGCGAAAAATTCTACGGACTTTATAGCGCGACCGACCATTTTTTTACCATTTTTTATTGATACATTTTGCCTTGGATGTTCGTATTGCTTCTCCAATTTTCAGACAGTCCTCACCCACTCGGCCCGTTTCTCATTGGCGCCGAATATCCGGTTTGGTGGGGAAGCTGACAATGAGACCTTGCCAAGCCTACATTCCTGCGCTGAAGGCGCTTTGGCCGGTGATTACAAGGGATTCGGGTGGTGTAATAGCTCATCAGTCTGCAAGTTTTATATCACTACATCTGGCTACGATACCGGCAACAAGGATGGCTGTCAGTATTATGCGAGGAATGACAGTCACGGCGATTATTGCGACACCACGGAAGATGTGGGAGATATGATTAAAAATTCCGGTGGGAGAAACAAAGCATGATTTTTAAACGATTTTTTTACAGTTTACGACAATGGAGAGTGCCCCACTGGCTTTACATACGACAGCAGTGAGAAGGCGTGCTTTTCGAATATGGTAGATCCGCAGATTTTTACTATCATGTGTCGTTTTTAGACGTCCGATGAGTGCAATCTCTACAACGCCACTTGGAAATACCCCTACATGCCGAATGGCGCATATAAATGTGCGTTGTATCCGAAAAGTCAGAGTAAGTTTGAATGGAGGTTCAAAAAACGTCGCCTTTGCTATGCAGTCTTTCCATAAAATGCGTAGACTCTTCTCGCTGCGCACAGTGCATTTTGCTTCTTTTTGCACCGTGCAATTGTTTGTCGCGCGTGCAAAATTTCGAGTCGATGCAATTAAAAACGTGTACCTCCTTGCGATTTTCCAATTGCACAGTGCAAAAGGCGAAAAGCACAGTGCAAAAAGATTTGTGACGAAAAGTCGACGCACTTTATGAAATGCGTATGTAGTTGTTAATGTGAGACAAACAAATTGACCTTTTTTTTGTGCCCGAACTTCCACTTTTCAGAAACCGGCGACTTTTTTTTTGACTCGAACTTTTCGTGAGCTTGTCACTTTGTCGCATTTTTAGGTCAAGAATTTGAGCTTGTGAGTTGCTGCTGCGTTGTACAATATCCTTAAAAAATCGACCTTTTTTCTTTGGCATATTCTGTTACGCCTCTTTTTGTGTGTGCTCTCGCAAAGAAAACGTAGACTTTCAGTCTGGGGGGAAAATATTTACCATCTTTTTACTGGCCTACTCTGTAGTTGTTCCAGCTATCATAGAACTTTTTCCTAAAACGGTTTTTCAAAGAAGGTTGAAAAAGCAAGGTCTTAATCACGGCTAATTGTTCAACATTTTACTGTCAGCTATTCATTTACGCCACTTTTTTGCAGCGCAATACATTGATGATTACGCCTGCCAAAACTATGGCTCAACACTGCAGATCTTCAAAGGGAAGCCGTATTGCTACTCGAGAATTGCTTTGCCTTCTACGGTTGGTTATATTTTTGTATTTATACTAGTAAATATTAAAATCCCCGCTTCTGTTTAGCTAGCTTCAGCCACCTCAATTGTCTACGACAATGGGTGTTCGTGGCTTTACGATGTGAACACAAACACTCTGAAGATTGAGAGTCGTTTGGAAATGGACTGGATTTTGGCCGTGTTCGGAGCAGTTATGGTTGGGGCTGTAAAGAGGACAACGTTGGCTCCTTATTTAAACTATGATAATACGACGGTAAGAAGGCTATTTCTCATGAAACATCCGTCTGTCGAGAAAATAATGAGCGCAATTTCGCTTCGCCGATCGCTGAAGTGAAAGGCAATTTGGTTTTCCCGTGACACAATTCACTTTCTCGGCGGCGATGCGATTTTCGATGCGACAGAGTCTTCATTATTTTCCCGACGGGTCAATACTTTTGGCATTATCAGTCTGTCGGGAAAATAATGTGAAATTTTCGCATCTTGGAAGTGGCTATCATTTATAAATCCACATTATATTTTTCCGCACAAAATTAGCAAAGATATGGCCAAAAAGTGCTTTTCTCTGGGACTGCTCTCCGCGTTTTGCGTACTGCCTCATCCGCAGAGCCTTTCAATATATATAGTCATATCGCGCAAAAATGTTTGCAAAAAAGGCCAAGTCTGCTGTCACCATACAGTTGCGGACCTGACCCAATGGAAAAAAACGTTCCATTTTGCATCCGAGAAGCGTCGAAAATGTGGCAAAATACCTCCCTCTCCAAGTGAAGAAACTCCGATTTCAAAAGCGTGCTCGCTCTTTTTATGAGAGGTCTCTTCAAACCGGAGTTTTTTCACTTGGAAAGAGAGGTATTTTGCTACATTTTTGACGCTTCTCGGATGCAAAATGGTACGTTTTTTGCCCTTGGGTCAGGTCCCCCGCTCTATATGAAGACTTTTTGTTCCACTTGGCAATTGAAAATTAATTCCTGTCACTTTAGTTCAACACTTTCGGAAAGACGATTGCAACGTCGGCCTACAGCTTTGTTGTCCTCCAAAACAGTAAGTTATAAGTAACCAAATTCTGTATCAGTCTGTCGGGAAAATAATGAGGATAATCTCGCTGCGCCAAGTGTCGCTGAAGTGAAAAGCAATTCGACTTTGTCGCGACACAACTTTCTCATCGGCGATGCGATTTTCGATGCGACATTGAATTATTTTCCCGACAGACTGATTAAACGGCCGCAAGTCAAAGCTTCCGTTTTGTGGCCGACTTTGAAAGTGTTGTTCTAGACGGGCAACTGACCAGTGCCAACAACGCAACCGGCAATTACTTGATGTGCAAATACAAGGGTGTCCCAGCACAATGTTGACGGCACCCCTCTGGCATTCCGTTGGCTTCCGAAAACGCTCTCATGATTCTCGGCTTGTATCTTTTTTTAAGTGTTTGAAATTATAAAACAATTCGAGATTCCGTTGTTGCTAGGAAATTGGGGGGATCGGATTGAATCGACGTGTGAAATTGTCACCCAGAGGGTTGAATAAAATTGTGTCTGTTTTTTTATCAGTATGAAGACAAACGAGAAATTGGTTTGCTATGTTGTGCTAGTGGCCTGTTATTTGGTAAGTCAAGCTGTTTGGTCGAGCATGCCATAAATCTGCGAGAAATCTTTTCTTTAAATCAATCTGTCGGGAAAATTATGAACAATATGTGTACCACTCACGTCGCTGAAGTGAAAAGCAATTTGATTTTGTCACGGCGTAATTAATTTTCTCGCCGGCCAAGTGATTTTCGATGCAACACTGAGCTCATTATTTTCCCGACAGTCTGATATGTGGTCTGGGAAGTCTGTAAAAAGTCCTAAGAAACTCTTCGTGTCGTAAGCGCATTACTTTGTTTGGTGTGCCACGGATTTGCCGTGATCCTCATAGGTTCTGCCTTTTGACAGAGATGACTGAGATTGACTTTAATGATCGATCGTTATCTCATCGTTCGCCAGCGAACACGTATTTCTACAAAGCGGGCTTGGTACGGCTCTGGGGCCTCAAAAAAATTTTTGTCGGATGAGCCTTGAATGAAAGGGTCGGTATGGTATAGGATGATACATTTTTGTAGCCCTCTATCGCTTACTATCAGTCTGTCGGGAAAATAATGCAGACATTCGAAAGATTAAACTGTATAGTGGCGGATCTAATCCATTGGCAGAAAACGTATCATTTTAGATCCGGGAAGTATCAAAAAATGTAGCAAAATACCTCTCCAAGTAAAAAACTCCGATTTCCAAAGCGCGCCTGCTCTTTTTGCGAGGGAATGGGCGCGCATTTCTAAACGAGGTTTTTTTATTGTAGTGGGAGGTATTTTGCCACATTTTGATAGTTCCCGGATGCAGAATGGATCAGGTCCCCCATGCAGTTATTCAACGCCATTTTCAAAAAATTTCTGCCGATGAGAATCTGACCCTCGTCTTTTCATTACATCGATGACAAAATTTTCGCTAGATAAACTATAAGAAACGCATTTGCAATTTTAGATCGCTCTTCACCATGCAGCACGCTTCACAATGGCTCCTGGGGTCCGATTTAGCGGCGATTCCTCCGACGAAACGGCCGATTCCATGTACGCGTGCGCCCACATGACACTCGAAGCCGGTGGTGTGGCGTATGGGTATTGTGATGGAAATGGGACTTGTATGATCTATACAAAGTTATTGGGGTATGCAGAGGGAAATGACGGGTGTTACTTTTACACGAGAAAGGATGATCAGCCAGATGAATGCGTGACCGAATCACAAGTCGCTTCGGTACTTCATGATACAGTTTATGACAATGGAAACTGCCCGACGGATTTCACATACAATAGTACTGAAGAGGCGTGTTATTCGAGCATGGTAAGCAGGATTTTTTTTCAATTTTGCACACACGTTAGGCATAGGCCACAGATCAAGACCTGAAAATTTTAGCTCATGGTTTTCCGGAGTGGCTGAGATATTTAACGATTTTTGAGGGGGTATGCGAGACGTGGAGAGAGGTCAGAGAGAAAAAAATTAGTTTTTGGCCGTATCTTTGCCAGTTTCATGTCGAAAGAATTGAGTTTTTCTGTAGGAATTGCGGTCTACGGTCGAAATAGACATTAAACCTTTCAACCCCTACAAAAAATTAGTTTTTTGGTCTACTAAACTTAATTTTGAACTTACTAGGGAAGTGTACATACGAACCCTCACCAAATGATAAGCGACATATGTCATTGAAGAGCCCTTGAAAAATGGTGCAAGGCACCATTTTCATTTTTTGCAGAATGACTTTCCGCGACGACATACTGTAAATTGTATTATTTTTAGGCCATTTTGCAACAAAAATCTTTCTTTCTCTTGGACAGGAAAAAATCCTCGAAGAGGGTTACTTCAATAGTGTAGTGGTTGCTGAGCAGGCTGATAAGCCAAAGCAAGCCGGGTTCAGTTCCCAGCTTGCGAAAAATCATTTTTGCGTTCTTACAGTTAGGAAAATATTTGCGTTAAACTTTTACAAACGCTTTAATTTTACTGGAAGACGGTCGGTTACGGTTACAACCATCAAACTTACATGTTTTTCAACATTTAAAAACGTGAAAAGTGTTTTTTCACATTATGGGTACTTAAACCCAGTAAATATCATAGGTAAAATGGTCTTACTGGCAAGCGCTAAACTTCATAATGATCCTTATGCTAACCTAGTAGTATTCCGTACCATTTAGCGTTTTGAAATAACATTTATTATGCCCCGCAGCAGATATTGTAACTACTTATGGGACAAATCAACCGTTTATAATTTTTTGCCCTGAGGCATTCTGCAAAAAATGAAAATGGTGTCTTGCACCATTTTTCAAGAGCTTTCCAACGGTGTATAACACTTGCCATTTGGCGAGGGTTCGTTTGTACACTTCCCTAGTTAGCCAATGAAAATTCCCGAATTTGTAATCGAAATTTTTCTTGGCCTCGACTTAAACTTGAACTTTAATTTAAAGTTATTGAAAAGCCCGACCTTGAACTTGAACTTTGGAATTCGTAAAGTCCTCTTCTTGACGAACAAATTTCAGAGTGAATCCGACTGTAACAAGTACTCAGCGACTTGGAAATACACTTACATGCCCGATGCCACCTATCCCTGCGCCTTGTATCCGAGCTCGCAAAGTAAGGGTCTCTACACTTTCAAAGATTCTGTTCTTTACAGCTTCGTACGTTGACGACTACGCCTGCCAAAATTACGGATCAACACTGCAGATCTTCAAGGGCAATGCGTATTGCTACTCAAGGATCGCTGTGCCCAGCTCTGTAGGTCCCTCTTTGTATCATTATTTTTTGTAAATCGTCCAACTTTTTGTGTTGTTTTCAGATGAACAACGACTCAACATTGGTCACCACCGATGGCTGTTCATGGCTGTACGATGTTGATTCTCATACAGTAATTGTTGAAACACAGCTCGAGATTGATTGGTTGTACGGTAGGTGGCATTGTAAAGCCCCAAATCTACAGCAGTCTAAACAAATTTTTCTATAAAAACAAGTCTCGAGAAGCCTTGCAATGCAGTGTTTTACAGTCCTTATTTGCACTAGTCAAGCCCAAAATTTCAGCGACATTCGGAGAGATCATGTTGGGCGCTTATGGCACAACAACCTGGGGAATGAACTTTGCCAACAATTACAAGTTCTATGACAACAGTTCGGCCTCCAGTTTCTTGAGTCAGAGCTCGATCATGCGCAGTACCGCCGGCTTCATGTACGCGGCTGGAAGTGAGTTTTTATTAATTTTTTTCACAAAAAAAACTTTATTTTTCTAGCCATGGTGAACACGACGAACAAGTTGCCCGGCAACTACATTTTATGCAAATACGACGCGGTCTCGGCTCAATGTTAATGCGAACGGAGAATTTGAAAGAGAAGAGAGCGACGTAAAAAAATTATCGAAGGGTTCATCTGTCAAGATTTTGAAAATTCTATAGTAAACTTGGCGAATCAGTAGATATAAATTTAACAAGGGAAGTGCCCCAAGTGCGACGTTCAGATTTTGATGAAATTTGGCACAAATTTAGAATAATTTTTTCTAAAATATATGCGAGAATCGTAGCTCGCGCTTTGCAGAAACAACCGAGATTTTTAGATCGAAAGTGGGCCAAAATTTTAGACTTTTTGCCGAAATTCGGCACGAAAATTTTCATACCTATTTCTACCGTAAAGGATAATGTTTCTACAAAAAATCACATTTTTCCGCAAGAAACTACAAAAGTTATGGCCAAAAAGTGTTTTTCTCTCTGACCGCTTTCCACGTTTTGCGTACTCTCTCGGCGGCAAAGGTCGTTCAATATCTCGGCGGCGCCTGCAAAGCGCGAGCTAAAAGTTTCAGGAATTGATATTTAGTCTATTCCCGATGTGTGTGCAAAATTAAAGGAAAATCTGAGAGTCGCACTTGGGGCACTTCCCCTGTTAGATGTAAAAATTTTCCAGCCAAAGGTACAAAATTAAAGTTTATTTCCTTTCCAAAAACAGCCAAAAAATGGAGCCTCTCCTTTTCGCTGACCTCTTTCTGTCATCTAGGCGGGAACTTGAGCCGTCTTCACAGTCGGTTCTTGAGGCTTGGCCGGGTCGTTGGCCGGGGCCGCAGCTGCAGGATCGGGTGTTTTCTTGTCCTCGAAGTGATAGTTGCTTCGGGTCTTGAGATCCGGATCCTCCTCCACCATCGTGCCCTCGGTCTGCAAGGTCGTTGCCATTTTGGTTTTGGCATTGTCGACCTTCGCCGGGATGTCATCTTTCTTGTCTTTTTTGCCGCCTGAAAATTCGAAATCAGTTTGATCAGAAAGGGAAGGCGAATTTTGGCAACTCACCCTTCTTGGATCCCTTTTTCGTCTTTCCGCATCCGGCAATTCCAAAAGCCAACGCTTCGGCCACACTGAATATCAATACGACCATCTCCAAAACGGCAAGAACCAACATTGTCGATGCCTTACAATCCAAAACGAAGACGTAAAATATTCTTTAGAAGATATTTACCTCTTTCTTGTCGACGTCTTGTATGGTTTTTCAGCCGTTCCAAACCGCTCGACCAAAGGCAAATTGCTGACCAACCGGCCGGTCGATGAGACAAATTAAAAATGAAGGGCTGCGCCGCTTTTTAGTCACCTCACTTTATTGGGTAGGAAAATAAATGCGCATTATAAACGGGCCCAACCAAAAATAAAACTTTGTCATAAACTGAAACTGTCAGGCATCTACAGTATCACAATACCAAAATCAAGGCAGAAATTTGTGTAAGAGGAGATAATCGCCCCAAAAAACAAAAGTAAAGACGTAGTTATGACTAATATACCCCAAGTGCGACGCCCGATTTTTTGGCACCGTGCCGAATATTCTCAAAATTTATCGAATGTAACACTTGGCACTTTGAGTCAAGTCTTTCTCTCGTGGTCCTTTTTCTCGGTTTTGATTCAGACTAGTCCGTTCGGAAGTCGCTAGAGTAATCTTTGGTGTTTGCAGTGTGCAGAAAAAATCAGGGTACGAGCGACAGCCGAAAAAAAGTTTATTGCACGGTGCAAAAAACCAAGAAAAAAAAAAAAAACCTTGCGCATTGCAAAGACAATTTTTTGCACAGTGCATGTCGCTAAAATCGCTCCAGCGTCTTTGCGAATGGACTAGTCTGGAGCAAACCAAAAAAAAACAACCACGAGAGAGAGGCTTGACTCAAAGTGTCAAGTGTTACATACGATAAATTTTGAATGTCCGACGAGATGCCAAAAAATCGGGCGTCGCACTCGGGGCACCGTCACAACTACGTATTTTCTTTAATTTTTTTCGAGTGTTTATGTCTTTTTTCAACATAGTAACATATGTATTAGGTTGGGACGAAAGTTTTCCCCTTTTTCTTGTTTTTTTCCAAACAAATTTATTTTGACAGTTGTAACGGGAAACCAAACATAACATCCACCGTCGGTATCCACTACGTATTGCCAACGTTCCGACAAGGATTCAATTGGCGAGGTTAAAAACTGGGGTATTTATAATAAAAAATGTCAGAAAGACCTGTTTTGAGGTCCCCCAAACAATCGAACCGCACATCTCCCAAACGGTAGCTTAGCGATCTGATCAAATGGTAATCAGAAGGTGCCAAGGCTGGGGTGTAGTGTGGGTAGGGCAGCAAAGTCCATGCATTCTCCCTGAATTTTTTGCGCGCGATTTTTGCAATGTGGTAGCAGGCGTTGTCGTGAAGGAGGAACATTTGATCCACTTTTATCTAGCATTTTCGGCGACGCGGTCCAACTGGCGATAATAATGTTATTTAGTGACAGTTTTACCATCAGGGAGCCATTCCTAATAAATACCTCCCATACAAGTACACCAATCGCAGAACATGACCTTTTTTGGGTGAATTTTGGTTTTGGGGTTGGTTCACCGTGATGGTCGGGTTCAAGCTACTGAAGCTTGCGGGTATAGTTTATACACATCACCCATTTCTGGTTCCCTGTAATAATATTGGTCAGCCAAGTCAGCGTGCGGCGGTACGACAAAAATTAGGAGCAACAGTATAAGCCGTGACTCCGAAAGTTCGTGCGGAACAAATTAACCACACTTCCACACTTTTCCCAACCGATGTAGATGGTCCATAAAGGTAGTATGGGAGAACCCAAAGAGCTCTCCAAGTTCACGTAATGGCAATTTGGGATAGCTCACGATTAAGCCTTTTAGGGCGTCATCATCTATCTCAGATGGCCGCCAGAACTTGGTCGTCTAACTCCTTTTTTTGAACCTCTGGAACCAATACTTGGCCACACCATAAAAGAGGACGTCCTTGCCTATAACATCCTAGACTTCGGTTATATCTTCCATGGGTTTTGGTATTCTGCGATAGTTTTAAAATTTGACGCATCGAAACAGCAACTTTGGGACGGAAATTTTTCCACGTTTGGAGAGCGCTATGGGGACAAGTTACATATCAGTCTATATGCTATCAAGTCACCCTTACATAGTCACATGATAGAACTTTCCAGGAAGTTCCACAACTTCCATAACTTTTCCCGAAAATTAAGGGGAAAACTTTCGTCCCAACCTAATATATCAACGAAGTTGGGTAGCCCTCGTATGAATTACTCAAAAAATTTAGCTAACGTTTTCCATAGACAAATCTTTATTCATCATTTGCATACTAAATAACGGGCAAATAATACGAAAAGTTGAAATGTCAAAAACTGTAAATTCTTTATGCCAAGCTCGGAATTTGAACCTTGTTTTTGACAATTCCAAGAGTTTCTCTCACTCCTTCCAAATACTCCTTATAAAATGTCAAATTGAAGACCATTACGATCGCGGGGAACGCGTAAAACATTCGATAAATTATGTAATATCCGATCAGGTGCTTTTCGATTGGCAAATAAACAGGGATGCAGACGTAGGGTGCGAAGAAATACACCAATTCAAAGAACTCTTCGGACAATAGCCCCATGGTTTGACGATGATATGTTTGGCGAGTCCTCTCACTGATCTTGGGATAAGGATTTCGTTGGAACACGTAGGACTTGTAGGTGCAGATACATCCGAAGATTATGCAGAGGGGATTCGCGACGAGCTCAAAGTTGCGCACGAATGAGCCGGACTGAAAAGATGTAGACGTTGTAAGGAATGGCCTGTTTGGGATCAAAAGCCTTCGAAACTCTGAGATTTTCTCTTGCAATTCTATCTATTACTATGCCAATATTTTTGAACATCTTGGCTGCTTTCGTATCTGTCTGTCGGGAAAATAACGGCAAAATGTCTCGCCTCGTCGAAAAAAGGGTGAAGTCGCGCACCAAATCCCCAGCTTCGGCAGCCGTCGCAAAACGATGATGGGCGATTTCGAAGCACGTTCCCGACAGACTGATAAAACGTCAGTCTGTCGGGAAAATAATGAGCCTCTCTGTTGCATCAAAAACCGCATCGCGGTGCGTTCGCGACAAGCATGGAAAAAGGTTCAAATGCAACTGATTTTGCCGATACGAAAGCGAAAAAAAGTCTATGCACTTTATGAAAATAATACTAGTAATATAATATACGGCAAGCTCCTCCTTTATTAACTCACCTGAATGGCAGTGACACTGTGACTCTGAAGATACTCTTTTACAGCCAGGTTTTTGCTTGGAAATTGCTCTTGAAAGTCTTTGCCATCACCCACACTTCTAATCACATCCAGGACCGTCGGAATATAGGTAATTTGGCATATCAAAAAAATGATATAGATGCCGTTTCGAGTGGACAAGAACTGTGTCAGCCTGCGATTCATTGTTCCTTGCGCGAAACGAAAGAGAAACCGGAAATACGTGGCAATGATGTAGGTTTGCATAAGGAGAAATGAAGAGACTTGAAGGTAAAAGGTCAGGCTTGGCATCTAGAATACTACTTTACATATAAATAGAGTAACTTTCGTTAAAAATCTTCTTTTTTGCATGGAAGCCAAGGGTTTACCTGTAGAAATTCGACAATCCCTCGGGAGATTGTAAAGTTGTAGAACTCGAAGTATTCTAGCTCAAATGAGGCCATTACCATAGTGCATAAAGTCAGCGAAGTGAACGACCATATCATATACCTAAAGCGACCATATTGAGGAAAGTTTTTGTCGACAAGTATAAGGCACTTTGTAATGAACTCTCAAGATATTATAAAAGTAGAACATTTGTTTGTCTCTTTTTTCCGTTGCGCTTGAAAACCTCTGCAGCCTTTTCATAACGAGAGATATGACTTTCAGAAATCACCAGTTGCCTCTGTGGATACAGATCAGATACAAGACAGCGACCCTTTGTTTACACATCACCTACAAACAGAAAGCCAGGATTTTTGGCAATTGCTTTTTTAAGTGGCTCTTTTAGCTCATGTGTAATAGGTAGTGGACAAAATCGCGATACATCCATATAGTTACCATTTATAGCTTCCAATGAGCTCTGAAGAATACTTCCATATGACATAATTTGTGAGGACGCTTAGTGGCAACGTTACAAGCTCCACAATCCAAGCGTAAATCACAAAAACAATCTTCACGTTTTCGGGGACAAATTCAATGTCCTGGAAGGTGATATTCCAGTGCATTTTAGCGGGTGCGCAAAACTTTAGTGGCGGCGTAACCGAGTGCAAGTTACAGGTGAATTTGGGAGTTTCCTCGTTTCACGTCCGCATTGAATATTTACGGTTATAATAAATAAACAAGGCTTGACGTACATAGATTCAGGCTTTATGGAGAGGTGAAAGTTTAATACTCTCGTTTTGCCAACTCCTGGCAACGATGGTCAAATTTACAGAGAAAGTACTGCAAGCGTGACGTTCAGATTTTGATGAAAATTGGCCCAAATTTAGACTAACTTTTTTTAAGATGTAGCACAAACACATTGATCGCCATAACAGTGGGTAAAAATGTGGTTTCAGTTGATCCATTCGCGAGGAAATGAATTGTATCGCGGCGCAATCAAATTGCTTTTTACTTCAGCGATTGTCGCAGGACATTGTGCCATTACTTTCCCGACAGGCTGATAGAAGCGCCATGGCGATCAAAGTGTTGCGGTAAATTGCCTAAAAGGCACCGAACGCACGCATCTTTCCGACAGCAATTACGTTATCACTTCGGTAGACGATCTGATAACGTGTTTAATCGCTTCTGGAACACTGGTGCACTTGGTCTTAATTTTGTCATACACTCTGACTTCTTTATTGAACAGTAGGAGATAAATTATTATAACCAAAAGGTGCGAGAAACCACGACCCGAACTGTGAGCCGCAGCAGCTTTTTTGCAAAACTACAAAAGCTGATTGCTCAGAAGTACACGGGAAAATGCTTAATAAAGTGACAACATTGCCACTAAACAACCGACATAACAAACGGGCAAGCATGTTAGCACTCAGAAAACATGCCTTACTAATCAGACGGTTCGGAACGCCGCGGTTTTTCATAACCCTCACGGCGAATCCCAACTGGGTGGAACTTAAAAACACCGTGTATCTGTACTAGTCCTTCCGGAAAGTCGCCGGGCTGATTTTTGGCGTTTGCACTGTGCGAAAAAACTTAGGGTGCGAGCGACATCCCAAAAAAGCCTATTGCACGGTGCAAAAGGCAAGAAATTGCACAGTGCAAACTGAACTTTCGTTTTCGCAGAGTGCATGTCGCCGATTTCCGTCCGGCGACTTTCCGGACGGACTAGTATTGTACAACTGTCGAGGAATCGCCAGATCTAATGAACCGCGTTTTCATCGAATGACTGAAAAAGATGATGCGTTTGTTGACTGGCGATGGGCAAAAAGGTGACGGCATGTTTGGAAAAGCCATTGGGTTTCACACCCGCATTGAGTTCCAAAAACGCGGCAACCCTCACGCCCATATTGCTCTGTACATAGACGACGAGTAAGACCCCTTAACAGTGGACTTCGTCGATGAAACCATTGACGCCGAGCTTCCCAACAAGGACGAGGACTCATGGCTCTACGACTTTGTCATTGAGCATCAGTTGCATATTTGCAACGATGAGTACTGTCGTACCGAGCCAGGCGGAAAATGTCGTCATGGATTCCCCAAAAAGTTCCAGAAAGTACGGCTTTAATAAAGCCAAGAAGATGTTTTTTATCGCTAACGATCTCTTTGAAAAACTTGGTTTTTCTGGCTAAGGGGCAGATCGGTGCAGTTGCATCTGCAAAGCTGAGATGGCGCTACGACATTTCGGGTCAGGGACAACTCGGGTCAACGACACTTCGGGTCAACGACACCTCGGGTCAACGACATTTCGGGTCAACGATACCGTTTAATATTTTCGCTTCGGGACTGGGAAAAAAGAATTTTTTGGTGAATTTGGAAAATTTTTGAATGTTTTCGCTTCGGGACTTGGAAAAAAGAATTTTTTGGAGATTTTGAACAAATTTTTGAAATGTTTTCGCTTTGGGACGTGGGAAAAAGGATTTTTTGGAGAGTTTGAACAAATTTTTGAAATTTTTTCGTTTCGGGTCTTGGGAAAAAGATTTTTTTTTGGAGAATTGAGGTTTATTTTTTTAATTTTTGTTAGGAAAATAGTGTATAAGCGACGAGAAAATAAGAAAATCATATCCATAAAAAATTTTTTAAATAAACCTCAATTACGACCTAAAATAACTATTTGTCTAAAAAATTCCAGAATAACATTTGTATCTTATGTAAAATAAAATCGTAACATTCAGAACGAACCTCTAAAAATTCTTTTTCCCAAGTCCCGAAACAAAAAAATTTCAAAATTTCGTTCAGATTCTCCAAAAAATTCCTTTTCCCAACTCCCGAAACGAAAAAATTTCAAAAAATTGTTCAAACCCTCCAAAAAATCCTTTTTCCCACGTCCCGAAGCGAAAACATTTCAAAAATTTGTTCAAACTCTCCAAAAAAATTTTTTTCCACGTCCCGAAGCGAAAACGTTTCAAAAATTTGTTCAAACTCTCCAAAAAATCCTTTTTCCCACGTCCCGAAGCGAAAACATTTCAAAAATTTGTTCAAACTCTCCAAAAAATTCTTTTTTCCAAGTCCCGAAGCGAAAACCATTCAAAAATTTTTCAAATTCACCAAAAAATTCTTTTTTCCCAGTCCCGAAGCGAAAATATTAAACGGCATCGTTGACCCGAAATGTCGTTGACCCGAGATGTCGTTGACCCGAGTTGTCCCTGACCCGAAATGTCGGGACGCGGCTGAGATCGTGTCAGCGGGGACTTTTCTTGGCTTTTCAGGTTTCTAGGAGCTCCCGGGTTACATTTTAAACCTAAGGAGCACATCTATCCCCAGGGTCAAATAGCAAATGGGTCGCCAAAGCTGGACATGGTAACCGGATGCTTGCTGAATCCACACTACCAGACCACCATGGAGTTCGTGCGAAAAGCGAAGGCTTGTACAGGTGATTACACGTCTAGATCACATGATAAAAACGTCATTTAAAACTTTTGGAAAGCGTTAATGGAAGATAATCACCAGTTTGGGTAGCTCTGCATCAAACATGGTTTAACGCGTTCAAACCCGTCTAAACCTGGCCGAACGTGTCCCCATACCAGTCCTAGTAATCAGTGGAAGACTCATTACTAGGATTGTTTGTTAAATTGTGTTTATTAGTAAAAGATTGAATTAAACCACGTGGTCATATCATTTTGCCCAGCCGATTTTTGGCGGTTTCGGGTTTTTCCAAATTTTACTCGCCTTGCACTTTTTGAAATCCTTTGATACTTTTTGGGTACATGTTACACTGCTCCATACTCACTTTCACCAAATATTAGCAAATTCATTTACCACGGACAAATTGCCAGCGCAAAATTGAGGTGGTCATATCATTTTGTCCAGCAGTGTATGATCGTATTTACAGATAAAATAGCTAACTTGACGTCAATTTATTTCAGAAACAAAATTAAAAAGATTATTGGGTTCCGAAACTGGGATTTAAAGTTGTTTTGGCAATCCCATTACCATTAACCAAATTAAATTGTAATTGTTGGTTCAAAAACAGTTGGAAAAGAAGTTGGAAAGCAAGAGGATTACAGAAAAAATTATTTGATACAGTATCGAGGAGAGGGAGATGCTGATGATGGGACTTGATCTTCCATTGGGCCCGCCTTCTTCGGTAATTGCCCTTCAAAAAGTCGGCCAAATTGGCCGGATGGATTGTCCAAAAATGTCCCTTTCCATTGGCTGCTCTCCCAGCTTTAATAAAGCATTCGTTTAGCGAGAGGTTGTGTCTGACCGAATTTCTCCATCCATTTCCCCGACTTCTGAATCGTATTTTACAGGGTGGGCCACTCGAAACGGGTAAGTTGTTTCTTTGAATTTCTCCGCGGAGACTCCGCCGATTTTCCCAAAATTAAGATTTTTCTGGAGCTGAGACCCGCCATTTTTAACCGATTGAATTTCAAAAAAATATGTTTTGAATTGACCTTTCTATGCCTTCCCAAAGTTTCGAAGAATTATTTTCGAGCCGAAACCGCTAAAACTTTGAAAATTTTTGGAATGATTTTCAATTGACTTTCTCGGACTTCGAAAATTTTTGGTTTTTTTTGGTAAAATCGAGAAGTAAAAAAGTTCTGCGTTACCGTAGGGCACGAACTTTCAAAAAAAAAACCCAATTTTTTTAACAATTGATAAAGTCCAAACAATTGGCTACGAACCCCAGCTCCAAGCCGTTGATGCTTGGAGCCCAGCCCCATTAAAGCTAAACGATGTTCACGATCTGCAATTCGAGCGGTTCACGACTCTCAAAGCTCCTAAAAGTTTGTGCTGCGAGATGAGGTGGGCATTTCGAACTCATATAGAAATATTAATAATCAGTTCGTTAAATAAAATTGTTTTTACAACAATATTTTATGGTTATCTGAGGTAAAACTAAGACAATTTCACCCAAAAACTCGAAAAAATGACCAAGTTTTCAAAATCATTCCAAAAATTTTCTAAGTTTTAGCGGTTTCGGCTCGAAAATAATTCTTCGAAACTTTGGGAAGGCATACTAGTCCGTTCGTAAAGTCGCTGGAATGATTTCGGCGACGTGCACTGTGCAAAAAAACTCAGGGTGCGGGCGACAGCCCGAAAAAGCCTATTTCACTGTGCAAAAAGCCAAGAATTGCACAGTGCAAATTGAACTTTCGGTTTCGCGGAGTGCATGTCGCCGAAAACATTCCAGCGACTTTACGAACGGACTAGTAGAAAGGTCAATTCAAAACATATTTTTTTGAAATTCAATCGGTTAAAAATGGCGGGTCTCAGCTCCAGAAAAATCTTTATTTCGGGGAAATCGGCGGAGTCTCCGCGGAGAAATTCAAAGAAACAACTTACCCGTTTCGAGTGGCCCACCCTGTATATTCACCATCAATATTTACTCACCTAAAATACGGGTATTCCATGGCGATCCAATTGTAAATCTGGGATAAAAGCATTTTCCTCTCCGGATTGCTCAGAATGGCCATAGAAATAAGGCCAATATAGGAATAAGGAGGTTTGAGATCACTTTTCGAGGCTGGGGATGCTGTAGCATGAGGTGGAAGAAGACTTTGCAGGTAGAAAGAAGGGATGTTGCCTTCTGGCAGGGTGCTGCCGGGCTCGGGGGCGCTCATATTTTCGAATTCTTGCTTTGTTTCGATCTTTTATATTCGCGTAATTCGCGCAGCGGGCCGCCCCATCCCTTTTGTTCCTATTTTGACAATAACAGTAAAATTTAACGATGGTGCAATGGGTTTACGTGGCAATCAGGCAAATTGAAATGATACAATAAAATGCCTATGCCTAACGCCACCCGCTTTTTGTCTGATAAAAAGCGCGGGGTACTGTATTATGGACCTCCGACAAGGTGCGGCGGGCGGCCAAAAACATGACTTCGTCATGTCTCTGGTCCGACCCGCCGCGGTTGCCCCATTCTACAGGGTGTTTCAAGAAATTTGGAACAAACGATTTGCTTATATCTTTGTGTTCTTTGCAGCTATCAAAGAATTTCTTTTTGCTTCTAAAAATTGACAGCGTGCGCTTTTAGAATCTCAAAAAAAAAAATTTTTTCGTCGGCGGAGGGCCCATTTCTCGGCGGAGAAAATTAGGGCCTTTTTTAAAAATCACAGCGTATTACGTGGCGGAAACGCCGTTGCAACGACTGAAATCAAGTTTACGTAATACCTCCATCGATTTTACGGTATGCATTTTTTTGTTTTCGATTTTACGCGCACCGCGGAGGCGCGGCGGAGACTTCAAATTTCGGCGGACGTTGTTTTGGGCCTTCGGCTGTTGCAATTCATGTTGGAAAAGAGGTTGGGGTGATTTTTTGTTGTCATCAGATGCACAGATGGCAAAAATTTCGTGCTTTTTTTCCCCGGCGGAGGATTCGGCGGAGGCTTTATCAAAGGGTCAAAGCAGTCTTACGAGTCCGGGAAAAATCTCAGCTACAAGAATCCGTCAGAGCAGCATTGTCTTTCAAAGATTTTTGATTTTTTTGGTCCGGCGGACAAATCGGCGGAGTTTTGTTTTTACCCTACAAAAGTTCACTTTGCACTGTGCAATTTTTGGCTTTTTGCACTGTGCAATAGGCTTTTTCGAGCGTCGCTCGCACCCTGAGTTTTTTCTCACAGTGCATGTCGCCGATTTCCGTCCGGCGACTTTCCGGACGGACTAGTACTAGTCGTTCCAGAAAGTGCGTGCACTTTTTTCCGCCTTTTTTGCACCGCATAGTGCAAGTTTTCGTGTTCCCCGCGCGACGCGAACCTTTTCGAAACATTTTGCACTGTGCAATTTCCCCAAAGTTCGCGCCGCCTCCGTTGAGAAAAGCTGGAATCCTTCGATTGCGACCCCGCTCGATTGCGACCTCGCATCGATTGCGACCCAAAATGGGGTAAAGCGACCCCAGGATGAAAATTCTTTGATTCTCTTCGGGAAAAACTTGCTTTAGGGGTTTTCGAGGGTGCTGATTTCGAAAATGATGTTCATTTTTCCTCTAGTACTACATAGTACTGTCTGATACTACATAGTACGAAGTCAAAATATGGCTTTTTACGTTAATGGTGTTGGTTTGATGCTTAGTACTCTTCAAAAACACGTTTTAAAGACTTGCTGCTATATAGTACTGTCTGATACTATGTAGTACGAGGTGTAAAGTTGGCCTTTAGGCGTTTGTGGTGTTGTTCTGGTGCTTAGTACGCCTATTTTTACTTCGTACTATATAGTATCAGACCGTACTATATAGCACCAAGTCTTTAAAACGTGTTTTTGAAGAGTACTAAGCATCAAAACAACACCATTAACGTCAAAAGCCATACTAGTCGCGGAAAAAAGTCCTGGGATTTTTCTGCGACTCTGCACTGTGCATGAAACCGAAAAGTGCTTTTGCACAGTGCAATTTTGTTGATTTTGCCTTATTGTCGCGCGCGATTCCCGCGAAAAATCAACTTTTCGGGGCGCGACGGAATTTGGGGGGCGCGAGAAAATCCCAGGACTTTTTTCCGCGACTAGTACTACTAGTCGTTCCAGAAAGTGCGTGCACTTTTTGTCGTGGGCCGCACTGTGCACAAAATTCCCTTTTTGCGGGGTGCATTTGACCTTTTGCACCGTGCAAATCCAATATCGCTGCGACACAAGCTTTTCTCAACGGAGGCGGCGCGAACTTTGGGGAAATTGCACAGTGCAAAATGTTTCGAAAAGGTTCGCGTCGCGCGGGGAACACGAAAACTTGCACTGTGCGGTGCAAAAAAGGCGGAAAAAAGTGCACGCACTTTCTGGAACGACTAGTACTAGTCCGTCCGGAAAGTCGCCGGACGGAAATCGGCGACATGCACTGTGAGAAAAAACTCAGGGTGCGAGCGACGCTCGAAAAAGCCTATTGCACAGTGCAAAAAGCCAAAAATTGCACAGTGCAAAGTGAACTTTTGTAGGGTAAAAACAAAACTCCGCCGATTTGTCCGCCGGACCAAAAAAATCAAAAATCTTTGAAAGACAATGCTGCTCTGATGGATTCTTGTAGCTGAGATTTTTCCCGGACTCGTAAGACAGCTTTGACCCTTTGATAAAGCCTCCGCCGAATCCTCCGCCGGGGAAAAAAGCACGAAGTTTTTGCCATCTGTGCATCGGATGACAACAAAAAATCACCCCAACCTCTTTTCCAACATGAATTGCAACAGCCGAAGGCCCAAAACAACGTCCGCCGAAATTTGAAGTCTCCGCCGCGCCTCCGCGGTGCGCGTAAAATCCAAAACAAAAAAATGCATACCGTAAAATCGACGGAGGTGTAACGTAAACTTGATTTCAGCCGTTGCAACGGCGTTTCCGCCACCGGATTTCAAATCCAAAATCCGATTTTCGTATTTCGGGAACTAGGACCTAACAAAAATTTCTCTAGCTTTCTCGTCGATTTCGGGTCCCAGTATTTTTCCGAGGGCGATTTCGGTTGGGTTCGAAATTTTTCTATTTTCTCCGGGTTTTCACGAGTGCACTGTGCGGTGAAAAGGTGCACTGTGCGTTGGTAGGGTGCACTGCACGGTGCTTAGCGCATAGGCTTAGTTTAGCCGCTTAGGCTTAGGCTAATTTGGTGGCGCTTTGCGCGCACACCCGCGTTGGGAATGTAGGCTGACGAGTCGCGTAGCGACGTAGTCAGGCTACATCCCAACGCAGCTTGTCGAATTATGACCAGCAGAAAGAAGGAGTCGTATTTTAAACGTTTATACAAGACAACAAGTATATTTATTATATAAAATTATATAAATCAAGTTTTGAAGAGATCCGTATTCCTAATTGATATTCCGTCGGCGTTGATTATCATCCCAATGGTCAGATTCTCCGTCAACATTAAGCAAATCTCTTCCAGGCCCCGCAACAAACATATTATGCGACCCATTCGGCACGGGTCTTGCGGATGGGTCCTCCTACAGTAATCAGCAAGCTCTTCTTGAATTTGCTCCAAGATCCGGTCGCATCCTCGATCCGGAAATTGAGCGGAAACTAAAACAATGGATGTAAACTTGCCATGAGAGATCTTACTTTCGCGTAGAAGGATTATGCCAATCAGACCCGCAATTTCGGTGTCGTCCGGTCGATGTGTACGGAATTTCTTGGCAATCCGGCTCATCTTGGAAATGAGCGGTGAGAACGTTCTGGAAATGCTTACTTTTTAAACCTTTTACAAGGCTATACATATATTTTCAAAGACATATCGGAGGTTCTAGGCACGGTAAGCTAAAACAGAATAAAAAATTTCCCCGACCACTTTTGAGTTTCGTCCAAACGAAGTGTCCCAACTGTCGAAAGGAAACGCGAAACTCCTCGGATTCCACTGTGTACAAAACTCTCTTTCTGCGCCAAAAATTGCCAAGAAAGTCTACGCACTTTCTGGAACGACAAGTAGCGAGTTATACGAAAAACTTCAGCCTTAGATCTACCGGGTAACACAAGAAAAAAAACATTTCTTTCCGCCTGCTTGCCAAATATAGATTCGCCGAAACTCCAGCCCCTTCAAAAAGTCGCTGGAGAAATTCACGACAATTAAAGTATTCATTTTTTATATTGATATTGTTACCTTTCAATGTCTGGCAAGAAACGTTGAGGTGTGTACAAATGTTCCGGGCTATTTATCTCGATATATGCACCATAGTGGAAGAATTGTTTTCCTTCATCGTTCAGAAAATAAACAGTGTTTAAGTACTGTTCGTTTAGAAAGGAGAACCGGAAGTGGAAGATGTCCAACACGCTTTTCTGAAAAAAAAAAAATAAATTTTAAGTCATCCTTGGTAAATAAATTTAATCCCTGAGGGCAAATTGAGGCCTAAAAACAAAGCGAACCTTCTCCTTGATATTCAGGTCCTTGAACGGGAAAAAATGGCCATTCAGCATCTTCACATAGTAAGCAATCGCCGTTCTGTCCATAAAAGTGTGCTCCTTGGCGGTGAGTTTCTGGAACACAATCTCTTGCGTGAACACGTGTTCTGGATGGAAGACAAAGTAAAGGGTTTTGGTGTCCTCGAGGAAGATCCGATATCCCTCAACCATTTGAGTCAAATACGATGAGGTAGAAGGCTGTTGGGCAGTTAAAACTGGCGGTGCCTTAAGGGAGACCGGCTTTTCTTTCCGTCGAGGCCCGTTTCGGTCAAAATTTGGGCGGATTTCTGAAAGTTGAGGACTATGACTTGAAATAGAAAATGTAAGAGCTCTATCGTCGATAAACAAGGACTCAGACTTATAAAAAATTTTGCACAAACTTTTAAAAAAAATTTTTTTTTCGATTTAAAATCTTTGATAATACAACTCAGTATGAAATACTTACTTTCCACTTCCATTCCCACCTTGATACATTTTCTCAATCGGCAGCCCGCGCATGAGGTTCGAGAATCTAAAATAAAACAAAATGCAGTCATTTCAGGTCACTGGGGCCTCTAAACTTTGTCGTTATAGACAGAAAAGCAGCGGAGATTCTGCTATTACAATCTTATGGGTCTTTAGGCAACCTTTTTACTCACTCGGGCCAACAAGTTGGTTACGTTTTTAAGCACTAGTCCGTTCGTAATGTTGAGTGATTTTAGCGGAAAAGCACTGTGCGAAGACGAAAGTTTGCTTTGCACTGTGCAATTTTCTGTTGTTTGCACCGTGCAAATGGACTTTTTTCGATGTCGTTCGAATTCTGAATTTTCCAGCGGCACTGCGACGCCAACGCTTTCTCCAATGACTTTACGAACGGACTAGTTTTTTAACACAATATTTCGGGTTAAAAACTCAATCGTCACCGATTTTAGAAAACAACTATGATTCATTTTCAAAACCCTTTCATTGCGCAAGCATTTTTTCAAATACCATCAAAATCTATGCTTTGCAATTTGACATTTTCTATTGCCAATACTTACCAGTTATTACATCACAATCCCCTTTCCGTTTGCAGCGATAATTCCTCCCCAACACAATGGATCGACGGAAGAATGCGGCGCCTAAAAATCACATTCCATGCCTCCCATTGGCATTCATTTGCCACTTACATGATCTACAAGTAATCACACCGAAATGCGCGGAGGCCCAAGGCGAATTGCACACGGAGCAAAGCTGGAACGAACGAGACGAGGCAACGTCAATTTTCATCGACAAAAGTAAAAAACGCGACCATTTACGGGAGTTTTAAGCGCGGAGAGAGAGGCAGGCAAAAAAGACTCGATCACAAACCATAAATAGCCCCGCGCGTGGTCACAAGGATCAAGGGGGAAGGACGCGTCGCTGCTGTTGTGGTTTCGGGGAAAAACAGTGTTATTGAACACAAAATACTGCGCTTGTAAGTGATGATGACATTGTTACATTTAACGGTTGCTTTTGATAACGGAAGATACGAAATGTTCCCGTAGTTAAGAGTACAGGCTCCGCCCTTTCCCTCGATCTTGAAACGAGGTCGAGGCGAACGCCCGATCAGTATGGCCAGGCGATGTGACCGAGAGGTTAGAGTGAAATGACTCTCGCACTGCGCATCCAAGCCCTCCGACAGGATGTGGCCGAGGGGCAATCGAGAGAGCGCCTGGGAACTCCGGGGTTTTGTAGTTTATTTTACATTTTATTATTGTATTTTATACTGCAAATGTCTTCTAGCTAACCTAGTAAATGTAATGGAATAAACAAATATATAAAACCACCACGCTTCCATTCTCTGTCGAAGACGTGCGCACACTTGAGGGCCGACTTTGCGGGCAGCCAGAAGGACCATGGAGATTCTGCGGGCATCTTTCGAAATCAGCCAGCATTTCCTTACAGCAGAAAATTCTAACGGTGGATTTGGCAGTTTGATGATGCGAATTAAGTATCCAGGTGAATAAGTGGCTTGCATAGTTACTATAAAGTTAACAGGCATTTTTTTAAAGTTCCGAAACCATTTTTTTGAAAACAAATTCCCACAACTTTGAAAGCGGTGGATGAATTCAATGGATTCGTGTACTTATCGGTATCAAGGATTTTCTAATGAAAAATTGCTATCATACGACGCTGCTTACGGTAGAAAAATTGTCTTTATACCCTCTCTACTTACTTCCAAACGCAATAATTTCTTTTGTTTAACCTTACAGCAAGTCGGTGATCCACGTTTTTGCAGTATTATATTTTATTTGAGCACTGGATAGCGTGATTAAAATTGTATATATATACTTAAGTTACACAAGATTGAAAATACTTTATTGCCTATCAATTCACATACATTTTTCTTCCATTTTCAGCATCATCAACTTCCCTTATCAAGTCTTAAACAAATCCGTATTTGTATCCGGCCTAACATCGTTCATGATCAAGCCAATCGTGAGGCATTCGCTCAGTATCAACGAGAGCTCTTCCAATCCTCGCAGTAGACACATCAAGCGGCCGACGCGGAATGGATCCGAACCATTTGTATTTCTGGTGTATTCACTCAATTCTGCTTGGATTCTGGCTAACACCTCGTCGTAGCCTCGGCCAGGAAATTGGCTGACAACTAAATTTAGAAAAGAAAATTTTTAATTTTTAGTCGGTTTGTGGTCTGTCGGGAAAATAATGTGGATTCATCGCGCTTTGGAATCGCCCATCCTCGCTCTGCGAGGCAAGCCGAAACCGGAGATCTGAATTGCGACTAGACTTGGCTGCCGGGCTGGGCCGGCCCGGGCCGGTGTTCGGGCCGGGCCGGGCCGCAACTTTCGGCCCGGGCCGGCCCGGCAAAATTAAAATTCTGAATTTCAAAGCGAAAAGTTGGGTTGCCAATAAAATTAAAACCCAAAGCCAAGAAGGGGGTTTATATTTTTCTCACAGTAAGCGTAATTTTATAAAAATAAAGCACGGAAGTACTGAAAAATGGTTAATAATAAGTAATTTTACTAGTAAAATCTTTTAAGTACTGATGTAGACTAGTGTTTGTAGTAATTTTTTGAACAAAAACTCAAAATAAACGTAACCGACATCCTTAAAAACACAATTAAGAAGTCGTGTGAAGCAACACTATCATCTTGAAGTTGAAAACCTTGTTAAACGTGGTTCCACCCTTGCTGAATCTGTAAAATTGGTCTTGGGGCAATTTTTAATAGTCTGAAAACGGATCTCGGGAATTTTTTGATTAATTTTAAAAAGGAAATGCGTTGGTGAGTAATTTTTTGCTTTAAAAATGTACTGTTAGTTGTTATAGTAAAGAAAAATATGTCATATCTAATAGCGAATTAAGGTTTTTTACTTCTTCTCAATTTTCGGGCCGAAGAAAAATTGAAACGGGACGGGCCGACCTCTTCCGGCCCGCGGGCCGCGATTTTTGGCCCGGGCCGGCCCGACAGCCAAGTCTAATTGCGACTGCCACAAAAGACATTTTGCTGCGACTTCCACATTATTTTCCCGACAGATGATACATACAAAAAAAAGAAGCCTTACTCTCTCGCCATAATGCTACTCCCATTAATGCCACAACTTCGGTCTGATCCACTTTCAAGGCTTGAAATTTCTTGGTGACCTTGATGACTTTGGCCACGATGGGAAAGAAGGTCCTGAAAAAATAGCCGTATCAAATGCATGATTGAAACTTACGATTAGAAATTGTATGAAAAACAGTCTGTCGGGAAAATAATGAGAACTCTGTCGCTGCGCCAATCGCGTCGCTGAAGTGAAAAGCAATTTGAGTTTGTCGCGACAAAATTCATTTTCTCGGCGGCGATGCGATTTTCGATGCGACAGAGTGCTCATTATTTTCCCGACAGACTGATATATGGTCTAGAAGGTCTGAAAAATCACCTAAGAAGCTCTTCATATCGCAAGCACACTCCTTTTTTGGTGTGATTACTTTGACAAAAAATATTATCAAAAAATCCTACCTGCTGGCTTCATCGATGTTCTTGTGATAGGAAAACAAATATTCCGGGTTCTTGAAGTCAAGATAGGCTCCAAAGTGAAGGAAATGTTTGTCCGTGTTGCCCGGAAAGAAGACTGTGTTCAAATAAAATTCGTTGAGGAAGGTAAAGCGGAAATGGAAAATCTCCAAAACGCTTTTCTAAAAACATAATGCATTTTCTCATCGCTGCTATACAATACAATTTTTTACCTACCTGCTCCTTTATACTCAGCTCACTGAACGGATGAAACGAATTATTCAGCATTTTCAGGTAGTAGGTAATTCCAGCACGGTCAATAAACGCGTGCTCTTGTGCTGTCGCTGCTTTGTAAACAACTTTCCGACTGAATGCATTCTCTGGATTCAGCGCAAAGTAGAGGTTTCTAGAGTCTTCAATAAACTCTTTATATCCCTCCACCATTTTGGACAATGTTGGAGGACATTTTGTTAATTCACTTTCGGCCCTCGGGGCAATTGTTCTTTGGCAAGGTCCATTTTTGTCGCAATGATGGCGGATCTCTAAAAACGATGACTATAAGTGTCAAAAAAAAGAAAAAAACAAATTACGGAGTATGATGAAGAGTGTGGAAATAGCGAGCGTCATATTTTTGAAACGTAGGCTCTTCTACGTCCGTTCGCAAAGTCGCTGGAGTGATTTTAGCAACATGAATTGTGCCAAAAATATCAGAGTGCAAGGACAGCCAAACGAAATCTATTGCACGGTGCAACAAATTGCATAGAGCTGACTGAACTTTTGTTTTCTCACAGTGAATGTCACAAAAAAAGGACGTATCAGTCTGTCGGGAAAATAATGATCACAATGTCGGCACGTCGAAAAATGAAAAGCAATTTGTTTCACAATTCATTTTCTCGGCGGCGATGATGCGATTTTGGGTCATGCTTTTCCCGACAGACTGATAAAATGGGTATTATAAAGCTTGCTTACAATACAGCTTTCAAAAAGATGTTCTGAGCGTCACAAAAAAATCCAAGGACATTTATCTTATCCATTGGGCCTTGGTTGACCTGGAGATCATTAATTTTTGCCACCTATAGAGTCCCAATACAGCTCAAAAAACAGTGACAAAATCGCAGTTCCTTTGTTTGATGTTCCAAAAAGCCATGTTGATTAATCGATATGAAAACAAAAATGAAATGGCTAGGACAGAAAGACACGGAGATTTTAGTAGTACAAAAATCTTTTTGACTGACCTAATCATTTTCGTGTCAAGACCCATAGAAAAAACATGCATTTTTTTGGGACACCGTGTAAATTCATAGTCAATTCCTAATGAATCTTCTTCTCTTATCCTAATTCTCTATTTTCTAACCTATCGACACAAAAACAACTCTCTGTCCTGACCTTAAATTTGTGGTTTTCCCTCTTTTCAAGGCTTTAGAGAAACAAGTAATTGACAAGAGACAAATCATCTTCATCTTTCAAAAACCCACTTTTAATCTGCATTCCGTTTGCGATACATTTCTTCAGTCGACACGCTGGACACGAGCTTCGATCGGCTAAAATTTGGAGTCATAAATAAGTCCTATTACCTTGAAATATCTTGCATTTCCCTTTCCGTTTGCATTCATAATCCCGCTTTAAGACGATCGATCGACGGAAAAAAGCGGCGCCTAAAATTTGAACAGTAAAATTTATTGAAATCACTTACAAGATCTACAACTGGCTACTCCAAAGTGCGTTGATGCCGGGATTGTCGAGCAAATGAAGCAAGAAGTCTTTGAGATTGAAGGTGTTTCTTCGATCTCCATCAATTCAACGAAAAATATCAAAAATACGGGGAGAAGTTGGGGTTTTTATAACAAAAAGCGAGTGAAGAATTACGGACAGGAACAGACTACAGGACTGGAACACGGACTTTAAATGAAAGAATTCAAGCCTACGTGTGATATGTCAACGGCTGAAAAGATCAACGAGAGGAGAAATGATGTCCTTAGGCTGAGATATTCAGGTCAACGAATGTAAATCTGCAAGATACGAAACGCTAAGATTGACTTGGCACACCACTGCCAAGGTTTTTGTGATACAAACACTTTTGCTGTGGGTTATGAAATAGTCATGTTATGGCTACTCAAAGTTTGCTCCTGTCTTCCAATGCAATACAGGGTGGCCCAAAAAAATGGAAACTTTTTTCCATGGGTCCGAAAAACCTTGAGGTGCAGACAAATAATTTTTCCATCGTTAAATTCTCCGTATTTTTTAGCCCTTGGTGTTTTATTTTCATGCCCATATCGCTTGGTTAACATGTTTTTTATGAATGTCAAACAATGGGACCTCGATTTCCGACCTGTTTCGGCAAGAAAAAGGACCGTGTGAGGTTGATAAATTGCTCGGTGTAGCAAAAACGGTTATGCCAAAAGCCACCAAACAACTCAATGGAATAGTCCGCAATGGTACGCGTTCGGGAAGTCGAAAAAAGTGCACCTTGAATGCTTCTGCCAACCTTGAGGTCATCAAAAAGCGAGTGAAGCAAAATCTGATGGTGTCCATGAAAAATATTGCGCGAGAGACCGTTATCAACATAACAGCTATCTGCCAAATGGCCTAAAATGTACAACAGCTCAAGCCTTATAGGCTCCAAAAAGTTCAGCGCCCTGCGGAAGACCACAAGTTAGTACGGCTCAAAAGACGTCAAAAACTCAGGCGCCGCGTCGCTGCTCGGCGATGAGAAGAGATCCTGTTCATGGATGAGGCGTAGCTCAACATTGAGCAGGTCCACAAACACCAGAATGACAGGAGTTAGACTGTTGAGCGTCATCAAGCACCCGCCATCTTCGAACCCTGTCAAAACCTCTTGCGTCATGGCCTGGGGCAAGATTTTGCGCCAGAGGCAAGATATCCCCAGTTTTCGTGGTTAAAGATGTCAAAACCTACCGAAACGTCAACCATCGGTATTCTGGTGGTAGTGGTGCTTCCGCGGGCTCAGTAGCAATTTGTGCATAGAAAATTAACGTTCTCACAAGATTCAGCCCCGGCCGAGAAAGCAAAAAGCGCACGAGGCCAGGAATCGGCTGATTTTGCTACGTCTGCAAAATTGCCGCCTATTCGCCGGATCTAGATCGTACAAACTGAATTTTTTTTTCAATTAGAGGCGAACGCCTGTACTATACGCCACAAAAGTTTGGGACCGCTAAATAATCGCTGAGCCAAGAACGGGGCCGATTTCCCGAAAAAAAGCTGCTACCGCCCAAAATTTAAAGTCACGTTTGGCGCTCTATATCGCCGCGAACGGCAGATAATATTTCGAAAATGGTCGAACATGTTATTAACAATGTTCCACGTTACTCATATTAATCATTACTTTGGCAAATTTGGATAGTTAACTGAAATATGACTATAAATATGAGTTTCCATTTTTTTGGGCCACCCTGTAAATATCATCGCCGTACGAAATTGGCCGTAAGATCAAGAGAGGCTATCAGAGAAAAACACAAACAGGCCCAAACGCAACATGAATTTATTAATATAATATAATATAATACACTCAAAATGTCGAGTGTGGCCCGCATAAGTAACGAGACTGCCAGCCGAACCAACCACGACCCAAACCAGTTCATGTTCACCTTGTTTCCAGACCTTTCACGACTCGTCTCCCATACCATCCTTCACAGAGTGGTCACGATTCAAGTCTGGGCATGGCCGGGCTCGCCCAAATTTTCCTGCCCGGGACGGGCCTACCGATTTTACGGCCCAGCTCCGGCCTTTGATTTTCCGGACTGAGCTCTTAAAGAAAATTAGGGTTTTCCGAGAATTTTCCAAAGAATCGCAGAATTCGAGAAGAAATCACCACAAACTATTGCAAGATTATGTCAAGAAGACCAAAAAATGACTGGTCTTCCCCAAATAAAAAAAAATGAAAATCAGGCCTGGGCCGGGCTAGGAAATTTCGGCCAGGGCTGCCGGGGCAGCGCTGTGCTGGCCGGCCCGGATTGCAGCCATGCTGATTCAAGTCGCCGCATTTTGCATTTTTCAAAAGTTGGAAGACAAATTCAATATTCAAAATAAAAGTCTCCCCCTTGTTCTGCTTCAGGCCACTTTTTTTTCTTGTTCAATATCTAGGCTGTTTCTGCAAAGCACGAGCTAACGTCGCACTTATTTCCTTTGGACATTAAGAAAGCCAAGACATGTGAAAAAGTAATTTTATGCCTTAAAAATCTCCGTCGTTTTCTCCGGCATATCATGCAGAATAAAGCCCATTGCCAAGCCCTCATTCAAGAGCATCAACAGTTCCTCCAGGCATCGTAACAAACACATAAGTCGGGCGATTCGCAGAGGGTCCGACCCATGGGTTTTCCGGCAATGAACCGCCAACTCCTTGACCACCTTATCCAAAATCGCATCGTATCCTTTGTGGGGGAGCTGGTATGAGACTAAAATTGCAAAAAATAACAAAAATTGGATTTTCACCATACCTTCTCGCCACAGGATGACACCGATCATCCCTGCCGCCTCGGTCTCATCAACTTTCACCGTCCGGAACTTCGTTGCAATCTTCCGGAACTTGGCTGTGACGTGTGAAAAGGCCCTGCAACATGGTAAAAGTTACAGTAGTCCCAAGAACCAAAAATCCTAGCTTTTCTTAGGGCCCCAAATACCGCTCATACCACGGCATAACAAGGCGCATTGAATTGTCAGTCTGTTGGGAAAATAATGAGCACTCTGTCGCGACGAAAATTGCATCGCCGCCGGGAAAATAAATTGTATCGCGACAAAATTAAATTGCTTTTCATTTCAGCGACGCAATTGGAGCAGCGACATTGCGCTCATTATTTTCACGACAGACTGAAAAAAAGATAAAAGGCGGTCGTACTTGATTCCATGACGCTACAAATCCACATTATTTTCCCGACACACTGATATCGCTCAAAAAATGGGAATCGCACAATGAGATTTTTGTTGCGACATGTCGCGACAGAGTGTCCATTATTTCCCCGACAGACGGATCTGGGGCCTGTTTCACGAACGCAAAAACTCATATTTCTGAAGAAAATAGAAATATGAGTGAGCGAGGGAACAAAGGAAATGCATGCGAAACGGGAGAGACGGCAGAAAAATTACGATTTCCCCACTTCTCAATCGGAGTGACTTTTTACGTCCAAAATCAGGGTTGGCGGCAGTGTTTCGGCCATAACTTTTCCCTCCATGGGCATAGAATCACCCTTCAAAATTTCGAATAATGCTAACTGTTTGGACTGTCATGTGTGCAAGTTTCGTTGCACTGTTGCAAAAACCCGCTCGAAAATAGCTGTAGTATTGCGCATATTTCTATTTTCTACAAAATTTGTGCAATTCTAGATTAATTTCCTCATAACTTGGTCCAAAATTGTCGGATCGACACCGTTTAAAAAAAATCATATAGACCTGAGTCCGCGGTTTACAGTAATGTTATTTTTTAGGATGTTTGGCGATCTGCGGAACGAACAAATTTATAGTAGTGCAGCAGTTTGCAACATTTTTTCATTTTTTTCAGAATAAAAATAGGTTTTTGTTCCAAATAATAAAATATTAGTATAAAATTTTATATAATTGTAAAGAAAATTGTCTTGGCTACCTCATTTTTTTAGAGGGGCGTCTATATCTCACCAACTGATAAAGTTATGGGTGATTTAGTCCAGCCGCATCCCATTTTTACCGTAAAATTTCTCTCTTGTTTTGATTTGAGGGCTCTTTCGAAAGATTTTTTGTGATGAAAATCGAGGGATTGTCAAAGTAAATCAGTCATTACTCAGCCAAAAAATGGCTTACAGTTGCCCCTCTAAAAATGTTTTGTAGAGAATTAAATTGTCTATCGACTGACATAAATTAGAATTTTTTGCTGTTTCAATTAACGCGAAAAAAGGCCTTTTAGCGTCATAAAGTGGAAGAATTCAACACTACAACGCCTATGGTAACTTTGTCATTGGCGGTAGAGCAAAAATTTTTATAGATCTATATAGCCCGCAGTCTCAGCATTATTTGAATTTTTGGAGGGTGCCTGTAGGCCCAAGTAGAGGAAAGTTATGGCTCAAATACTACCGCCAATCCGTAATTTTGGACGTAAAAAGTCACTCCGATTGAGAATTGGCGCAATCCTCATTTTCCTGCCGTCTCTCCCGTTTCGCATGCATTTCCTCTGTTCCCTCGCTCACTCATATTTCTATTTTTTTTATTTCGCGTTCGTGAAACAGGCCCCTGTACTATAAAAATGGAAAAAGAAATGAAAGAAAAACTCACTTTTTGATTTCGGTGGGGTTTTTATTTTGGGAGAAGAAATACTCCATGTTAACGATGTCCGTGTAGCCACCGAAATGCAGGAACTGCTTGTTTTCGTCGTCTGGGAAATACACGGTATTGAGGTAGCTCATGTTGAGAAGAGAGAGTTGGAAGTGGAAGGTGTCGAAAATGGTCTTCTAAAAAGGGTTCTATAGATCCAAACATGGCGAGATTTTTACATCTTTTCGCAATTTTACCATAGAGGTTTTTGGCCGTCAAAACCCACCTTTTCCTCCACGCTGAGATCCTTGAACGGGCAGAAGTATCGATTCAACATTTTTACATAATATGCGACGGCAGTGCGGTCAAAAAAGTAGTGCTCTTTAACAGTGGATTCACGAAAGACAATGTCATCATTGAACACTCTTTCGGGGTTAAATGCAAAGTACAGTGTCTTGGTGTCGTCCAGATACCGTCGATATCCTTCAATCATCTGCGGGAGTACTGTACTTTGTGGGGGTTTTGGTTTGATTCGTTTTTTGAGTGCCTCCGGTCGGGGACCATTTTTGTCAAAGTTTGGGCGAATCTCTGGAAAAGGGCGATAAGGGGTTTAAAGAGGGGGCTCAAAAGACTTAGAACACTGGCTTGTGTGTTGAGTGCTACTCCAATAATCTCCAGAGAGTAAGTGATTTTGATGAGATCTCTCTCAGCAAAATCAACCTATCCTTTCGTCTCTGCTTTTTTAATATTAAAATAGATTCAAACGCCGCGATTTTTTCTCTTCAATCATCAACAAAGAATTCAGCGCAACCAATCTCTGTCGGTTTCCTTCAAGACAAAGGAAAAAAACTACCGTAAGAATCCTTCTTTCTTCTCATGGCGATATCCTTTTTTTAATTCCTTGGATGTGCCTTCGAAACACGGTAAAACCCCTGCATTTTGGCTGTCTGAACTAAAGAACTTTCCTCCGCAAAAAAACAAAGACACAACCATCAAACATCAACAGTCTCGTGTGCTTTGATACAACAAAAACCCGACTTACTCTCCGATTCCATCCCGACTTTGATGCACTTTTTGAAGCGACAAGACGGGCAGGACACTCTGGCATCTGAAATGAATGACTTTAATTTGACTCTGCCACAGAGAAAAGAGGCTAATGCAACATATATTGACTAGGAAATGATACTTACTACTCGCTACATGAAATTCGGAAAATTATGTCGTGTGTGGAAACGGTAGTTGCCACGCCAAAAAAAGGCTTGTCGCTTGAGTAGAAGCGGGGGATGTCAGCGACAAAGGACAAAAAAACGAGAGAACCGAAAAGTGCAAGACGTCAGAATCTTATGTCTGGCGTAGTAGTCCGTTCGTAAAGTCGCTGCAGTGATTTTTAACGTTTACACTGACAGGGGAAGTATTCCACGTGCGACGCTCAGATTTTCTTTAAATTTTGCACACACGTCGGGTATGGACTAAATATCAATGCCTGAAAGTTTTAGCTCGCGCTTTGCGGGCGCCGCCGAGATATCGAACGATTTTTGCCGCCGAGAGAGAACGCAAAACTCGGAGAGCGGACAAAGAGAAAACGCCTTTTTGGCCATAACTTTGGCAGTTTCGTATGGAAAATTTTAATTTTTTGTAGAAACATTATCCTTTACGGTAGAAATAGGCATGAAACTTTTCGTACCAAAATTCGGCAAAAAGTCTAAAATTTCGGCCCACTTTCGATCTAAAAATCTCGGTTGTTTCTGCAAAGCGCGAGCTAGGATTCTCGCATATATCTTAGAAAAAATTACTCTAAATTTGGGCCAAGTTTAATCAAACTCTGAGCGTCGCAATTGGAGTACTTCCCCCGTGAGCGGAAAAAGTCAACGTATGAAGGACAGATCAAAAAAGCCTATTGCACGGTGCGAAAATCAAGAAGTTGCACAGTGCAAAGTGAGGCATGGTTTTCACATAGTGCATGTCATCAAAATCACTACAGCGACTATACGAACGGACTAGTAGATCCGGGGCGGCTGAATAATCAATTTTTCGGGATTTTCGGAGGGCCTAAGCGGTATCAAACAATGTTATAGAACAAACAAGGCCCAAAAATTCAGAATCTTTACAGCAGACCCTTTAAGCCACACCTACCTTGTTCAATATTGCATTTCCCGCCATTCCGACACACATAACTTCGATGTAGGACAATTGAGCGACGAAAAAACGCAGCACCTGCAAAACGACTGATAAAAATCGGCGCTACTTACAAGACCGACAAGTATTTACGCCGAAATGAGTCGTGGCCTGCAGCGAATAGCAAACGGCACATTCCTCATCGAAATTCGAAGTGCTCTCGGTCCGCATCGCGCCCGAAGCCCCTGTGGAAAGGAAGTAAAGTGGAAGGGGTCGGCGAAAGGTCCGTTAAAACCGAAATCACAGACTACGGAAGCGATGGGCGAACAGAAAGGTCAGCCCAAACCATCGTGTGGTTTGAGGCGGAGGAGCAAAGAAGCGTCTTCACTTGGGGGGTATTACGTTGGTGGTGATCAGATTTGGAACAGGACAGGGCGCCGGCCCGTGAATATTGGGCTGAATGGTTGAAAAAAAGATGGGAGCTAGATAGGTACAGTCTTGGAAAACTCCGTGGTCTGGCCATGAGCCACTTAAACCGATGGCCTGGCCCGGTTGGAAAATATGGCTCGGTCTGAACCGACCCATCTCACAAGAGAAGTACCCCAAGTGCGACGCTCAGATTTTGATCAAACTTGGCACAAATTTAGAATAATTTTTTAAAAAATATATGCGAGAATCCTAGCTCGCGCTTTGCAAAAACAACCGAGATTTTTAGATCGAAAGTCGGCCAAAATTTAGGACTTTTTGCCGAATTTCGGCACCAAAAGTTTCATGCCTATTTCTACCATAGAGGATAATGTTTCCACAAAAAATCAATTTTTTCCGCACGAAACTAGTAAAGTTATGGCCAAAAATTGCTTTTCTCTCTGATCGCTCTCCGCGTCTGTATAGAAGATCGTTCGGTATCTCGGCGGCGCTTGCAAAACGCGAGTTAAAACTTTCAGGAATTGATGTTGAGTTCATGACCGATGTATGTGCAAAATTTTAGAAAAATTTGAGCGTCGCACTTGGGGTACTTCCCTTGTCAGTAAGATTTAAGTTTACTAAACGCCTGGAGGAAATTTCCTATCCCAATTTCTGTTTCAAGCTTTTTCCGAGTCGGGCCAAGAGCCAAAATCCAAAAATTAGAATAGTAATCAACGGCCCAGAAAAAAGCTCAGTCCTAAGCCCTGGCTAGGCCCTGGCCAGCTAGAGGCACAGACCTGGGCAGTAAATTTTGTACACCTTTCAAAAGCCCAACCAAACAGCCATGGGCTAATCTATCGAGCCAAGTTTAGAACGTATAAAGCACTGAATTTATTTTAAAAACGCCTTATCACTCAAAAATAGGAATGAGTTGAGCTTCTCGAGAGATAAGGGACTGGAAAATGCGTATCGGGAAATTTTTCTGAACGAAAATAAGAGATAAAAGTTTGCAGATTTGTCGAACTTATTCTGAAGACCACTGCCGCACCGACAATTCAAGGCCGGAAGCTCTTAACAGAGCGAAAAATGAGAACTGAAATTTTGATGGATCCGTAACATAGCAAATTAAGGTTTGATCTCTTTGATCTTTCCGCGATTTTTTGTCTGTTTTTTCAGACAAAAACAAAGATTCTTACAAAGGAATTGCTCCAAACGTCTCTCATTGTCAGCGCCCGAAATAATCACTAGTAGTTTGTTTGAGGCAAAAAAATCGACCAAAATTCGATTTTTGTGAAAAGAGCAAGATTAGGATTACATTTCTCCGGTGACAAACAGAAACTCAACCCAACAAAAGTTTTTTTGCAATGCGACACCCAGATTTTATAAATCCTCTATATATTTTTAGAGACTAATGTTTGGCCGGCACAAGATTAATGCTGCCTTGAGCTTTGAACACCTTTTCAATTTTGCGGCAAAAAAATGAAGGCTTGTTAAGGAGCCATAGATTCGATGAAAGGTCCTTCCGAAAAGTCGGCGGACCAATTTTTGTTGTTTGAGCCGTGCGAAAAGATCAGGGCGCCAGTGACAGCCCAAGAAAGCCTATATATTTCACGGCACGGCATTACTTTTTGGGACCCAACCGGTCTCCCCGAATTTTTTCGTTTTTTTCAAAATGGACCTCCTTCTTTAAGTCATTGCTCGCTAACCGTTGAAGCTAGAGACTTGAAAATTGGCACAGATGTAGAGCAAAGGCTTCGCTTTCAGAATATACAAACATGGTTATGAACATCACGCTGTAAGCTCCACAATAAGATGCCAAAGTATTTCAGTAGTATTATACTACGTTTGGGTTTCTTTTTTCTCGCAGTAGATATAATATTAGGTTGGTAAAAAAGTATTCTTCAAAATTTTTAATAAAAAGTTATTGAAGTTGTGGAACTTTCTAGAAAATTCCTTCATGTGACTATGTACGGGTGATATCATAACATGTAAACTGATATAACTTGTTCCCAAAAAATGGGGAACACTTCTTTACCAACCTAATATAACCTTAGTTGGCCAGGTCTAGGCCCAATTAATTTTATACATGTTTGACCCTCATTACCCCGTAAAGCCCGTTGCAAACTGGTGTCTAAAGCTTAGTCAAAAAATAAATACACGCCATGCAACTTGGCCACATAAAGAAGGAGGAAGAAGGACTGTGAATATTCGCCCAAAATCCGTAGATTGCTTTTTTATTCTATGGCTTGAAGTCTGAAGAAGAATTCAAACTACAAATGTCATGTCTCAACATTTCAATAGCGCTCTAATAAACATCTTCATTAAGCGTACAAACTTTTGATTTCCGATTTATAATACTACAAATTAGAATAAGAAAAAAAATCTATTGCTTGAAAATATCCGTAGTTGGTTGAGGTACATCATGTGCGATGGTGCTGACCGTAAGGCCTTCAGTCAGCATCGACGCAAGCTCGTCGATTCCGCGAAGCAAACACAACAAGCGTCCAATTCGGAAACGGTCCAAACTGTTCTTCTGTTGGCAATATTCAGTCAACTCTTCTTGAATTTTGTCGACTTGCACGTCATGTGTCTTGCTGGGGAATTGGTTGGAAACTGAAGCAAAAGATAGGGTCATATATAGGAGAACAAATTCCCTTACCTTCTCTCCACAGCGTGATCCCAATCAGTCCCGCGATCTCCGTTTCATCCGGCCGCACGGCGCGGAACTTCTTGGCGATGCGGCGGAACTTGACCACAACGTCGGTGAAGGTCCTGAAAAAGCTGAAATCATGGATAGACGAAGGAGAAAGGGAGAGAAGCTTCTGGAATTCGGAAATATCAGTCTGTCGGGAAAATAATGAGCAAGATGTCGTTGCGCTGATCGCGTCGCAGACGCGGCAAAGCTATGAATTCGAAGGCACGGCGAATCCACATTATTTTCCCAACAGACTGATACTACGCTAACTATCGGTATGTCGGGAAAATAATGAGCAAGATGTCGCATCAAAAATTTGCTGTCGCTGAAGTGAAATGTAATTTTATTTTTCCGCGACAAAATTTATTTTCTTGGCGGCGATGCGATTTTTGATGCAACAAAGAGTTCATTATTTTCCCGACAGACTGATAAACAACGCTGGTTGACATACCAAGCCACTTCAGCTACACATAAATGCCTACCTTTGGACTCCATTCGGATGTTGCGAGAAGAAATGATCCACGTCTGTAGCATCGCTGTAGGCCCCCAAATGCATGAGCTGCTTCGAGTCGTCGTTGGGAAAGTAGATTGTATTCAAATAATGCATGTTCAACAAGGCGATTTGAAAATGAAACATTTCCAGGACGTTCTTCTGAAACGATGACAAGAAATATTATACGTTGAGAGCATTTTTTTTTAGTATTTTCATAAAGTGCATGGACATTTGTCGCGGTCCACACTGTGCATAAAAACCCTCTTTTTGCACAGTGAATTTCACCTTTTTTTGGCTTTCGCACTGTGCATCGAAATGTCGCCGCGACATAAACAAGTTTCAACTGGATTGCTGCGATATTGCCAAAAATTTGCACAGTGCAAACGGTTTTTTTCTTTGAGGTTTGCACTGTGCAAAAAAATAGACTGTGTGTTAGCGACAAACGTTAGAAGAAGTTCAACATGCACTGTGCGAAAGCAAACTGTCCATGAAATTAATGAAAATAAAATAAATATCAGTCTGTCGGGAAAATAATGAGCACAAAGTCTCTGCGCCAATCGCGTCGCTAACATGAAAAGAAATTTGATTTTGCCGCGACACAGTTCATTTTCTCAGCGGCGATGCGATTTTCTATCCGTCATTGTGCTCACTATTTTCCCGACAGACTGATGACATAGTATTTGATCCTCAAAAACCCTCACTTTTTGTTGGCCATTCAACTCGTTGAAGGGATGAAAACACTCGTTCAGCATCCTCAAATAGTACGCTACAGAAGTTCGGTCAAAATCGCAGTGCTCTTGCAGTGTCACTTTTTCAAATACGATCTTCTCATCGAACATTTGAGCGGGGTGGAAGGCAAAGTAGAGGACTTTAATGTCATCCAGGAACTTCCGATAACCCTCCGCCATCTTGGATAGAGCCGTCTTTGGTGGGGGAATGTCCGTCGGCAGCAGCGACTCCAGCTTCCTCTTTCTTGGGCCATTTTTGTCAAAGTGTTGGCGGATCTCTGAAAATATTTAGTAGCGTATGTATGGTGCAAAAAGCAAACAAGTGCATAGTGAAGTTTTGTTTCGTCAACTTTTGGAAAAATGCTAGCAGTAGACGGTTAATCTATGAGTTTTATGCGACACTTACTTTCCCGTTCCATTCCAACTTTGAAGCATTTCTTCAGTCGGCACGCCGCACAACAGGCTCGAGCTTCTAAATTTTTCAATAGAATTATACATCAGCGCTGTTCGTATTTTCATAAAGTTCCTGGACATTTGTTGCGGTCCGCACCGTGCTCAAAAATTCGCAAGTTCTCGCACCGTGCACTCACCTTTTTTTCGGCTTTGCACTGTGCATTTGAAGAACCGTTGGGACTTATGTGCACAGTGCAATCGGCTTTTTTATGGCTTGCACGGTGCTCAAAGGCAAAGGCAAAAATGCACAGTGCAAAAACGAAAACAAAATGTCTAGGCACTTTGTGAAAATGCTAATACAAGGCTATTAGTATTTTCATAAAGTGCATCGACGCGTCGCGACGTTTTTTTCCTTCTGCTTTTTTTCCTACAGTGCATTTTGAACTTTTTCCCACGCTTGTCGCCAATGCACAGTGCATTTTTCCCTTGGCGCACTGTGCAAACTTCAAAAAAAAATTTTGCACTGTGCAAATTCAAGCGATATTTCACCGCACAGTGCAAAACCAACAAAAAATTAACTGCACCGTGCAAAAATCCGGAATTTTTGTGCACGGTGCGAGGTGCGATAAATGTCCATCCACTTTATGAAAATAGTAATGTCCAGCATCTCCTACCTCCCTTGATATTGCAGTTCTTCCCATTCAGACACACATAGTTTCGCTTCAACACAATCGTACGACGGAAGAACGCAGCGCCTGGGAAATATAAATATTATACGATAACTTTGAATTTCACTTACAAGATCTACAAACGCTGACCCCAAAATGAATGGTCGCATCACCCGAGCTACACACCGCACATTCATCTCGCGTCGAGGAACTCGCTTCAGCTCTCATCGACGAAATAAACGGGAGAAAAGAAGGCGACTTGAGAATACAGAGGGGACGGGGAATGACACAGCTCTTGCTCCGCTGATTTCCCAAAAATTGGGGAATAAACTACAGACGGGGGAACAGTTTTTCTGTAGTTTGAATCCTTCAAACAAAGAGGCAATACGTTTGGTGCAGATAACCAAATCTTACGGAAAGAAATATAACATCAAATGCGGAGAGTCGGCGATAAATTAACTTTTCTCAACAGTGATTTGGTGATAATCAAATTTGCCTTGGGGGTAAATACGAAGCAATTGTGGCATATGTAATATATCAATCTGTCGGGAAAGTAGTGAAATTGCAAGAAAATGATAAGTGTCGCGGCAAAATCAAACTGCGTTTCAACTCAGCAACACGATTGGCGCAGCGACATTGTTCATTATTTTCCCGACAGCTGCTTGTAAACAGTGTTTTCCACAGTGAATTTGGACCCACACATACCTTTTTGGCATTGTGCATTTTCGGCGGTATACCAGTATGTCGGGAAAATAATGTGGATTCGTCGCGCCTTGGAATCGCCCATCATCGCTTTGCTGGCCATGGCTGCAGATGAATTGCGCGACTCTCGACGAGGCGAGACTTTTTTTCTGCCCCCAAATCCACATTATTTTCCCGACAGCCAGATATGTTGATTCCTCAAATATTTTTATGTATAATATGTATAATTGTTCGAACTTTTGGCCTACTAAGGACACACGAATTGTCAAGCACAAACTCTAGTATTTTGTCGCAATTGTTGACGAATAATGCGCCTATATCAACATTAGCGGAGGGTGTGCCCCGCCAAAGACCCTATCAAATGATGACACAAACAGAGGATTGCCAAGAACATTCAGGGATCACGTTGCACGCTTGGGACCCACGCAAGTTAAAAAATGTATTTACAGGGTGCGGCAAAAAAATGGAAACTTATTTTTATAGCTATATTTTTCCTAGCAATCCAAATTCCGCAAAAGTAACGGTCATCTTCAATAACATAGAGCATTGTTTATAACATATTCAACCCGTTTTACCGTGGCTGCTTTTGGTGGCGATATAGAGCTCCAAACGTGACTTAAAATTTTGGCCTTTTGGCCGCAGGTTTTTTCGGGGAAATCGGTCCCGTTCTTGACGCAGCGATTACTTTGCGACTCTAAACTTTTGTGGCGTGTAGTACAGATGCTGGCCTCCAATTGAAAAAAAAATTACAGTCCATTGGAAATATACCCGGCGAGCAGGCGCTCTTTTCGCAGACGGGGTGAAATCGGGAAAATCGGTCTCAAAATCGGTCTTGACTCGTTGTTGCCCTGTGAGTCGGCGCTGAGTCTTGTTGGAACGCCAAATTTAGGCTGCCAAGGTTCTACTGAGCCAACAGAAGCATGAGGAAATCGAGGTTAACGTGGCGCTAGAATTTTGCCCTTTTGATCCACAAAAATCTCGGAATTCTTGCCGCTGGCACAAATTCCGCCTTAGGCGATGACGGCCCTTATTTTGACGGTGTTCGTCGTTAGCCGACGTGCGGGGGGCCTCATCGGATTGGACTATGACGTTCTGTTGGTTGTGCACCCGCCAGAGATTGCACCGCGAAGGGAATGCGCTCCCATCGCGGACCTGCGGCCCGACGTCGGAATTTTCGGCATTTTTTCTGGCGTACGGGCTTGATCTTGCCGATTAGGAGTTGGGCATTTCAGACCTTGCGTGGGGAGACTTTGAGTTGATTTTTAGCTATTTGGCCGACTGGTTGGTCGCTGATGCCGGTCTCACGGGCAATTTTTTCTCGAAATCGACGGATTTCGCTATTGACGACTCCGCGGCTGGCAGAAGTGTTGGCGGTGCGTTTTCTTTCGCTTACTGGACGCTTAAAATTGTCAAAAAGCTCCCTGCATTGTGTGATTACTTTGGACACAACGTGCTTTCTATGCCGGGCAAATTAACAGTTCGCACAGGTAAAAAAACAGGTCCGAAATCGAGGTCCCTCTGTTTGTCATTCAAAAAAAGAATGTTAATAAACCGATATGGACATGAAATTATAAGGTCTAGGAGAGAAAGCTGCGTAGAATTTAATGGTATGAAAATAATTTTGTTGTACTTAAAAATTTTTGCATCAGGACCCCATGAAAAAAGTTTCCATTTTTTTGCCGCACCCTGTACAAAAGAATTTTTCAAACTGCGACGACACGCAGATTTCACAAATTTTAGAGACAAATTTTGCTAAATTTTGTTCTCGGTCTGTCGGGAAAATAATGTGGATTTGTTGCAGGAAAATGGGGCGACTTGTCGCAGTCGAGCACCAAATCTGCGGCTAGCCGTTGCAAAGCGATGATGGGTGGATTCCAAGGCAGGACGAATCCACATTATTTTTGATAGTCTGATAGTCGGGAGATATACGGGTTTTACAGCCAAAATCATGCATGGGAAGTACCTCAAGTGCCGCACTCAAAGTTTTTTTTTATATTTTGGACACACTTCGAGCATGGGCCACGTGGTAACTCCTAAAAATTTTAGCTCGCGAATTCCAGGGGCCGCCGAGATATTCAACAAACCTCGTCGACGAGAGAGTGTGCGAAATGCGGAGGGGGGGGGGGCAGAGATAAATACACTTTTTGATCATAAATTTGCTAGTATCTTGCTAAAAAAATTTTTTTTATGGGAAAAGTGCCCTTTATGGGGTGCCAAAATTCGCGAAAAATCATCACATTTTTTCCGGATTTCGTTCTAAAAACCTCCGTCGTTTCGGCAGAGCAAGCTATTACTTTCGCATAAGCAATTAAAAATAAATAATTTACTTAAAAATCTGTTCAGCTTTTCCTCAAATTACAACAATTAACAACTGTGTACAACGCGAATCTCAAGTGAAAATGGTCCGAATGTTCGCCGGAGGGAACTTGTCCACAATCAAGATGCCCATGAACATGCTCTCGTTCAGCGTGGCCGAAGAGTCTTCGAGGTCGCGGAGTAGGCACATCAGAGTGCCAAACTTCAAGCCGTACGTCAACGTGCCATACTTCAACTTGCAGTATTCGCAAAGCTCGGCAAGGATTTGCTCCAAAATCAGGTCGTAGCCGCGGTCCGGATACAGGGAGTTTGCTAAAAAAATAAGAATAGAGCTTGTAGAAAACTGTAGTAATGAAATTATATCGTATTTTAGACTCAAAATTATCAGTTTGTCGGGAAAATAAAGTGGATTTATCAGAAAAAATTTCTCCCTTCGTCGCAGCTAAACCTCTAGCAGCGGCTAGCCCTTCCCAAAACAATGATGAAATGAGTCCAAAGCGCAACAAATCCACATTATTTTCCCGACAGACTGAGATTATAATCGTGACAAAAAAGTCCTGGGAAAATTTTGTGATTCTGCACTGTGCATGTGGGGCGATAATTTCGTTAATTTTGTCGCTCTTTGAAAAATTGATCTTGCACTGTGCGCCCGGCCCAAAAAGTGGGTTTGCACGGTGCAATTGGTTTTTTTGGATTTTGTCGCCCGCAATTCCTATTTTTCCGATCATTCGATAATTCAAGCGATGTACGTTGTTGCGGTATGAGCAGGATCCGAATCCACATTATTTTCCCGACACACTGATTTCAAATCCACATTATTTTTCCGACAGACTGATATGATCTTTTCTGCAGCAGCGGTAACTTTTCAGAACTTTTTGTACCCAACGGTAACACACATACATATATATCAGTCTGTCGGAAAAATAATGTGGATTTGTCGCGGCAAAATTTTTCCCCTCGTCAGAGTCACGCAACAAATCTCCAGCGACGGTTAACCGTCGCAAAGCAATTAAATTCCAAGGCGCCAAAAATCCACATTATTTTCCCGACAAACTGATATATTATACATTCTGCTTATGATAATTAAGAATGTATATCAGTCTGTCGGGAAAATAACGGCGGATCGTCGCTCCTCGGAATCGCCCATCATCGCTTTGCGACGGCTGCCGAAGCTGGAGATTTATCGCGCGATAGCGGTGAGGCGAGACATTTTGATGCGACGATCCGCCGTTATTTTCCCGACAGACTGATATTAACAAAATTTTTTTCTCACCTTCCCTCCACAGCAATATCCCAGCCAGCGCGGCAACCTCCGTCTCATCCGGCCTCACATGAATGAACTTGTCCGCGATCTTGTGGAACTTGTCTCTGACGTTGACGAAGGACCTGGCAACACTATTCTTGAATTAGTTCTCGTTACAAAACGGCTGAATTTGTCGACGAAACATTTCCTATTTTTCGGCAAAGAACAACAAAACATTATAGTAGGGCTCACCTGTCGATGTCAGTTGTTGTTTTTGAGAAGAAATGCGCACATCCATTGCGAACCACGTAATTCCCGTAGCTCAGTAGCAATTTGGATTTGTCATCGGAGAAGTACAGAGTGTTCAGGTAGTTCTGATTCAGCAGACTGAAGAATAAATGGTACTTCTCGACAATCGTCATCTGAAACGACACTTCGATATATATCGGATGAAATTTGGCATATTATTTTACTAACAGGGGAAGTACTCCAAGTGCGACGCTCAGATTTTGATGAAACTTGCCACAAATTTAGAATAATTTTATCTAAGGTATATGCGAAAATCCTAGCTCGCGCTTTGCAGAAACAACCGAGATTTTTAGATCAAAAGTCGGCGAAAATTTAGGACTTTTTGCCGAATTTCGGCACGAAAACTTTCATGCCTATTTCTACCGTAAAGAATAATGTTTCTACAAAAAATCAAATTTTTCCGCACGAAACTGCCAAAGTTATGGCCGAAAAGCGCATTTCTCTCTGACCGCTCTCCACGTTGAGCGTGCTCTCTCGGCGGCAAAAAATCGTTCGATATCTCGGCGGCGCCCGCAAAGCGCGAGCTAAAACTTTCAGGAATTGATATCTAGTCCATACCCGACGTGTGTGCAAAATTTAAAGAAAAGTGCGCCAAAAAGTCTTAACATATTTTCGCAGGGTGCGGCCGGCGTCGCGACATTACTTTGCGCGACCAACAACCGTTACGGGATCATTTCTACTGTGAGCCACGAGGATCGCTTTTCCAAAAAAACAGGCGAGGTTTGTGGGTTCAAATAGACCAAAAACTTATCTCCCTTCTCCTATTTGCTTTCCGTTTTTGTTATACGATAAACAATTTTCCAAAAAAATTAGGATCTTTCGTTCGCAACAGTGGACGTGGCCAGCGCAAAAACGGAAGTTACGGCAACAAACGCGAAAAATCAGAGAAAGATGTTGAGTAGGAGAAGTACTCTCCCATTTGCCAAAATTGCTTACTAAAATGGTGGAAATAACTTAAAATTGCAAGCTAAGCTTTTAGTAATTTATGAAAGCACATATTAGTCTGTCGGGAAAATAATGAACATTCTGTGCCGCATAAAAAATCGCATCGCTGCCTAGGAAATTAATTGTGTCGCGGCAAAATAAAATTGCTTTTCACTGCAGCGACACGATCGGCGCAGTGAAATTGCTCTGATTATTTTCCCGACAACCTAATTTGAAAGCATTTGCTAAATTTGAAAGAATCGAGCATGTCCAACACTCGGCCAACGGCCCACAACTACCAAACCACTCAAATCAACATTTTCTCCACTTCAACTTACCTTTTCCTCTCTTGTAAAGTCGATGAACGGCCGGAAATACTCGTTCAGCATCTTCACATAGTACACGATGCAGGCGCGATCGAACTGTGCGTGCTCTTCGATGGTGACCAGCTTGAAGGTGATTTCCTGAGTGAAAACGTTCTCTGGATGCAACGCAATGTACAAGGTCTTTGTGTCCTCCAAGTACTTGCGATATCCAGTAACTAGACTTGGCATATGCGGATCCACTTGTTGTGGGGCGCTCGGGGGAGTGGGGACGGGAGAAGTCTTGTAGATTCGTTCCGACTTCTCGGAGTGGCTGATCGAACTGCGCGCAGAGCGGGGACCATTCTTGTCGAAGTAGTGGCGGATATCTGAAACATGATGGCTAGAGATTGGAAATATAAAGTTATTGTCATAATCTAAGAAGCTAAATAGGGCCAAAAAACTATTGTTCCGTCAGCCTGTCGGGAAAATAGTGGCGGCTCGTCGTATCGAGATTTTTCGCCTCGTCGAAAAAAGTTTGCAGTTACCCATCGAATATCCAGCTGTGGCTAGCCGTCGCAATGCGAAAATGGGCGATTCCAAGGCGCTTTGCGACAAAATTTTGAAAAAATGCAGTAATGCAAATCCTTCAGCCCAGCTTTAAAACACCAGTGCTCGCTTCAGCTTTGTTTTTGTCATCACTTTTTGCCTACACGCAGAAAAACAAATCATAAAACACTTACTTTTCGTCTCCATTCCCATGGTCAAGCATTTCTTTAGCCGGCAATGAGCGCACGTCGTGCGGGCGTCTGAAATTTGTCATCAATTTACATTTTTAACTCATAGTCAACGGAGAAGCTACTGAATTAAAAATCATATATCTCACAATGAATGCAAATTTACCATACCTTTTTCAATATCACATTCTCCTCCAAATCGACAGCTATACTTTCGATTCAACACAATGGATCGACGGAAGAATGCGGCGCCTAAAACAGCAATATAAACTCATATCAGAGGTCCCTAAGGTCCCGTCAAAGCGCGTCAATTCCGACGCTAAACTCACAGCTGCGACACGAGTTGATCCCGAAGTGCGAGGAGGCCGGCGTGGTCCCACAGACGCGGCATTCGTCGTGCGTTGAGGTCGACTCTTCCTGCTCCGACTTCTCGGACATCTCACGTGAAAGGGCGCGCTTCAAGTCTCGAGCCCACGACCCGAACAGCGGCGATGTTTTGGAAGTGGAAGAGGGCGAGAAGGAAAAAAAGGAAGAGTTGCTCCCTACAAATCGCGGGGCTTTTCCGATCGGTCTTTAAATCATCAAAGACTACGGCTGCCCACAAAGTACAGCACAAAACGCGCCGCCTCTCCGCTGATATGTCGATGGAAATCGGGGGCTGAAAACGCCGGGAGTCGGTGAAGGGATTCGCGTTGTTTTCGCGAAAACAAAACAAAATGTTTTGCTCAGGCGGGATCGAAGCAGAACACGCGACAGAACACAGACTTCCGCGAGGTTTGAGAAAAAGGTTACGAGGTTGCAAAGAAAGTAAATAGAAGGCACGTTTGTGGCTCCAAACTTTATAGCTTGAAATTTGGCGTATTGTTTCCCGCAAGTCGCATTTTTCTGGGACGAAAGGTGGTCATCTTTGAAGCTTTATAAAAACCGCTACTATACACCTAACCACACAAGGCATATATCAATAGACAGCGCTTTCAACGTTCTTTCAGGTGATAAATATTAATAGATGCACGAAAACTTTAATTCTACCTGTAAAGAAGGCACAACCAAAAAAACGGCACGGTCATACTTCTAAGCCTAATAGAATGAGACCAAGGGCGTAGCCGGAAAATGGCCTGGTGCAGATGAATTATTGTTTATCCACATATACTGGGGCAAAAAAGGGCCTTCTAAGATGTCTATAGGATCTTAAAATCGCATGTAGAAATCTCCGAGAGTTTTCGAAAAGAATCGACAGCTCCTATTGAATTGTCCAGAAGAAGAACTCGGTTTTCACTAGTCCGTTTGTAAAGTCGCTAGAGTTCTTGCAACAAGCACTGCGCCAAAAAAAGTTCACTTTGCACTGTGCACCCCCTGAAAATGACTTTTTTGGGCTGTCGCTTGTACCCTGATTTTTGCAGTGCACGTCACAGTATTCACTCTAGCAATTTTAGAAGCGGACCGTATGGTATTAAAACAGAGCAGTATGGGTTGTCACTATCAAAATCACATTTTCTAAAAAAAAATCAGACGGTTATGGTCGAAGATCTTTTCCTACACTCCAAATTCTCTGACTACATTACAAATACACTACATGTATACATTATAAATAATCTTTGCATGTCTCAGCCGCAGCTGGTAGCCATGCGCTAACATATTCAAGAATATACCAAAGATCAACATACAGTCCGTACAATGTGTAACAAATCGCACAAAAAATCGACCGCCGTTCAGCACAAACCAGACGGAACAGTGAACAAACCAGTTTGTTACAGCTTAAAAATGCCGTTTTTTTTTGTTTATGAAATATTAAAGTCTTGAGGTCAAAAGGATGAACAAAATCTCCATGGATTCGCCGGGGGTGGAGTTCCGAATGATAAATTTTCTCAACGATTTAGGCATTACAAACAACGCTGACTCAACAAGACTTATAGGGATAGGAGGAGAGACAGACATGCCCGCAGGACGTGTGACCTTAAAAGGTGCTCCTCTCGGCTCTGCAGACTTTATTTTTGAAGGGATTTAGAGGTCAGAAGAGCAATATTTTTTCGGAAGCATGGTATTAGTTTGTCGGGAAAATAATGTGGATTTGTCGCGCCTTGGAATATCCCGTCATCGTCTTGCGATGGCCAGCCGCGGCTGGAGATTTGATGCGCGATTGCGGCGAGGCTAGACATGTGTTGTGACAAATCCACATTATTTTCCCGACAGATTGATACAGTCGATGCGATTTGCAGGGCAAACGGAGACGACCAGAAAAAAGTTGTGGGAGGCACATCCATCTGCCTGGCAAAGCAGATGGATGCTCTGCGGATGGTAGGCGAAGACTCAGCGGAGACTTGGCGAAGACCATAACCACTTTTTAGAAAGTATCCTAGCACTTTTTCAGTCGTATTATTTATACTAACGAAGCCATCTTCTGGCCTCCCCAATGAATACAACGGCATATCGATTCACCCAAAAGTATCATCGTCCCAAAATCGTAGCTCCTCAGTATTCCCTTTAGCCACGTCTATTTTAGTCTTGACACATGCTAGACGCAGACAATCTCCGCAAACACGACGAGGAGAAGGAAGAAGATAGGGATTATACATACATCTTAATCGGATTTTAAACCTTGTTTTTCTCATACGGAAACAGAGTGACGTTTTCTTCAATTAAAAAGACGGTTTATAAAAGATGTCTGACACATATTAGAGATTAAAAACGACGTAGTTTACCACTTATTACCTGTGAAAATTGTGTACAATAAAAGAAGTCTTATCGTTAGATCAAAAGCGCTATTAAATATCAGTCTGTCGGGAAAATAATGAGCTCTCTGTCGGATCGAAAATCGCATCGCCGCGGGGCAAGTGAATTGTTTCGCGAAAAAACCAAATTTCTTTACAATTCAGCGACATCGTGCTCATTATTTTCCCGACAGAACCTCATTGTGGAGAGTAACCAAAAATTTAATGTTGTCTATGACCTGTAGGGCACCAAACCACATCTTTAAAATGCTTTTACACCGATAAATTCAGCGTACTTTTCCATTTGATTTATCGACCGAAAAACAAAGCGATGTTTGTTATTATGCTGACAGCGCGATCCCAAAAAGGAGGTCAAGATGAAAGTTGGTCTTCTTTGAAGCTCTATAAAAACCGCTCTGATAAACCTAACCACATGAAGTATATATCACTAGACACTGCTTCAACGTTCGTTCAGGTGATATTACTAGATGCACCAAAACTTCTATTCTACCCGTAAAAAATACACAGCTAAAAAACGGCACGGTCATACTTCTAAGCCCGAGATATGGTCAAAAGCGCATCTTTAACAGCCCTCAGTAGCGACTTTTAATTTAAAAATTCTGCATGAAGAAGAACCCAGAAGGTTCATAATGAGTAAGGGCCTCAGCTAAACAAATGTGTGGGAATTATGGAGGAGAAACGTTTGAATGGACGAGCAGGTGTTCATGGGAACCTCGGCTACAAGCCGGGTAGAAGGGGGGTTTATGGCGGAAATGTTCGTAGAAAAATATCAATTATCTTGCTGCAAAATGTGTAGCTGAATACAAATTATTCTTCAGGGAAAAACGTCTGTTATTGTTGCCAGTCTGCCGGGGAAATAATGAGCAATCTGTCGCTGCAATGATCTTGTCGCTGAAATGAAAAGCAACTTGATTTTGCGGCAACACAATTCATTTGCAATGCGACAGAGTGCTCATTATTTTCCCGACAGGCTGATAAGACCTTTGTGTTCGCTGGAATGCGCCCTGAATTAACAATGCATTCCCTATGGCTTGCTAATTTTTAATTGCGAACCAAAATTTTAAAAGTAATACGTGCCTATATGTAATAAAATCAAACTCCCAAGGAATGCCATAATTTGAGTGAAAATCACAAAGTAATTCAATCAAGTTTTGTTCCTAGAAATTGAGTAGAACTTGTTCTTGGAATAATCAACAGAAACTGGCCAGATTTCCCATGATTTCTCCACGATATAACTGATTGAAGTTCGGGGGAAAATAGTATTAGAGGGGAAGACTTGACCACCCCTTCAAAAAAACTTGACCCGACCCGCAATGCGTAACGCTAAATGGACAAAACAGGAAGAAGCTCTTGCTTTGTACCATTTGTCGAGGCGTTTAACGACCATTTGCGATAGAGTACGTAAAGTGAGGAGAGTGGGCAGGAAGAAAAGTTTTTTTTCCGAACATGTCTTATCATATCAGCTTGTCGGGAAAATAGTAAGCAATCTACCGCAACGAAAATTGCATCGCCGCCGACAAAATGAATTGTGTTGCGACAAAATCAAAACGCTTTCCACTTTATCAAAATTATGGTCATTATTTTCCCGACAGACTAGAAAAACTCGATTCAATGTTGACCTTAAAATCCCGACGGTTTCCGAAAAACAGAAGCACCTCCGAGCAAGATTTTATCTCTTTATCTCAATACTAGTAGTTCCATAAAGTGCGTAGACCTTTTTTCACGGCGCACAGTGCATTTTTCCATTTACTTTTTGCACTATATATGCAATTTTTCTCAAAATGCGCAGCGATATTTGAGTGCAAAAAGCGTTGCGACGAAAAGTCTACGCACTTTATGGAACGACACGTATACGTCAAGTTTCGCCGAACACTTTCACTAAACAGATTTTCTGTGTAATAAGTTTCTCTGAAACCAGAGATCGCGCAAATTTCGCCTCACTATTTCTCCGCAGGGGTTTGATTATGGGAGATGAGGCTACATATTTTTCTTCCGTAAGAAAAATATGTAGTCTTAAGTCGGGTTGAAACAAAAAACAAAGCCTAGTTGTTGGGGTACGGTTCTAAGAAACGTGTTTTATTGGAGAAAACAAAACTTTTTCGGAGTTTCGAACATCAAGTAGGTGTTTGAAACTACTGTTACACCATCTAGATCCTCTGCTCTTTGATTCCTTAGCAATACTAAAAACAGGAAGTACTCCAAGTGCGACGCTCAGAATTTGATGAAACTTGACACAAACTTAAAATAATTTTTTTCTATTATAGCAATAACACACGAGACTCCTAGCCCAAAGTTTGCAGAAACAATACAGATTTTTAGGTCGAAAGTTGGCAAAGGTGCGCCAATTTTTTTTGCAAATTTACACAAGATGATCACGGAAAGGAGGAGATTGGGGAGTCTGGAAACGAGATAGACCGGTCAAAACCGAGGGTTTTTATTTGTCAAGGACGAGAAAAGAATGAGATAAAAGTGTATTCGTGTGGCTTTTATAGCCAAATCCATTATGCAAATTTGGCACTATTGCCAACAAATTTTTACATGAAAATTTTCATGCCTATTTCTACCGTAGAGAGTAATATTTCCTCAAAAAAATCAATTTTTTCCGCTCGAAACTGGCAAAGATATGACATAAATAGGATTTTCTCTGACCGCTCTCCGCGTTTCGCGTACTCTCTAGGCCAAAAAAATCGCTGAATATCTCGGCTGCGCCTGCAAAGCAAGAGAGAAAACTTTGAGGAATTAATATCTAGTCTATGCCCGAAATATGTGCAAAATTTCAAGAAAATCTGAGCGTCGCACATAAAGTGTTTACAATACTTTAATTGGAAGAAACAACAAAGAATATGGCATGCGAATTTATATGTAAAAAAGAGTTTATAAACGTAAGACAAAGCCTGCGCCTTCTACATCGTTTATATAAAAATCAGCCCATTTTTTGGCCAAACACTCTTCCTCGGCCAAAAGCTAAGCAAACACGGCACAAGCTCTGGCTATGTCCGCGGGCTTTCACACAGAGTTCATCGCGCTCCGTGGATATTTGCTCTTCAAAAACAACTAGTGAATATACAGGGCAGAAGAAAGGGAGCAATAAAGGGCTAATTGAAAAAAAATGTTTGGAGCTTTTGTTATCTGTTGAAAATTTTTTTTCATGACGATAAAATATGAAGGAAAAGGAGAGGAGAGCATCAAAAAAGCGAAGGAAATTTTGGAAATTGGTCTCTTTTTTGTTGAAATTTTTGGGCCAACAAAAAGGAATCATGTTGCACAGTGCATGTTATAATAGCTTTTTCTCCTGGTCCCTCCGGAAAGTCGCCGGACTGAAATCAGCAACACGCAGTGTCGGAAAACAAAAGTTTTGTCTGCACTGTGCAATTTCTTGCTTTTTTGCACTGTGTCTTTTTGCATAGGCCTTTTCGGGCTGTTGCTTGCACCCTGACGGCTTTCGCACAGTGCAAGCGCCAAAAAACAGTTCGTCGGCTTTCCGGAAGAAGCAGGTTGTCGCACCGCTCATTAAATATCGCCGAGACGTACGCTTTTTTCCAACTACAGTGGGGGACCTGGTCCAGTCTCAAAAAACGCACCATTTTGCACCCGGGAAGTATCAAAAATGTGGCAAAATGCTTCCCTCTCCAAGTGAAAAAAACTGGGATTTCAAAAACGTGCCAGCCAAAACGAAGTTTTTTCACTTGGAAACTGAAGCATTTTGCCACATTTTAAATACTTTCCGGATGCAAAATGGTACGTTTTTTGCCACTGGGTCATAGTGAAAAGCAATTTGATTTTGTTGCGACACAATTCATCTTCTCGATGCGATAGATGGCTCACTACTTTCCCGACAGACTTATAATACTGACTGTATAAGATGCAAAGACATTTTGTTACCTTTTATCGCAAACGCACAGTGCGTTTTGCCTTTTTTCCTTGATTGTCGGACACACTGTGCATTTTGCTGTTTTTCGCTCAGTGCAAGCTTGAAAAAGCGGTTTGCACGTGCAAATGGTCCAGAAAAAACGTAACGATGTAGTTGGAAAAAGCTTCCGTCGCGGCGATATTTTGATGCACGGTGCGAAAACTTACAAAAAAAATTAAATGCACCATGCAACATGGGGATGTTTGCTGAAGAGTCTACGCACTTTATGAAAAATTTGGAAAGTCCACGAACTTTATGAAAATTCAAGTTCAGTGGAATATCTTTTCAACCAAACTCCCATAGAACGGCCCATTTTAGCCTAGAAAATTTCAGTTCAAATTTACGCCAAATTTCGCCAAAATCTGGGCGTCAAACTCCGAGCAATTTTCTTATTATACAACTAAAAAAAAAACAAGAAATACCAAAACAAATCGCAAAGCTAAGACTCCAAACACATGATCATTGTCGGTTTATTCCAAAACAACAAGAAATAATAAAGTTATCTTCGCCCGTAACCATGGAGAATGACAAAGAAAATGAGTTCTTTTTACCAGAGAACGCGGCAAAAACTCTCAAGATGGCTTCGGGCAACAAGAGAAATTATAGTTGCAAAAATGGATATTACAATGCAATGATTTACAACAATGTAAAGATATCTTTGCACTTTCGTAAAATTCGTTTTACACTATGATACGTGGACAATGCTCACTTTTTTTGACATCGTATTACATATATTCAAAAGGCACGTAATGACAAATGACGTCATCTTGGAGAACGAGAAGTCGAAAATGTGGTTGTAATCGCCTTGAAAATTGTAGTAACAAAGACCGTGAAGAAGACGGCCCCGAAGAACACCATCAACGAATACAATTTGTAGCGCTTCTCCACATTCTTACAATACTCACACATCGACATCACAACTCGAAGGTTAGATGCGGAGTATGAAGAAATTGACACGTCTCATTCCAATAACAAGTAAAGAAAATGTTGGAAATGCAGTTCCACAGATGGCCAACTGCAATAATAATTTCATACGCAGGGTTAGCCATTTGGACCAATTTTGAAACGTGACGAGGCTGAAAATAGAACAAAGGCCGAAGATTAGGGTAAGTCAACAAAAAAATGACATAGTGAGATACTTTGTCTGTCGGGAAAGTCATGAGCATATATATGTTGTTGCGCCGATCGTGTCGCTGAAATAAAAAGCAATTTGATGTTGCAGCGGCACAATTCAGTTTCTCTGTGGCGATTTGAGGCGATAAAGGGCTCATTATTTTCCCGACAGACTGATAAATTTCTTTAAATTTTGGGCATTTGTCTGGCTCAATTCCGGTATTGAATATTGTCTCGTTTTTCCCTCTTTACCACATTTGAAACCAAACGAAACGTCACAGGATTTTTTTCGATTTTTTGGTGAAAATGATTTTCTCGAAGTTATCATGTTTTTTTTCAGTTGTGACACATCCAGCAACTTTGCAAACGGGCTAATATTTCGAGTTGCCAAGTGTCGCCGGTAAGCTCCCCTCTCTTCCGGCGCTCCTCATTTTGCAAACTCTCTCCTCGGTCAAGCCGGTTTGAACACCTCGACTCCCCTACAGCGGCAGCTTATATTTTTACAATGTGGTTTATACTATCACAGTTGATGTGTAGGCTCAAGAAATACATATTCAAGTGACCCCTTACCGTTTAAAAAAATAGGAGCACATGTCTTCAAGGTTTTTGATAGTTAAGAATAAAGTAATACAGAAATACTGTTATCATAATGGCAGCCACTGTGAGCGCAAGTAGGTAGACACAGAAGGAATAGAATTTATATCGCTTGTCAATGTTCGAAAAGCACTCAAGCTCCAGCATAATCAAAGCAATGAAAAACAGTGTGAAGAAACATAGAAATGCTGCAATTTAAAACAGAACGTCGCATGCATATTATACCAAGTTGGCTCATTGAATATTATATAAAAAAAGTTAGTCTGTAAATGTTTTGCAGTCTAAAAAAAGCTAGCAATATACTCAAACGGCAAACGACCAAAGTTTTTTCAGATGTTGTGCATACGGTATACCCAGGCCATATCAACTCTTGAAAGTTTTGATTTGATCTTTGCAGGTGTCCACGGCACATTTACCTCGCACAATCACATGATAAAAGCATAGAGTGGACCAGAATGGTTTTCATTGTCTCATAGGTATAAGATCCTTCCATCGCGGGCCATGATGTTTGCGAAAGTCAACCATCTCATTCTTGGGCGGCCATTCACTTCACACCATTTTGCACAGAGCACTTCACATTTGCGCAGATTCTGCTCGAAATAAACTTTAGCGGCCAACGTTAAATTTATGTACATGTTTATATATTGTTTACGCATAGTAAGTAAAACGGGTTGATCCTTTATAAATAATATAATGTTCACATTAATTTTGCCGCACATCGATGCTTTTCCGACTGCCAGAAACCACCGTGACCGTCGACTCTACATCCGGGTTCAACGATAAGCAGAGTGTTCGACGATACGAAGGGATCAATGTCATGATTGTAATGGCATTCATTGCGGGCAGTAGTTGAGGTATTGCGGAGAGGAGATACGGCAAAAAGCCGAGATTCACTCCTGCCATGATGAAGGAGGAGTGTATCGCCAAAGGGACAAAGAAAACAATTAAAGGATAGAGCGCCTGAACTCTAAGTAATTGGAGGATTTACTTTATACCGATAACATTAAAAATAGAGAGGCAAATTATATTATTGTTTTCGTACGTCATCAATTTATACACTTACCTGTAGCACCATTACATTGACCACATATCGCTGCGCATTCTCCGTCTTCAGGTTAAAGGAGACTTCTTTCATCTTCATTACGATTTTGCGACCGAAATAGAGCAGTATAGCGTAATGTGCAACTCGCATTATGAGATTGCAGGAAGCAGAGACGATGAATTGAGGCGTTGACTGAAAAAATCTCTCTTAATCCGCAATTTCTAATGACTTCCGGCAATAAAAAAAAATAAAATAGCATCCAAACCTACCAAAGCATAAACACAATGTCTTGGAATAATTCCCTTTGGACCAATCTGACTTCGGATGTCCATTTGAGACCGCGAATCTTCATCTTCCATTGTCCAGAGCGTCCCCAATAATTCCAAAACGCCGTAGGTTGCAAATCCCAAATAGGTGAAGCAATATCGCCTCTTTGTCCAGATAATCCCAGCGCACAACGCATTTGCGCGATACCAGAAATGAACGGCGCTGCACGGGCCGAGCAGGTTGAGGCTAAGGTCGAACAACCTTTGGCCAAGCTGGATCAGCCAGTTCGGGGAGTTTTGCACGAAAGAGCCTTCAATAAGCGCGTATTAATGGGTAGGTGTGCTGAAGGAGTTCTACAATTGCAAACATGAAGAAATTTCTTCAAATTTTGCGGCCACCTTATGCCTAGCTTTGTAAGTCGCACAATGAGTATATGACGGCTGTAATTTAGCTCGCGCTTTGCAGAGGCAGTTGGGATGTTCAACGAGTCTGTCGCGAAAATAATGACCACTCTGTCGCATCGAAAATCGCATCGCCGTCGAGAAAGTGCATTGTGTCACGCAAAATCAAATTGCTTTTCACAGCAGCGACGCGATCAACGCAGCGACATTGTGCTCGTTATTTTCCCGACAGACTGATACGCAAAAAAGAAAAAAAACAACTTTAACCATTTTTGGTACCAATGTCTTTGTTTTTCCGCATAACGCGGTACACAAATTTTTTGGGGCTTCTAAAATTTGGCACTCCCCGAGGAGCGGCTTACGACTCGTTAGTAAAGATTGAATTTGCAAAAGCTTCCTTGACATATCAGTCTGTCCTTTTTACATTGTTTTCAGTCAAGCCCAGGATGTCATTTTTCATACCCCCATAATTTGCATCTGGTACATAGTGATTCAAACCCTCCTTTTCCAGCTTACCGGCGCAAAGACCCCAATCCACAGCGCAAAATTCATATCGATTACTGTGTTAAACGCCATGATCCAAGAGTAATCCGCGCTCTTGTTTGCCCTCTGAATTCTCACCGACAGTACGATGACAAAACCGCCAAGTGTTAGGTTGATGACACAGGTAAGCATGGAATAATATTGATACAGTCGGCTAAAGTTCATGACGCCGTAATTTAAAGTTTGATGGTTGGAACTGAGAGGGAATTAAAGCCACCTCCTTATGACCGAGTCAGCGGTTTCATTATCATCTAAACACCTTGCTACGCCCCGGAATTAGCAATTAGAATAACACTACATATTTACATTAATGGAAGCAAAACAACGGAGAACAAGGCAATTTTTTTCGAAGTATCACGTATTTAGGCACGCAGCAAAACATGGATGCTAAAGAATTTCGTTGTAAGGGAACAAACGCCACACATCAATCCTGCTTGCGTAACAATTTTTCGGGTCGACGATAGTTCGGGTCAGCACAAAATTGGTCGAAACGGGGCGTCACCCAGGTGGAGAAAAAACCCCCAAAAAAAGGTTTTAGGAAGTGCGCACGAGGCCTGGCAGAGCCGTTGGTCGTCGGCGGACGCTCGGCGAAGCCTCGGCGGAGACTTTGTGAGGCCTTGCGATACGTCCGCGTTTTCTAATTTTAGCTGCTATTACTACGTATATTATAAAAAGCTACTCACAGTGCTTTGCACAAGATTTTATTAGTGAACTGTGCTCTAAATTCTATTTACATTCAAATAAAAACTTAACAAATTATTTTTTTGCAAATTTTACAAATAACTATGTAAAAATCTCTTCTTATATCACAGCTTTATCGTTGGAAGATTTCCGGGTGGTTGGCGTTGAAGTTGCCGTTCAACAAAGTGCCCACAGTCATCCCTTCCGTCATCATCAGCGCCAGCTCTTCGAGGTCTCGCAGTAGGCCCAGCACTCGGCCCAGTCGCAGAGCCGCGCCTGCCGTGCCTTGAGTCCGCTTGCAATACTGACCGAGCTCGTCTTGAATCCGCTCCGGAAACGACTCAAACAGTTTGTGCTCTATCTGGGTGCTCACTGAAAGTTGGAGAAGATGAGACTGTGGCTTGACTAGAGTGACATTGACAAGACGGAGATGAATACCGAAGACTGATTAACGATAAACACGTATTTATATTATCAGTCTGTCGGGAAAATAATGAGTGCTCTATCGCAGTTAAAATCGCATTGAGAAAATGAATTTTGTAGCGGCAAAATCAAATTGCTTTTCATTTTAGTGCCGCGATTGGCGAAGCGACATTGCGCTCACTAGTTTGCCGATAGACTGAATGTATTTACTTCATAAAATGCGTTGTATTCTGCAACGACCTTTTTGAGGCTTTTATTTCGCGAAATGAGAAAATTCACTGTGCATTGGCGACAAGCGTGGAAAAAAGTTGAATTGCACTGTGCGTTTTATGAAAATACTATTATAGTACTCCGTAACGGTATTTGCCCGTCAATTTTGTAGCAGGAAAAAAAAAATTCTTTTGAAATTTTGTTTCAACCGTCGCAAGAGCTCTTAGCAAACTTCCGTATAACAAAACCGGTCGATAAAAAAACAGTTTCAGGCATCTCTAGAGACAATTTTAGGCCTAACTAAGCCTCCGCATTCTCTCTGCGGCGATGCAATTTGTAGATGCGACAGAGTGTTCATTATTTTTCCGATATATACCTTCAGACAGGAACAATTAATTTTAGTTATTTACTCTATTTACTCACCTTCTCTCCACAGAATAATCCCCGATAATGCGGCAACTTCGGTCTCGTCCGGCATGATTGCTTTGAATTTCGTGGACAGTTTCGCGAACTTTGTGTGCAAACAATCCAACGAGCTGAAGAGGTTATGAACTTTCAAATTCCCCTACCTCAAGTACGAAAGGGCCTCGGTTTCGTTCCATGCAAAGAAGAATTCCGTTTTCCCAAAGTCCAAATAACTGCCGTAGTGAAGGAACATCTTTCTGTGATCGTTGGGGAAGTAGAGGGTATTCAAGTAGTGTTGGTTTAGGAGGGCAAAATACAGGTGGAAAACTTTCATCAGCCTTTCCTGAAACAAGATTTGGACTTATGTGGTCAGAGAAGAAGCGCTCCAAGTACGACGCTTAGATTTTGATGAAACTTGGTACAAATTTACAATAATTTTTTCAAGACATATCGAGACTCCTAGCTCGCAACTGTACAGAAATGACCGAGATTTTTAGATCGTAAATTGCAAAAAATGCAACATTCGTTTTTGCATAAGTTTGTTCGATATCTCGGCTCTCCAAGCAAAACGCGGGCTGGAAAGCTATCCAGAGTTGATATGATGCATCTAAAATTTCAATATTAAATCTACCACAGAGGTCAACTCTTCCACCAAAAACTATTATAATTTTTCCGCTAGAAATTGGCGAAGATATGGCCAACTCCCCGCATTTTGTCCTCTTGCCCAATATCTCGGCTGCCTCTACAAAGCGAAAGGTAAAGTTTTCAACTCATGATACGTGACTAACTCCTACGTGTGCGCCAAATAAAAATTTGAGCGTCGTATTATATTTTGGAAGCTTAATTTTTAACGATGCTTACCTTAACTTCCCGTGTAAACTCTCCAAAAGGATGATAAAAATCGTCCAGCATTTTTAGTGCGTATACGATTAAGGCCTTCTGAAAATTCGTGTGTTCCACAACCGTAGCCATCTTAAACTCCATTGTTTCTTTGAAAATATTTTCGGGATTCAGTGCAGTATGAAACGTCTTTGTATCCGCGAGGAATTTCCGGTAGCCAGCTACCATGTCCGGCAATAGCGGTTTTGAGAGTGGGTTGGAGAGTTCGGACGCTGAGGATTCGTTGTTGACCGAGCCTGGGGTTGAAGACGGCACCTCGGAAGGCTTGGGGATCGGCCCATTTTTGTCGAAGGCGTAGCGAATTTCTGGAAAATGGAAAAAATTTGCGTGAGTTTGTATTCTTTATTGTTTGAGTGTGTTACAAATGCACTTTTAAAAAAGACAGATATCCAAAGTCGCTGGAGTGATCTTTGAGGTTTTCACGAAAAAAGATAAGGTGCGAGCGATGACCCAAAAGTACATGTCGCCAAAATCACCCCAGCAATTTTGTGATGGGCTGTAAGTGACTCTAGGACTCCATAAATTTATGTAGGCCACATATCAATTTTATAAAGTTTTCACACGTGCTTTCTGGTGCCGCCTAAATAATCGAAGGGCTTCGCGGGCAAGAGGGTACGCGAATTGCGGAGAATGGTCAGGGAGAAAAAACAGCTTCTTGACCATACATATCTTCCCCGACTTTGCATGAAAAAAATAGTTTTTTTTTATTAGACTTACTTCCTTCTCCGGTATATATTACCGGAGAGATAATAAATAAGGCTGACTTTTTTCAACAAAAAAATTTGCAGAGAACGGTCGTATTTCGGCCAACCTTACGCCTAAAAATCTCGTTTGCTGCTAGCCTATCATATAGATATCAGTCTGTCGGGAAAATAATGATCTCTCGTCGCATCCAAAATTGCATCGCCGCCGAGAAAATTAATTGTATCGCTGCAAAATCGAATTGCTTTTCACTTCGGCGACACGATCGGCGCAGCAAAATTCACTCATTATTTTTCAGACAAACTTTAAAAATTTTTAAAATCTTTGCGTCGCACTTCAAACACGTCATCTAAAAGGTCAGAGTCAAGTTTTTAGTTCATAGAAAAAAAACTCGCCGTAGTTTACATTAAGATTATGGTTCTACAAATAAGATTGTATAAACAGCTTGCTGTCGAAAACTTGTTACAAAACAACCAGTTTACTCAATTGGTCACAAAAGCTGGTGTGTGTTCTATGACTTTTTTCCAAAACCAACACAACCCTATTCCTTCCAATACCTACTTTTCGTCTCCATTCCAACATTGATGCACTTGTTCAGACGACAATGTGCGCATCCTTTGCGAACATCTAAATTTGAAAATAAAAAAGATGTTATGGACTTACTCGGACTGATTTTGCACTTCCCCTCTCGTTTGCAACGGTACTTCCGTTTCAGCACAATGGAGCGACGGAAGAATGCGGCACCTGGAAAAGCAAAAAAATCATGATTCTGAAGCCAAAATGTTGTTGAATATATCAGATGAGACGATAATGCAGATGCTAGGATTTTCACCAGTTAATCTTCGCATATGCATATATATCATCATGTAAATATATCTGTCTTTCGGGGAAATAGTGTGGATTTGTCACGCTTTGAAATCGCCCATCATCGCTTTACGACGGCATGCCATCGTGGATTTGGTGCTCAACAGCGACGAGATATTTTGCTGCGACAAATCCACATTATTTTTCCGACGGGCTCAAATTTTTTCAAGATCTGATGATAATATAAATAATGCCACAAGCATTTTTAAAATTTCAAAACCTCTAAAAATTTTTGCGAAAAATCTCGGTTTTATTCAACTTTTTACATTTATTTATAAAAAACAGAAGCAGTTCCAAAAGAACCCTTAAGATGACGTCATATTCAATTTTAGATTCAAAACCTACAAGGTCGACATGAGAACACTCCAAAGTGTTGTGAAGCCACCGGATCGCTGCAAATCGCGCAGCAACTGCTTGTCGCCGGCGAGTTGTCCGTCGTCGAAGAGTAACTCGTCATCCCAACAGTTCAATCTCACTCTTAAACGTCTGTTATAAAAATCAGAAAAGTTTAGACACCTTAAACCCGAATATTCAGCTCTTCAAGTGAATTCGCAATGTTTTCGACCCGTGCGAAAGCAGAAAAGTTTCTCCAACTAAAAGGAGCGGCTTTTTATTGGAACTCACGGTTCCCATTTCGGATCACAAACTACATTGCGCGTGTGTTTTGCTTCCCAATGATGGCGGAATGGCGATATCAAGGCTACAAAAGTGGAATAACAACTCCTTTCCGTTGATCTGTGCTAATTCCCAAGGAATGAGAGCGTGTTTTAGGTGTTGGTGAGAGTAAATATTGTGGTAACAGGAAAGGTTAAAAGGAACGTTGAAATCTATCGACATGTATGAAAAGGAATGAAGGAATCAAAAGTATTTGAAAGCAAAACAGGTCAGGACGCTTTGTAAACGCTTATTCTTTACTGCGCTGACTAAAAAGCCTCAATGTCGACATGTAGCAAAGGAGTTATGTTTTTTGAAGAGAAAAACAAAAAGGCCATGGCACCAGAAAACATTTTTCGTTGTTTTGCATCGGCTTTTATAATACACATAATATTATACCACTCAAAAAAGAAACCGAGAGATTGAGCAGTAAAGAAGCTTATATATTGTGGCCATCTTAAAGCTAATTTACTGCGCGTCAAAAGTTTGGAAATGGCTAGATTTTCTTTGCGGCTTGAGATAGGAGTTTCATTTCTTTTCTATTAGAAGCGCAATGTGTATTAAAACCCTAAATGGATACATAGCCGAGGAAGTCAGAAAGCATACAAGCTAAAAAATTTTTTTTTCAATGTAGGTGCCCTAAGAGTTCAGAACATGGTTGGAAAAGCAACCATAAATTTTGGGATAAAGCCAAAAGCTCTTCGATTTTGCTGTTTTTAGATGCTACGAGGAGTCAGGATCCCAATGACATTTTGGTTTTCATCAATAGACCAAAAATGAAAAAAAATGTGCATTCGCACGGGGTAAGTGGCGACTGCCCTGTCCAAAAATTCGATTTTAACTGCGCGTGCGTGATTAAACATGGCTCGTCGGCCGGCCCGGACTGTTTCAAATTTGCTTCGGTCCGGCCCGGGCCCGCCCGTTGAAACAAAAATCTCACCAAGTTTAACTCCGTATGGCCGTACGTTTTTCTATCATCATGTAAATGGATAAATGCTGCGTTCCGAAAAACAAAAAATTTTTAGGTTTTCTGAACTACCTAAAAACAAAAATACCCTAAAAACCAATTGTGTCTTGGAAACTTTGGCCCGGCCGGCGGCCCGGCTCGGGAGCCATGCCTATGCGTGATGGGCGCGCACAATGCACGGAAAGGGCATCTTGCACCGTCGTCCTTTGGGTAGATGCGACACTGTAGCAGAAATCGACGCGGAGTGAATTCCACCTCTGCCTAAGGGCTCACAACGACACAACAAAAATTAGAACGGGCATGTCATATTTTTTTAGCCAACCATTTGATGGCCTACCGACCACTGACGGCTAACTTCTACAAAAATACAATCTTTGTCTCCTATATATTCTCATCGGCAAAGAGTTACAGTTTAGGACATCAGCGTCTAATAAGAAGGCTAAATTCCGCAACAAATAACGCCCCAACAGGTCGCCACGAAATTCCGAAAAGGAAACGCCTTTCAATTTCTACTGTTTTGAGTTGACCTTACACTTAGTTTCACGGTCGATATATAAGGTGTGTTTTGTTCCGACGTGTTTTTAAAGGGGACCTCAAATGAAGCCAGGACGGAGAAATCATTTCAAATAAAGGAACCAACTTGTGCTAATTGTAGCTTCCCTAAACTATCCGGTCGGTTTTACAGTCCGTGAACCTGGCCAACTCTCAAAAGTACATTCATGGTCTTTGGTGTTTGAATACACTTTTGTTTATTAGTCCTACAAGAGGAATGGTATTCCACTGGAATTGGGGCAAATACCTTTATAACGCTTTGTCCTGAACAATTTTTAAAGGACGTATAACTTTGTGAAAAGAGCACTTTAGATGAGCTTCAAATGAATCCAAGAAACATCCCGATGACATCAGCAGATGCTCGATCAGAGCTCTGCAAAAGAACGGGCCCACACTTGAGGACAACCACTTTGCGGACAGTTAAAAGAACCACGGGGATTCTTCGAGCATGTTTAGAAATCAGCCAACATTTGCTTACAACTGCAAATTCTAACGATGGACTTGGCGTCTAGATGTTGCGGATTAAAATTCCAGGCATAAGCGGCTTGAAGAGTGACCACACGTTTGAACAAAACCGTTTTTTGAAAATAAAGTCCCATAACTTTGAAAGCGGTGGATGAATTCAAACGATTTGTATACTCATCAGGGCCAAGGAGTTGTTAATGAAAAATTTCTGTCATAGCACGCAGATTACGGAAGAAAAGTACATTGAACTGACCATGAATCGGAGCTCAAGTGCAGGCTGAACTAAAAAGACGCATTTTTAAGTTTAAGTTGGTTTGTTCAACTTTCTTTATTTATGCAATTTTTTTGTTCACAAGAATGTTGTATGTCACAGTACCATGTAGAGGCTAAGCTTACATCATACTGGATTTATTATATTTACTGTCTCCGTGTTAAAGCTTCATCTTCGTATGCCAAAGGGCAAGTATAACGGGCTTTCAACTTGCCAACAGACCGGGTCAAGGTTACAGCACGCTGCGGGCTTTTTCAGAATACGCTTTGCAAAGGCTGTTACGGTCAATTCTTCGCCAAATTTTATTTGTCAGTTACTACGTTCTTACAAGATATTTTTTGCGGACTGATGTCATTTACTATATGTTGACCACGTTCTGATTTTATATTTACACGTGGATAAGACTTCGAAACCTAAAGATTTTGCAACTTTTGCCGTTCGGCACTTTACTGTAAACAACCGAAATCCAAAGCAGAGTCTTCCTTTTGCTCATGATCAGGTGTTCAAGGCCAACTGGCAGCTAAAACTGTCAAAAAATTCAAACTATTGGCATAATGCAATTTTTCTAACATGTTACTTGGCAATACATCAAGTCCTAGCATCAAAATACATCTTGAAAATAAAGTGCACACCAATTCAATCACCTCTTCCTCAATTTTGCAAAGAAATCATACTGCCTCGAGGCATTCTTCCACTGTTTCCGTTGTAATAAAGCTTTCAACATCAGCTGTTCGGTGAATTTTTCAACAACTCTCCGGTCACTTTATGTTCGCCAAACTGGAAGCCTCCGAATTATTGCGCAAAATCGGTTTAGTCGGATTACGACAGAAACATGTAAACTTTTTGAAAGTTTTTTCAGGAGAGTTAGCTTATGTGTAATCGTTGTTTCTACGCTTGAAACTTCAATATAAAGCGGTTTGCAGCAGAATTTCTCAAGTTCTTAGGATTTATTGGATTCATGGCGACGTTGCCGCGGTAAATTTTCAGTGAATAGTGTTGGGTGTGGCCGGTGACTTGCGGTCGGCCAGATGATGTCCAAACTTGACATTTACCGACGAAAATTACGATTTTTCTACCGCAGTTTAAGTAGTACACTAGAATTTTTTTAGTGCAAATTCAGTACTGATAAGTACACCAACCTATTGAATTTATCAACCGCTTTCAATTTTATCGGTGTTTGTTTAAAAAAAAATGTTGCTGAACCATTAAAAGTGTGCCTGGTCAACGTTATGATAACTTTTCATCCACTTGTGCACCTGGAACCTTAATTCGCGACATATAACTGCCAATTCTACCGTTTTAGTTTTCTATTGTACGCAAATTTTGGCCGGTTTCCAAACATGCCCGCAGAATATGCGTGGTTTTCCTAGCTGTCCGCAAAGTGGTTGCCTCAAATGTGGGCCGCCGCTTTTTGTATTGCCCCTGAGTTTTGTCGGTAGTTCAAAAAACCGAGAAATAGTTATGTATAATACCAGTCTGTCGGAAAAATAATGATTGTTTTTGCCTTGCCGAAAATCGCATCACCGCCGAGAAAATGGAGTGTGTCGCGGCAAAATCGACTTTCTTTTTGCTTCAGCGACGCAATCGGCCCTGCAACATTGTGCTCATTATTTTATCGACAAACTGATAAATATATATTTCTATATGTTCATAACGAGACTAGAACTATTCAAAATATGCTGTAACCTTGACCCGTTCTGCTGGCTAGCTCGAAGCCGGCTCATTACACTTGCCCTTTGGTATACGGAGATCGAGAAATGATGATTATAACATATTATTTCAGTCAGTTTTGTTTTATGATTTGTGCTCTTTTCCATTTCAACACGGTCACATCCTAAGCGTGATTCCTCTCATGGTTAAATTGCGCCAGTTCAAGTGAATGATTAATTTTTTGTTGGTGTTCCAACGTTTGGTCACTTGATCTAAAAATATATTTTTTTTTGATTTTCCGGTTTTCCCCCTAATTATTCATGTCTCGGATCTGCTGTAAAGCTCATCTCAATTAATCTTGAATGGTTGTACTACAATGTTTAAAGTGTCTGGCGGGAGTTTCTCGGCGTTGATTTGACCGATTCAAACTACGATTCCGCCTTTTCTCAAACTACTGTAGATTTTCCCATGTGCTGCGAACGCGCGAAAGCGGACATCGGATCGTTCTGGAAACATTCCGCAACTCTGCGCTATTCTTAAGAGCGGAGGAGTAGCTAACCAAAAATTTAGGGGAGGAGGTAGTTAACATGAAAAAAATTTTTTTGAAAATTAGCTTGGTCCCCTCTTACCATTTTTTCTTTCGATCCTTGTTCTGGGAGTGAGGGTGAAGACTAATTTTACGTGGGAAGGGCTCAAAACATTGCCCCATTGAACAGTATAAATTAATTCTGGATTCTTCAGTGCGCAAGTTAGAAGATCCCGTCCATGTCTTACTTATTATGCCATCGGTCTGTGGGGGAAATAATTAGCCCTCTGCCGCATCCAAGAATTGCACCGAGAAAATGAATTGTGCCGCGGTAAAATCAAATTGCTTTTCACTTCAGCGACGCGATCGGTGCAGACCTCATTATTTTTCCGACAGATTGATAGATAAATTATATTGTTTTAAGGAGTCGTAAAACTACATTGATCAGTTCGTTTGTTCGCTGTTGAGACGTGTTATTGATGGTAAAAAACAATCAACTAGAGTGTAATAAAATATATCCTCAAAAGTTTCAAAATGTTTTCTACCTTATTTTCAAGGTGTGGTGAAAGAAAATTTTTAGTGACATCGTCTTCCAAGCTACAAGCCGCACGATTGGAATGCAATCGCTGTGGTCCTTTAAAATTTGTGCCAGTTTAATCAAAATTTTCCTGGACAGCCCGCTAAAAAGTTTCAACGTAACAAGCACTTGTTTACCCTGTAAACTGTGAACAAATCTGTGTTCTGGAACAAAACAGAATTCAAAGATTCGCTTTTCTTGTTTACATCCCGTAAACCAACTGTCCTCGTGATTATAGTTTGAATCCAGGGTAACCATCAAAGGTCACATTACAGCATTTATCGTCGATAAAGTAATGACCAATAAGGGCAAAATCATCTGTCGAAATGAAGCAATTTTGGTGTGTGAGAGACGAGTGATTTCGGGAAGGGAAAGTTTTTTCGATTTCTGATGGGCTACGGTAATATTTGATAAATTTTTTTGTGGGATGAACTCCGGTGTCGTGCAGATTTTGATGGAATTCGGTTACTAGGGTGAGTGCCTCAAGCGCGATGCTAACATTTTTATGAGACTTATGACAGACTTAGATTAACTTTTTTTCGATGACATAGGACATTTTTTAGCTCATGTTTTGCAGAAAACCCCGAGATTCTTAGGTCGAAAATTGAATAAGTTTGCCCATTTTTTCAAATTAAAAAAATCATTTTTTTCGAAGCAAACGCTAGATCTACGGTCAAAATCGTCTCCGTCAGCAGCTCCCCTCATTTCACTTGAAAAGCTATGCCTTTTACATCTAATATTGTCAAAACTGTCTGTCAAAACTCTTCCCTGAATTCGAACATTGAGAAAGGTCGTCTATGACGTTGTTTTTCAGGTCATTAATCAACGAAAGGGTATCCTCAAACGTGTGACTCGCCGTTTCATTTTTGTTTTCGAGTTCGAAATTTTGGTCTGCGCGAAATTTTAATACCTTCACAAAACTTTTGAAATTTTAGATATTATTAACACACGACCAGTGGGAATAACAATAATATTTTTTTTCAACCAGTGCCGTATATAGATCTCATTGCAAAAGTGCAAAAAAATTGATGACTCAGCAATGAAATCGGTTGAAGGTAAGGCAATCTTCCAAACACAGCACAAAAATAAATTGTGATTTTTAGAAAAAACAGTCATCTCATATCCGGAAAAGTCCCTTACAAGGCATGATAGATTCACTCACAAACTCCATGCTGCGTATCGAGCATGGGCAGAGGTTGTTGTCCAACATTCATGGAAGATTATCATTGCTTGCTTGGCGGTGACAGCGGTCTGCACCTTCAAAATGGTCACCACTCCGTAAGTTTTTATAGGCAGAAATGCAGTGTTTTTTTTTTGGTACAAGTCATTTTTACTATACCAAATTTTACAAAGACATATCCAAAACAACAAAAATTCCGTGACATTTCGTCATCCAACCCGTAAAACGGACTATTCAAATGTTGTTTTTCCAGTACTTTAAGAGCAAATTTGTCTATCAGTCTGTCGGGAAAATAGTGAGCATCGCGTCGCTGAATTGAAGACAATTTGAGTTTGCCACGACAAAATTCATTTTCTCGGCGCGACTTTCCATGCGAGTGTTCATTATTTTTCCGACAGACTGATGATAAGCAGATCGCAGTTTGTACGCTGCTATGTAGGTAAAGCCTTAAAAAATGCAAATATAACGTACCGCTCAATAAAACTCTCTATGTTCAAAAATTTCAACAGATGTTTCGCAAAGGTCATCTTGAGGCTAAAATAAGATCTCTGCAACAAAAATCTTCTATAACAAAGAAGTTTTTTTTGTCCCTTGAGATTTGCTGTACAGAGTTTTGATAATTCTATATATTTTTTCTTGGCAAAAAACTGTCATCAAGCCATGAAAAATCATTATTTTTTCAGTCATCAGAACAACATCAAAGGCTATGCTCCGTTCGGGTCTCGCTCTCTCTACGAATTCGCCGTTCGCGAAGAATTCTTCGCGCAAACGGGCGCCGGAGTTCGAATGTTTGTCCTGATGGTCCCCAAAAACGGCACGAACATGCTGACCCAAGAGAATTTAGCCGAAGCCATACGAGTTGACGAGCTGATCAAATGGAATTCCAGTTTCCTTCATAATCATATCACTGGTCAGCAGGAACCATTTGCAATGTTTTGCAGGCGCTTTTGCAAAATTAATGAGCCAGTCCATGCATTTTATGTGAGTAAAACTATGAGATAATTATGAAATATTTCGAATTTAGAAAGGGATTCAATTTGAGAACGAGCTGCTGGCGGAGAATCAGAGTTTAGGCGATCAACTGGACTTATCCTATCCCACGATGACACTTTTCGGGAGGAGAGTCAACATTCAGGTAGGTCCTGCCGTTCTATTTCTAATTTTATCGCTGATCGTTGAAGAAAAATCTTTCGTTTGAAAAGAAATTTTTATCACTCCGTCGGAAAAATAATGAGCGCTCTGTAGCAAAAATCGCATAGCCAAAAATGAATTGTGTCGCGGCAAAAACAAATTTCTTTTCACTTCAGCGACGGAATTCGCGCAGCGACATAGTGCTCATTATTTTCCCGACAGATAGTTGTAAAAAATTAAAATTTTGCAAAATATTATACAATAAACCCATTTGTAAAATACGTCCAAGTCTCTCAAATCCGGAGCAATGATATTTTTTCTTCAGGCAAATTTCTTCGGGATCCACAAAGCCAACAAGACCCATCCACCAATCTTTCCCGGACACTCCAATCTTCATGCCGCCGATATGGTAGTCCTCCTCTATCGTGCGGAACGTATTGGTGGATGGTCGGACAAAGAGATCAAGGACTATGAAATGGCCACTTCCAGGTACATCAAGGATCAATTTCACAGTGATATCCTCGACGTTATGACCATTTCCACTTCATATGTTGAGGCCGAAGTCGATCGAGCTGGCCGGACGTTGATGCCGTATGTCGGGCTTGGCTTCATTGTCATGAGCACGTGCGCTGTGACATCAGTTATTGTGTCCTGTTTGTACTTTGGATCGCTGATCTCGTACAAGGTGAGAATAGAAAATTTATTTTAGGAAGTTGAAAAATGATGTCTTATTGTGTCCTTTACAGATTCCCTTGGCAATTGTTGGATGTATTTGCCCGTTTATGGCCTCGGGCACCGCTCTGGGAGTTTTGTTTTATTGCGGACTTCGTTACGGCGCAATTCTAGCGGTCTCACCGTTCCTGTTGCTAGCCATCGGTAGGAGAAACTTTTTATTCTTCACTTTTCCACAATTTCTTATGTCACAAACAACGTTCCAGGTGTCGACGACGCTTATCTAATGATTCATGCCTGGCAACATGTCAGCACAAATTTCCGCACTCGCCCATCGAAAGATGACACTATCGCCGAGAGAATTGCCCTTATTTTGATTGAGACCGGCCCATCAATCCTAATTTCGGCGTTGGCCAACATTTTCGCGGATGCTGTGGGATCTTTTACCGGCTCCATGGAGATCACACTGCTTTGTGTTGGGAATATCGCTTCGATTTGTGTGGACTTCTTTTATCAAATCACATTCTTCACAGCAGTCCTGGCAATTTTGGGACAGATGGAAATGAACAAGGAAAAGAAGGCCAGAGAGGTGGAAGAAACGAGTAAGGCGGTGGAATCTGATAGTGAATCGAGTGGAAGTGATGTAAGTAGGGGTTGGGATTGAGCAAAAAATGCTAGAAAATCGATTTTTCGTATGTGTCTAGGGAAGAGCCTAGTGTATGAATCTGTCGGGAAAATAATGAACGCAATGTCGCGATCGCGTCGATGAAGTGACAAGCAATTTGAGTTTGCCGTGACACAGCTCATTTCCTCGGCGGCCATGCGATTTTTGATGCAACAGAGTGCTCATTATTTTCCAGACAAATTTATCAGTACGTCGAAAAAATAATGGCGGATCGTCGCGCCTTGAAATCGCCCATTATCGCTTATCGCTACGACAAGCCGCGGCTGGGGATTTGGTGCGCGACAGCGGCGAGGCGAGACATTTCGCTGCGATGGCCCGCCGTTATTTTCCCGACAGACTGATATATACCGAGCTCTTCCCGAGAGAATTGAGACAAATCGATTTTAAGCATGCGTTGGCTAATCAGACTGATGTCTGAGGTCAGTAAAGAGATAAGTACTACAACATACACAACGAAATAGCTTTAGGCAGTAACTACCTTACGCTGACAATGTTTGAGCAATTCTCTTGAAAAACCACGATGGTTTTTAAATTTCATTGGATGACTAGAAAGTACTCTTTTAACTTGTTTTCAGCGCCCTCTCCGCAACAAAGTGCGCTCTTCCTTCCTAAGCCTTGTCGACGGCTATATCACCTTCATTACTCACTGGCTGGCCTCCTTATTTGTCTGCATTATATGGGCAATCTTTTTAGTTTTTGCTGTCAAAGCCATGCTCGGCTTCGAGATCAATTTAACGACGTCCAAGCTCTTCGCCCGAGACTCTCCGCTCCATAAAATTGAAAAATACCGCGAGAATATGGTGCTTCCCTACTTTACTCAAGCCCAAATCTTTGTGAACAACCCAGGCAACTTGTCGCTGCCGGAACAACGCAAAAAAGTCCATCGTCTTGTCGAAGCAATGGAAGCGTTGCCGTATGCTTATGATAAAGAGAGCAGTAACTACTTTTTACGCGACTTTGAAGTCTTTGTAACTCAATCTGGAATGTTCGGAATGGAGGAAGAGGTGGACGAGGATTTTGAAAGAGAAATGAAAAAGAATGTCAGCAATGAAATACTTGATATGAACGAGTTGGAGAGCTTTCTATCTTGGTCGGAATACGATTATTACCGAGGCTTTTTGAATACGCACAAGGATGAGTAAGTTGGTTGAAAAATTGTGGGTAAAATTAGCAAAAAATGGGCTCATTTTTAAATATTTTTTTTGAGGTTTTTGGCAGCTCTCTTTTAAAACACGATTTCTGAGTCAGTGAAGCAGCCTTTCGTTAGGCCGTGACATAGAAAATTTCGATCTCGGGTTTTTTGCCTTAATGTGACCGACATCATCCTAAAAACTTATTGGCAAAACAGTTTTGCCTACTTCCGCCGTTAACATAGTTGTTTTTACAATTTATTGTTTATACAGTAATCCACAATAATTCAGTAATGACCACACAGATATTCATGAAATTGTGTATACTGATGTTTTCGAACTCGTAGATTTCAAAAAAAGTGGTTTTGACTCATTAGGATTACTGTAACATACCAAACTGCCGATTCGGCCGCCAAAAATCGGCCGTAAAAACTTTGTTTCTGAAAACCCACAGCTGATTTTTACATATGTTAATCAGCATAAAATTCTGCCCTATAAACGTTAAAAAAAAGTCCAAAAAGTGGGGCGGCATTTTTCATGGTATAGTGGTTTTGGGTCAGAACTACCAATCCAGCGTCCCGAGTTCGAGTCCGCCTGGATGCAAAAACCAAAAATAAAGCGTACTGTACCATGGAATACTGTAACATAAAACTTTTTTTCCTTAACCGTGGTTTTCTTCTAAATTCTTCAAATGAAATTTTGATTTTTTTTTGGTTAGCTTTTCTAAACGGTCGAAACCATACGCGCTGCATATTTAAAATAAAATTCCATCTCTATTCCAGTGTGTATTCATATCATCGTTAATTGGTGAAACTTCGGGAGATTTCTCAGGTCTTTTGAATCGTACGGCCATAGAAACATTTTGGTGTTCCAACCGACTCATTCTTAACCATTTCTATCATTATAGTGATAGTCCGATGTCTCTGCGCTCTGTGGTATGTGAAAAACTAAATCGGGTTTAATGTTACAGTACTCCATGGTACAGTAAGCAATCAAAAAAAGCTAACGGAAAAGTTTCTTAGAATTATCCCTAGAAGAGCTGGTATCAATTTCAAACGATTTGAAAACGTTTTATTTTTTCGCGAATTTATCATCTAAAATTATATAAAATCCATTTTTATCTCAAATAGGGGTATCATCTATGCCTAAAATTATTCAGTCTCCCTCATACAGACCCCAAGACCACATCAAAGCTAATTTACGCTTTATTTTTGGTTTTTGCATCCAGGCGGACTCGAACTCGGGACGCTGGATTGGTAGTTCTGACCCAAAACCACTGTACCATGAAAAATGCCGCCCCACTTTTTGGACTTTTTTTTTAACGTTTATAGGGCAGAATTTTATGCTGATTAACATATGTAAAAATCAGCTGTGGGTTTTCAGAAACAAAGTTTTTACGGCCGATTTTTGGCGGCCGAATCGGCAGTTTGGTATGTTACAGTAATCCTAATGAGTCAAAACCACTTTTTTTGAAATCTACGAGTTCGAAAACATCAGTATACACAATTTCATGAATATCTGTGTGGTCATCACTGAATTATTGTGGATTACTGTATAAACAATAAATTGTAAAAACAACTATGTTAACGGCGGAAGTAGGCAAAACCGTTTTGCCAATAAGTTTTTAGGATGATGTCGGTCACATTAAGGCAAAAAACCCGAGGTCGAAATTTTCTATGTCAAGGGCTGCTACACTCACTCAGAAATCGTGTTTTAAAAAAAAAGTGTACTAGCCTGTAAAATATTTCTGTTGTAGGTACCAAGAAAAGACTGATATTTTCAGAAGTTTATTCATGACTTAAATGCAGTCTCGGCGCTTATAAAGGCAGTATCCCAAGTGCGACGCTCAGATTTTCTTTAAATTTTCCACACGCGTCGGGAATAGACTAAATATCAATTCCTGAAAGTTTTAGCTCGCGCTTTGCAGGCGCCAACGAGATATTGAACCATCTTTGCCGGCGAAAGAGCACGCTCAACGCGGAGAGCGGTCAGAGAGAAAGAAACACTTTCTGGCCATAACTTTGCTAGTTTCACGCGGAAAAAAGCCTTTCCACTGTATTTCTTTACGGTACAAAATAGGTACGAAACCTCTTGTGCCGGAATTTGGGTAAAAGTCTCAAATTTTCGCCGACTTTCCATCTAAAAATCTCGGTTGTTTCTGCAAAGCGCGAGCTAGAATTCTCGCATATATCCTAGAAAAAATTATTCTGAATTTGTGCCAAGTTTCATCAAAATCTGAGCGTCGCACTATGTGATCTTTGTTGTCTTTTCCATCAGCTAAAAACGTTGAAATCTCAAAGTCACCCATTTTTTGGCGTTTTCTAATTCTCGCCTGTTTGACCCCTAAACTTCTCCGGACATTTCAGAGCCAACAACACAGTCATTGACAACTTCCTGGTGTACGTTGCCTATCACGGCGATGACCTAAAAGATTGGTACAAACGAGCCGGAGTTCTTCGCCAATGGCGTGAAACCATCGACAAATACGGGAAAGAAATCAACGCCACAGTCCTCCACGACGACGGGCTGTACCTGGACCTGCTCGAGAACATGCCCACGGACATTTGGCAGTCAGGCTTGGCCACTGTTCTCTGCATGGCCGGTATCTGTCTGCTGTTTATGTGGAAATTGAAGCCGGTGTTGGTGGCGGCCGCTTGCATCGCCTCGATTATGGTGTGCACTTTGGGCTGGATGGCGATGCAAGGGATGACAATGGACCCGATTGTGATGGCGGCGGTGATCATTTCGATTGGATTCAGTGTGGACATCCCGGCTCATGTGTCGTATCATTTTCATATGGCCGAGAAACAGCTCGAGGGAAGGGTGGAAGTGGCGGACAGACTGAGATTTGCCCTGACTACGGTGGGATACCCGGCTTTCCAAGTAAGCATAATATATCAGTAAAGAAATATTGTACAGTGGGGGACCGGACCCAGTGGCAAAAAAGGTACCATTTTGTATCCGGGAAGTATCAAAAATGTGGCAAGATGCTTCCCTCTTCAAGTGAAAAAACTTCGTTTTGAAGGGCGCGCCCTTTCTCCTCACAAAAAGAGCGGGCGACCTTTTGAAATCTGATAAACTTTTTTACTTGGAGAGGGAGGTATTTTGCCACATTCCTTGATGCTTCCTGGATGCAAAATGGTAGGTTTTTGGCCACTGGATCAGATCACTGTATGCTAAGAAAATTTTTTAAAATAACGTGTTTTAAACACTGTAAATATATAATATAATGATTCAGGCGTCTTTGTCGACCAATATTTGCGTCCTTTGCCTCCTGTTGGTCCCTCTTTATATGGCCAGAGTGTTCGTCAATGTGATGTGTGTTTGTATCACGCTGTGTGCCATTCATTCGTTGATTCTCATGCCCGCTCTCTACGCTCTCACCGCCAATATTAAGAATTTTCTGTGCAAATCCTAGTTTTTTTGGCAAAAAACCGTAAATTTTAAATGTAAATATCTTGTTAATTTGTTGTAAATAAATTTTTAATATTCTGGAAATTTTTTGCAATACCTTTCCCGTAAAAAATAAGATTGTTTTACGTAAAAAACGTCAAAAAAAGGAAGGGAACTCCTTTCGATTTTTTTCCGAAAGAAATAAAAGAGAAACGAAGAGAGAAAGGCGTGTGCAGGGATGGCCGAGTGGTCTAAGGCGCTAGACTCAAGCGGAAAGCTTCATTGCGGTGCAATGGCGAGCGTTCTAGTATCGTTATCGATGCGTGGGTTCGAATCCCACTTCCTGCAGAAAGTTTTTGAAGTTTATTTTATTGTGAAAAGTCATAATTTCTAGTACTTTTATGCATTTTTTGACACTTTTAGATGACAAATTTGACGGTGGTTCGAATCCTACCATAATTTTTCAATCTTAACTTCAAAAAACAAGCCAAAAAACCAATATTTATCAATATAACACGAGTTTTTTTATTATTTAAAAATGCATATTAAATATGTACAAAAAAGACTTTAGCTAAAAAATCAAGACACTAAGTATAACAAAGAGTTTGTATCACTGTTTGGTTTGGGGAAAGAGGCAAATAACAATCCGAAAATCTGAAATTCCACTTTTCTGGGAACCGGGGAACGGTAGAATTCTCTAACGAGGTGGTTGGCTACTATTATGGTAGAGAAAGAGGTCCGGGATCGATGAAAGCAGACATGAACAATAAATTAAGACGCTAACTACTGAGGGAATACCTTGAGATTACAATCTAAAATACGAAAAAAAAATTTTTTTCTTGATTATTTTCCATTCTTCACAACGTCGCTAAGGCCGTTGGGGTCGGATTTAGCGAGCTCGTTCATCAGAAGACGGGTTCGGATCTTCTCCTGGAGCAATCTTTCGGCTTCGATTTCGTTGCGAATCTTCTCCGTCTGCGTTTGAAACTCCTCTCTTTGGATGCGATAATCGCGGATTTTGTGTTCGAAATCGCGATCTTCCGAGGCCTGGTTGAAGCTGAGTTGGTTCACAAAGGAGGGGGCGTCTTGGAAAGACTGAAAATGACGTCATTTTTAGAAAAAATTGGAAAAAAATTGAAATTTTTGAGGAAAATGAGCAAAAAAGGTTCAAAAATGGTTTAAAAATACTTCAAATTTTATCCTAAGGTCTTGAAAAAGTATCAAAATCATTTATAAAATACAGAAACGTTTAAAAATCTCAAAAATCAATCGAAAAAACCGAGAAACCTCAAAAAACGTCAAAAAATGACTAAAAAGACCTCAAAAAGCTTAAAAAAGTATCCATACCCCTCTATAAAGGTGTTATGTCTGTTCCGGAATACAAAACACTTCTTGAAACCTCAAAAAATCTCGAAAAATTTATCAAAAAATCTCATGAACCCCCAAAAAACCTCAAAACTGATCAAAAACGCCCCAAAAAGACCTCATAAGCGATCAAAAAATTCTCAAAAAGCATCTTCATCCCTACCAACCTCCAAGAACTCTCCAAAAACCCCCAAATCCTCACCTGCAACAGCTGAGGGAACAAAATATTGGCGGTCGAAGAGTTGAGGCGCCCATCCAGAAGATGATCATTCATCTCCACATCCGCCGAATCCGAACTGGCCACATCGTTCAGGCCGGAACTCGAGATTTCTTGCCCATTCACCGAGACGGACCGATGGTCTTCCAGTTTTATCGGATCTGAACTTGAAGATTCGTTTAAAAGAGGTGTAGATGCCTTCAAAAGGCCTTCAGCTCCGACAATTTCCATTACAACTTCGTCGAGCTGAAAGAAAACGTATTTTAGAGGCAAATTATGGAGAGTTTTAGTCGATTTTATGGGGAATTTTGGATTTTTTTGAAATTTTAGGTAATAAATTTGAAAATTTTGAAAGAAATAGGCAAAATAACGAGGAAAATTGTAGTATTTCGATGAATATTATAATATTGTGTCGCATTTTAAGAATATCAAACAAACAATTCTAAAAAAATAAAAAAAAAATGAGATTTTAGGTAATAAATTTGAAAATATTGGAAGAAATGGGTAAAAAAAGGTAAAATAGTAGTGTTTTGAGGAAATTTTTTATTTTGTGTCGTATTTTAAGCGTGGCAAACAAAAAATTCTAAAAAATGGAAAAATTGAGATTTTAGGTAATAAAAAAAGGTAAAATACGTGTCTCATATCGAACAGATCACAAATAATACCTTCTCACATCTAATAAAAATTAACTATACCATTTTCAATAAAAAAATCGTCGAAAATGAGAAAAGTTTGAGATTTTTCGATTTTTTAGGTAATAATTTATATTTTCGTTCGGGAAATGGGTAAAATACGGTCCGAATTCATTGCAAAATTTGTCAAATGTTATAAACAGCCTAAAAATCTATTTGAAACTATTTTTCAGCTCAAAATTAGAGAAAAATTAAATCTTGTTACCTAAAATAATATCCAAAATTCCGAGAAATCTCAAAAAATCGAGTTCAAAATAAAGACAGACGGTTTTCAAAGCCATACCTCGGTTATAGGTTCCTCAATGACCCCGGTATGGACTTCTCTCTTCCGTTTGTCCATCACATATCGGCGAACATGTTGCCAATCGGTTTTGCGGATGTCCATCTGACTTTTGCTCGCAAACTCGGCGAATCCCTTGTTCACCAGCTCCATTTTGACATCTTCCCAGGCTTTTTGTCGCGCCGCGGCTCGGTTCGGGCCACCTTCGTCGCCATCATGAAACAACAAATTCTTCCGCCGATGGACGGCTTTGGCGAGCGCCAAACGTCGCGAATACACGCGATCTTTGGCTCGTAATGTTGGACGATGCATCCTGGAATCAAATGACGTCAAAACGAGCCATCGCCGACTGATTTATGCAAATTTTGCCACGAAAAATGCAAAATTTCGCACGGTGCAGATGGGATTTACAAAAACAGCTGTAAAACCGCAATCACTGTCGCAAATTGCGAGAAAACCCGGGAAAATCGTCTTCAGCACATTCGAAAACATATCCGATACGAAACCCCCCACTTTCCCGCGCTAATTACCCCACAAATTCGCCTTCAAATTGGTCTCACGGCACCCTGCAAGATCGTCGAAAGAATGCACCGTGCGACCGAAACGATCCGACTGCACCGTGCGGCAAAGCGGAAAAGACCGACTGCACGGTGCGAACGGGGACAGCCGAAAAACCCGACGTGCGAATGAAGAGAGCGACAGAGAAATGAGTGGGGGAAGATTGCACAGTGCAATCGACAAACAGCGATGGGAAGCGAGAAATCGAAAGTGCGACGAGCGGACAAAAGCAAGAGAGACCGTACAGTGCGTCATCGAACAGGAAGTGCACCGTGCGGGAAGCGGGGGGGATTGGCGACAAAATCGAAGGCGGTGAAAGAGTGCACTGTGCAATGAGACTGAATTGAAAGCAGAGCGGCGACAACGAGTGAAACTCGGACTGCACTGTGTAGACATGGCTCGTCGGCCGGCCCGGGCCGAAAATCTCGGCCCGGCCCGTCGGCCTGAAGGGTTCCGGCCGGCCCGGCCCGTTTCAAATTTTCCGTCGGCCCGGCCCGGCCCGTTTGAAATTTGCTTCGGCCCGGCCTGGGCCGGCCCGGGCCGGCCCATTGAAACGAAAGTCTCCCCAATTCTAACTCCTTATGACCAAATTTTTTTCTATCATCATGTAAATGGATATATACTGTGTTCCATAGCTATCTAAAAACAAAAATACCTTTAAAAAAACCAATTGTGTCTTGACATTGCGTTTATTTTCATTATCAAACCCAATTTTTGCTCCGAGATTCTGGATTTTAAATACTCCGGGCCGGGCCGGGCCGAAACGCCGGCCCGGCCGACGGGCCGGAGATGGTCCGGCCGGCCCGGCCGATCTGAAATCGTGCCGACGGGCCGAAATTTCGGCCCGGCCCACGGCCCGGCCCAGGCCGGCCCGGGCCGGCCCGGCCCGGGAGCCATGTCTAGCACTGTGCAAACGCGACAACGAAGAAACTCGGACTGCACTGTGCAAACGCGACAAAAAACTTTGTTTTCCGCACGGTGCGATCAAAAATTTCGAATCCATGCATTCGAAAATTGCTTCGCCCGTCACAAGACCGCAGGGTGCGGTCCGCAAAAAAAACAACCCGAAAACGCACAGTGCGGGAGTTTCTCCGCCACGCTCTTCCGAATGCACCTTCTCTCGGCGCTTCCAGGAATGCAGGGTGCAGTCGAAGCCGAAACGACCCAGTTCCCACCCCCGACCCCCGCCGTTTCCACCCCCGCCTTTGGTCGAGTGCACTGGCATTTTGCGAGACGAAAGCGGAGCGCCGCCGGCGGCAAGAACCGAGTGCGTGAAGAGAATGGTGGGGGGACAGCCGGTTTGAGGGGCCGGGGGGACAATCTGCACTGTCGCACTTTACCCTTTGCGAAAGTTCTGATTGCCCCCGAGGCGCTGGGCAATCAAAATATTTGTTTGTCTGATGCACAGTGCGGCCGGCGAACGCACGGTGCGAATTTGGGCCGCACAGTGCAATTTTGCGCCCGCTCAATGCAATTTCGAGTCAATCGCACCGTGCGAAAACTCATCGCACTGTGCAAAAACTCTTTGCACTGTGCAAACACCAAAAATCATGCCCACTGCAGCGACAAAAAAATTTCTCTCCGACTGCACGATGCGACGAACAAACACCGGCCCCCACTGCACAGTGCAATCCCACGGCTCAACCCGCGACACCCCAACCGACTCCTTCGGGCGACAAATCAAATGACAAATGCGAAAACAGCCCTCCTTCGACCGCAATGAAAATTTGTCGCCGGGTCCGGGGGCAGCGACAAACTCAAAGTGCGACGGAGTGTGTGCAGGGTGCGTGAAAAGAGCGAGAAAACAAAAAACACTTTGCCCCTTCCCACTTTCCCCCCGCTTTTTTTCGTCGTTCCACCGCTGCATTTCGGCCGTGAATGCACCGTGCGACTTTTCCGACGAAAAGGGCGAGAGAGACACATCGCACCGTGCATCATCACGCACTGTCAGGTGACGAGTGAAGGGAGAAAGACGAGGGGAAGTGAGTGCACCGTGCACACAAAGAAAGGTGATGTCGCGAAACGGAAACGGAATGCCATCAGGGAATGCGCCGAAAGCAGCGCGGGAATTGAAGAGCGACAAGAGTGGAGAGTGCGGAATGCAAGTGAATGGGAAGCTGAGAAAGAGCACAGTGCAATCGAACGAATCGCCGCACTGTGCAGACAGCAGCGATCATTGATCAGCGTTGCGATGGGAAACAGCAGTGTCCCCGCTTCGTGAAGCCACAAACAAAAGAAAAGTGCATCCGCGACGACAAAAACAAGACGGAAAAGAAGCGACAAACACTTGCAGCCTGACTTCAAATTTCCCTGCGATGGGCTTTTCGAAATGATGCGATTGCCGCTGCGACTTTTTTTGTCATCAAAAAACTCTCGCACTGTGCGAAACAAAGGGTCAAATGGGGGAAATCGCAGCGGCAGACCGGCGAGGAAAAGGGAAGCGATGCACAGCGAGGTCGAAGATGATTCAATTGCACAGTGCGGAGACTGCAACTCGATTCCATTGCGCGACAAGGCAAATTTGCATGCCCAGTGCATCGGCAGTGCATCCCGACTTTCCGCGATTGCATTGCGCGACAAAAAAATTCCGCTTGCACAGTGCAATTCACCCCTCAAATGATTCAATGCACCGTGCAGTCGGGAAGAAAAGCGAGAAGCCCACTCAGCCGCACAGTGCGATCGCAAACACACCCAAGGGATGGTTCCAACGCACGGTGCGCCAAATCCCGCACCCCCAAAAGTTTGTCGCCGCCGCGTCGCACTCTCTTCTCTCGCCTCGTTCGGGTCGCCGATTTGTCGCCGCTCTCTCTTCCCGCAAAAAACTGTGCAGCCGACTGCACCGTGCATTCTCGCACTCGGCTCGGGAAGAAGAGGGGAATGCGACGAAATGGGGGGAGGAAATCTGCTCAAATGCCTGCGGGCAAACAATTTGGACGCGAGAGTGCGGAAAGAAGGAAAATGGATGGAAAATGTTCTTTTTGCGGATTCACTGGCGACAAATTTTAATGCAATTGTAAAAAAATACATGCAAAACGGCGACAAAGTAAAATTATGCCATAAAACAGAAAAAATTCATGCGAAACGAGAAATTTCTCATAAAATCAGTCACAATGACCAATTTTATTTTTGGCGCCAAAATTTTTGTTCAAAAAATAGAGGAAGAAATTTTCCCATTTTTTACCCAAAAATGGCGGAAAACAAAGGTTCCCAGCTAAATGTGACGTTGAACCCGGTCCTACCGCTCTCAAAAATCAAAGGGATCCTCAAGGCACATCCTGAAGTCCAAAACATCACGGGCGATGCGGCAAAATTGGTCCGTCTGACATCAGTAAGTTGTTTTATACCTAAATTAATATTCTTTGGTGTTTAGGAGCAATTTCTCCGTTGTTTTGTCAAGGAATGTGTCCGCGAGACGAAGCAAGCTGGACGGAAGACCGTCTTGCCAAAGGATTTAGGTGAGAAGACTTAGATTTCACTGAGTTTTGACCATTATATTGCACTTGGTGTTTGATAAAGAAACTTTTAATTTTTTCGCTTTCAGACCTGGTGGTAGACAATGTAAACTCGTTTGACTTGCTGGAGGACGCCCTCGATGACTGGCCTGAACCGGAAGCGCGACATCATTCGGGGAAACCGGGGAGGAAACCGAAAAATCAAAATATTTTCGGTGGGCAAGAAGAAGATAAGGAAAACGATACCACCGAAGTTGAAGCCGACGAGTCTGCTGTCGCCGAAGTTGCTGTAGTCCCTGCAGAGTCTGCTGAGATGGATATTGAGGACATTGCCTGAAGTTTTATATTCGTTTTGTCCGATATTAGTTTAGGTCTTCTCGTGGATAAAATCATGAGGTTTCTCTGTGACCCAAGCCTTTTTACCTGTCAATTCTCTTTTGTTACTACTTCTCCCACCTTTTTGTAAACAACAATGTTGAGTTGAGCGATCAGTCGGCACGTTTTTATATTGATTTATGTTGACCACTTGACCTGCGCTTTTCTCCCAATTTATTCGAATGTAAATAAAGATTGACACTCTAGACTCTTGAGTTCGGCCATTTCCCTTTCGTGACAGGTGTTTTTCTCCGCGAAAATCAATATTATCCGTCTGTTTAAGCGCCTTTTCTCACTTTTCAGACCTTATCAATGGTGGAAATGCGGGTTTTGTGATGTTGTTCCTCAAAATTTTATCGATATTTTTATTGTATTTAGTAATTTATGGCCGTGCGAACAAAACAATTGTGGATAAAGGTGATTTTCAAGAGATTTTATACCTAAAATTTTAATTTTTCCCATGAATAATATAAATTTTTCGAAGTTTAGGAAATAATTCCACAGAATCCTCAGAAGAAGACTTCGGACAGGGTTTCTTTGGTGACGAAGGCGAATCTGAAGGTAAATTTGCACTTTTTTCTGTTTATTTTTCCGCTTTTAGAGCAGATTGATGACGGCGACAGCGATGTGAGCGAAGAAAGGAAGCCCGAGGACTTTATAAACTCGGAACTGACGCCAGTCAAACTGGAAGGGGACCATGATCGGCCGGAGGAGACGATTTCCATCATCTCCAGCGCCTTCAACAACAAGTAATTATATTATTCATGGCAAAACGGAGGGTTTTTTGTTTAGAAAGTCGTTCAGTTGCCCCAAAATCAAGTCGGACTTTGTGACGGGCAAGTCGACGGCCGACCTCAGCCCCGAGGACATTGGGATTATCGCGGCGATGGGGGATTCGTTGGCGGTAAGAGTTTTTCGATATTGTAATTGATATTTTAGTCAAAGAAAATGGTTACAAAGTCGTTTTTCTGGTCTTTCTTGCCCTCAAATTGAACTTGGAAGGAAGAAAAAGCTCTGATCCGCTCTTTGTTAGTGCAAAATGAACGTCGGTGATTGATTTATCCATCAATTTCGACGAAAATTTGAGAGAAAAGAGCAAAGAACGGATTTTCGAGACGAAAAAATATATTTTGCCGCCGCTTTCGAGCTTGGCCAAGTGGGAAAATGTCACGGAAAAATGGCCGAGAAGGAGCGGCCGCGAGGAATTTTGCAAAAAATGGAAATTTATATTATCCATGACGTTTTCGTGGTCCAAAAGAAAATTTGGGCTAATTTCATGGGAAATTGTGGTATATAATTGAGAACTGAGACGATTTAGGAAAATGACGATTAGAGAAACCGAAAAGTATTACTTTTCTTCTATGCAAGTGTCGAAATTGGGATAATCGATGGTGCTGATTCCGAAAATGACATTCATTTTTTTGATAGTTATTTTTTCCATAGTACTGTAAAGTAGTTATTTTTTGATTTTTTTTCATGAATACTCGATTTGGGGGGTTTCGATGGCACTGCTTTCAAAACAGAAAAAATGAATAAGATTTTCGAAATCAGCATCATCGAAAACCCCTAAATCGAGTACTCATGAAAAAAAATCAAAAAAATTACTACTTTACAGTACTACTTGAGGAAAAAAGTAACTATCAAAAAAAAAAGAATCTCATTTTCGAAATCAGCACCCTCGATTATCCTAATTTCGTCACTTGCATCGAAGAAAAATAATACTTTTCGGTTTCCCCAGTCGTCTTTTTCCCCAATCGTCCCAGTCCTCAATTATACACCACAATTTACCGTGAAATTAGCTCAAATTTTCTTTCAGACCACGAAAACGTCATGAATAATATAAATTTCTATTTGTTGCACAATTCCTCGCGGCCGCTCCTTCTCGACCATTTTTCCGTGACATCTTCCCACTTGGCCAAGCTCGAAAATTTTCCATTTTTCGCCAATCGTCCAACTACATACAATTGATGTTTTGGGTAGCACAAATAATTTAGGACCTATATTTTTAGACCGGCCGAGGTCTCTGGCCCAGGACCGACATCGATTTTCGTGGCGCCGCTTTTCCGATCGGCGGAGATGCCACAATTGATGGATTAATCACGATCCCTAATATTCTCCGCGAATTCACCTCCGAAGACAGTCTTCATGGGGTCTCGCATGGCATGGGAGGGACGAACGAACTCCCGGCACATCAATTAAACGTCGCCGAGAGCGCCGCCACCACCGGAACCATGCCGAAACAGGCCAAGGAGTTGGTAAAACGGATCAAAACCATGAAAGAAGTGGATTTATATAACACTTGGGCCATGGTTATCATTACAATAGGGACGGAGGAGGTATGATTTTTATGTTTTGATGACTTTTGCAAGGAATTTGAGGCTTTTTGGTAGTTTGGACATTAATTTATATTACACTACCTTCAGGTGTGCGGGAACTGCTCTGTGCCGGATACGGAAGCCCTGATCAAAGCCGTGGATATTCTGAAAGCTGGAATACACAAGGCTCTTGTCATTTTACTCGGTCCCATCCATGTTTCAAGCTCTTATCATCAAAAAGCAAACCTTTTAAAGTAAGCATACCTAAAGTTATATCATCATGATTTTACCTCTTCGATTTTGATGAAACTTGGTCAGAATTTAGATTAAGAAATTCTAAAGTGTTTTGGAAAGTTTGAGCTTGCAATTTTCAAAGAATTTCGAGATTTTTTGATAGGAAGTCTACAAAAAATTTTTTCGATTTCTCCGCTGCGGATGGAAGTTTTGACCTAAAATTTTCAGAGGTTAATTTACGGAGTGTGCACAGTGTTTGTGATAAGTTTCATAGAAATCAAAGAGAAAAATTTTTGATGATCTTCTGACCTAGTGTAATATAATTTTATGTTTGTAGAACCCGATGCAGCTGTTCAAAAGACCAATCAAACGAATTTATGGAGAAACTAAGCGCTGAATGGTCCAGAGCATTCGCCGAGGTTGCGGAACATGTCGCGGCCTATAAGGTATACCTAAAATCAGTAAAGCAATGTAATTTTGCGCAATTCCAGAGCAAAAACTTTGGCGTTTTGACCCTCCCCATGCTCACAATCACTTCAAGATATCCCTATTCACTGTTCATTCCAAACAGACCACTATTGAATCGACGAGGACATAATTACGCGACAAAATGGCTCTGGAATCGACTGATCGCGGGCCCAAAATACAATTTATCCAAAGCTGTACTGTCTCAAGATGCTTATTTCTGTCCGTCGGTGGGATGTCCGTACTTCAGAACGCCCGCCAACTTCCATAAATGCTCGATTTTGAAACATTCGGAGGCCGAGGAAATGGAGCGAAAGGCGAAGGAGATGACTTTGATGGGGAAAATGACCCAACACGACCATTATAGGCACGCGTTGGGCATAATTGGCATTTCCTCGGTGACTGTCATCATATTTGGCACCTTTTTCTACTACAGAAGCAAATTGGTAAGCGATTCTTCGGAGGAATTTTGAGGTTTTTTGGGATCAGGTCCCCTCATGATTAATATAATTGGATTTCAGGGCACCAGAGGCCGATTTGACGCCCCACCAGTGCCGGATGGACTTGTTTACAAGCCCTATTCGTTGTCGGTCAAGAAATTAAATGAATTGAATGAGGGCCAGACAGAAGAAGGGACAGATTCCGCCCTTCTGCGGAGCCGACCACCAAGCGCTATGCCGTTTGATGTTTCGCAGCAAAACATCTTCAAAGAGTTGTCGAGGTGAAGATCAATGGCTTTAATATTTCTTGTAAGCCTTTATGCAGGTCCACAGTGTGTCTTACGGCATTTACAAGGGGGTCTTCGAGGGGGTTTGGGATATATTATCCATTGTACTTGACCGGAGTTGGACGATTGGGAAAACCGAAAAGTATTGTTTTTCTTCGATGCAAGTGTGAAATTAGGATAATAGAGGGTGCTGATTTCGAAAATGACATTCATTTTTTTGATAGTTACTTTTTTCCTTAAGTAGTACTGTAAAGTAGTAATTTTTTCAATTTTTTTTATGAATACTCGATTTAGGGGTTTTCGATGATGCTGATTTCGAAAATCTTATTCATTTTTTCTGATTTGAAAGAAGCACCATCGAAAACCCCCAAATCAAATATTCATGAAAAAATTTAAAAAAAGTACTACTTTACAGTACTACTTAAGAAAAAAAAGTAACTATCAAAAAAAAAATGAATGTCATTTTTGAAAACAGCACCATCGATTATCCTAATTTCGACACTTGCATCGAAGAGAAATAATACTTTTCGGTTTCCCCAATCGTCCCAATTCCGTAATAGACACCCTTCAAAAAATTGTACAGTATTACCCGCTCAACCTCACATATCACGCCTTTATACATATGAATCGCAAGAATCAACCTTTCACTGCATTTTGCAATCATTTTTACTATTCTTTTCACGAGGTATGATCTTCATTTCACTTAGGTTTGCAACATTATTTATGATGGATTAAATTGATTGTAAATTTTTTTTGAGAATGAGATCGATGAATGGGAGTTTTTAGATAGTGAGGTTATAGTATTTAGATCATATGTTTAAAGTTTCAAAGATATTGGTCAATTGTGGGCGGAGTTGTGGACCTCCCAAGAGTCGTGGACCTAGTACAATATCGGAATTCACCCGATTATCACTGATTTATGGCCTGTGTGTTTGCAGAACGCATAAAGCCGACATTTCAATGTATGGAAATACGAAATCCGCGAATCGTGCGTATTTTTAGCCACTTCCGCGGAATTTATGAGCTCCGCTTTTGGGTTGGAGCCAGCTGTTTTATGGACTCGGAATACTCGGAATTCCCCCGTAAAATCCGCTGTTTACAAACAATCTACAGGCTATATAAAGCCCTTTTCGGCATGATTATGCAATCTTCGGCAAACTTTTTCGAAAGTTTACGGTGGTCTTGCACCTTATTTTAGGCAAAAATGATGTAAAAAGCCCGATTTATGAAGGCTGTAAACCCGCGATGGCTTAAAAAAGAAGAAAAATGTTATTGTAATTGAATTGTGTAGGCTGGGATGTGGTCATTCCCGAGGTTTATTCCAATATCTTGGCCTGAATCTAATCTTATTTGGGGTCGGAACGGATTTTGATGACATTTCGAGATATTTTTTGCGATTCTCAAACTTGAAAGGGTTTTGTTTTCCAGACAGAAGTGTAATCGTATAAAGGATTATGTTAGATTTGTAAATTTGGTTTTTTCGGTTTTTTGAATTTCTTTAGGTTAGATATGACCCACCAAAATTTATGATAATGGAGACCACACAAACGTCCATTTTTGCCCGCTTTTCGCTCTTTTGGAAGTAAAAATGTATTAGTAATACTGCAACGAAGGCACTTTTGATTTCTCGAAAAAATGGCGATTTAATCGACAATCTTTTTTTTGTGATATTAGATGCTAAAGTAACATAAATTTTTGTCGGAAAATCGAACACAGCACTCAGACTTGATTGTAGCTTTTATGGCTGTTTGTTTATGCATGCCAAGGGTGTTAAATGTACGCGGAATTGCTTTGTTTTTTGAGCTAAATGTCGTGATGTAAATTGGGTATAAAAAAGGATGACTATCAGAGAAATTGACAGATTCTTGGAGCTTGTATTGTGCTGTTTTCTGTATAAATCATGTCTAATTCAACCATCTGGGCTGTATATCAAGTCCTCAAAATTTTAGCGTATTCTCTGCAAGCACTACCGAAAAATTCAAAGATCTTTGTAGAGAAGACACTAACGAATTCCAGTTTTGCTCATTTTCTTCACTTTTCTCTCTAAAAATCCGAAATTTGAGCTTGCAACAAAACGTTTGATCCCTCACCGGACGTCGCTACACTTACGACATTCTTCCGGCGTTAGAAAAAAGACCCAAAATAGAGAAAAATGAAAATTTTATGCGTTTTGGCAACGCTTCAAACAGACAATGGGAATGGAAATGAGGCGGGCTAAAAGTGGGGCCGAAAGTGCTGAAAGATAATTACTGTAAGGATATTAATGGAATATCATGATCTTCTTTATGAGCGGTTGTCCATGAGGCGTGACTGGGGGAAAGTTCAGGGCAGGGGTCATGGAAATTTATTGTGCTCTTGGACCTAAAAATCGGTCTGTTTCGTAGGAGAAATTGTCGGTGTTTGATGTGAAGACTTTGTTTGGGGTACTAGTCCTTCCGGAAAGTCGCCGGACGGGAATCGGCGACGGAACTGGGACGATTGGGGAAAAAGACGATTGGGGAAAGGGACGATTGGGGAAAAAGACGATTGGGGAAAAGTACGATTGGGGAAACCGAAAAGTATTATTTTTCTTCCATGCAAATGTCGAAGTTAGGATAATCGAGGGTGCTCATTTCGAATATCGGGTTTATTTTTTCTGAACATTACTAGTTTTCCTTAAGTAGTACTGTTAAGTACTAATTTTTTAAAAATTTTCGAAAAATACTGGATTTAGGGGATTTCGAAGGTGCTGGTTTCGAAAATCATGTTCATTTTTCCTCTAGTACTATATAGTACTACCTGATACTATGTAGTACGAGGTGTAAAGTTGGCCTTTAGGCGTTCGTGGTGTTGTTCTGGTGCTTAGTACGCCTATTTTTACTTCGTACTACATAGTATCAGGCAGTACTATATAGCACCAAGTCTTTAAAACGTGTTTTTGAATAGTACTAAGCATCAAAACAACACCATTAACGTCAAAAGCCATATTTTGACCTCGTACTATATAGTATCAGAATAGTACTATATAGTACTAGAGGAAAAATGAACATCATTTTCGAAATCAACACCCTCGAAAACCCCTATATCGAGTATTTATGAAAAAAAATCAAAAATTACTACTTTACAGTACTACTTAAGGAAAAAAGTAAGAATCAAAAAAATGAATGTCATTTTCGAAATGAGCACCCTCGATTATCCTAACTTCGACATTTGCATGGAAGAAAAATAATACTTTTCGGTTTCCCCAATCGTACTTTTCCCCAATCGTCTTTTTCCCCAATCGTCCCTTTCCCCAATCGTCTTTTTCCCCAATCGTCCAACTCCGATCGGCGACATGCACTCTGCGAAATCGAAAGTTCACTTTGCACTGTGCAATTTCTTGCCTTTTGCACTGTGCAATAGGCTTTTTTGGGATGCCGCTCGCACCCTGAGTTTTTTTCGCACAGTGCAGACGCCAAAAATCTGTCCGGCGACTTTCCGGAAGGACTAGTATATGGCCAAGTAAGGCTAGAATTTTCTATGAGATATTAGATATTTTTTGTTTGATATTTGCAGAGGTCATCGAGTTTTTCCGATCGAAAGATGGGCAAAATTCTGGGGGTATAAATGGTGATTCATAATGTCATAAGCTACTAGTCCGTTCGTAAAGTCGCTGGAATGAATTCGGCGACGTGCACTGTGCACGAAAACTCAGGGTGCGGGCGACAGCCCAAAAAAGCCTATTGCACTGTGCAAAAAGCCAAAAATTGCACAGTGCAAAGTGAACTTTCGGTTTCGCGGGGTGCATGTCGCCAAAAACATTCTAGCGACTTTACGAACGGACTAGTATGGTGGCCTTTCGAATACAAAGGAAGCTTTGAACCACAAATTTTTGCACAACAACCTGTTTATAACGAACATTTCAGAGGTCCGAAAACTTTATGAAAATCTGATCCTCTCACCTTTTAATTGATCAAAATCTAGTCTGCTCCAAAATTCATTACTTCCACTTTCTAATGTAAGAACTCAATTTCCATCAACTTTTTCTACGTGCTCACTCTAAATCTAATCCTCAGCTAGCCTCTCAAGGCTTCCAACACTCGCTAAAAACCTGCTTAACGATTCATCGCGACCCAGAACCCATGCATTGAGTGCCGGCTGCACTCACGACGCCCTCTGCGGCACGGAATGTTTTGTTTTTGCGTAAAACGAAATAAGTACGAAGTCGTCGCTCTCACGGCCGTGTAAATAAACATCCACTCGACCTTGCTTCTTCCCAAATAAATTTCTGTCCCATATTTTCCGGTGGGACGTCCGGAAACGACGGCCGATACCAAAAATATAGCCGTTTTGGAGCCGGTCCAGAGATCCGCCATCAATCCCTTCATAACCGCCTCGGGGCGCAAATATTGCGAGGCCGTTCCGAAAATAAGGGGAATTGAATTAGGAGCGCTGATAGCGATATAACGACCTTCTCCTTGGCCCGTTTCCACATGTCCCATTAGGGCGAAAAATTCGGAGAAAATGCGGATGAGATGAGAGATTTTTTTGGGGTTTTTAGCGACATGATATATGAGGATTTCGAGATTTTTTTGACCGATATTGACGAAAAAATGATAGGCTCTAAAAATGGACAAACGCAGCGTCAAAAAAATCCCAAAATTGAAGCCCTGAGGACCGGGAGACGCGAGGTTTCAAGGATGTTTTCGGGCTCCGTAAACAAGATGACACACTCCTTGTGAAATCGCGTTTTGATTTTTAGAATGTTTGTCGCCCCGCTTCTTATTAGCAGATGGGTTTATGGCCAATATAGTGGCCATATTTCCGCCGGCTTTTCTTCAAAACAAAAGCCCTGTCTGAGGGCATCTCCCTCGAGGGACATATGTCGTGTAAATTCACTGTAAATGTGGTGGGGTTTGAGAAAAGCTGAAAACATGTCCATTTTTTCGGCGAGCGTGTTATAAAGGGCTTTCTGAAATGGAATTGTGAATTTTTTTAGAGCCAAGATTTGGTGGGAAGGTCAGTTATTTCGCGTATCAA